TCCCGCCCGCTGCGATCAATTGGATAGGCTTTCCACCAGGTCCTTGAATCTCATTTCCAATCTTGTCATAGACTTCCGGTACTAGGGTGACTATACTAGCCCCTCGTGCAAGAGAATGGCCACCCGCATCTGAACCCTGCACCACAAGGACATCCGGTCTGACGACTCTGGCTACCTGGATAGCATCCGCTACAGAACCAATTTGGACCCAAATCTTAGTTCTATTGGATGTTGCATCCCGGATTTGCGTTGCCCATGGGACAAGGTCTTGGAATCCTGTTGGAGGAGCAAACAACCAGACAGCACAAGGACAATGTTTTCGGATCACAGGGATTGCTGTTTTTAGAGAAGCACTCCAAGTGATAAACCCGACACCAACAGGAAGAACCGAGAAGTCGTTTGAATGAATAATTTTTCGGTCTGAGAGTAAATTTGTAGCTTCCTCAAGAAGATCGTCGAGATTATCACTCGTATATCCTGCGGCAATAAAACCCAATCCCTGGGCTTTGGAAACGGCCACAGCAAGGGGAGGTTTTGCAACCCGGGCCATAGGCGCAGAGACGACGAGTGGATGAGCTGTCCATGGATAGTCATTTATGATAGCCGACATTTTCCAAAAATATATTAGAAAGGAATTATTAAAGACGGGTTGCAGGCTAGACGTCCTTGGTGAATGGACTTCATATATCCCAACTTAAGAACAATACATGCCTGAGGCTTATCATTCTTGTTTCCCCCGGACATATTCTCCGCAACTTCTCCGCATTTGATTAAGAGAAGCAAGCCGTGAAAAATTTCACATGTGCGTTATGACTCCCTCCGTAATTCCCGCAATAGCCATGCGATAATAGGTTATTGACGACGAGTGATCTAGGTCTCCGTCTTCCGCAATAGCCGGATATTGGGTGCGGTTTCCTTCGATCCGAGACATGTCCAAAAAAAAAAGAATTCGACAAAGATGGAGAGCTGCCTCAATACATGTCGGAGTTGGAAGATTTGTTTAGCGTCTTTCCCTTTGTTTTTCGTTAAGACTAGATCGGAAAGGTCCGCAATAGCCGAGCAAGCTTTGTCTTGAATAATGAATGTAGACATATAAGAGTCAAGGAACAAAGTAAGCGGAGGGATACAAAAAGCTAGTAGATTAACTGGAGAAGTTCACTATAAACCATATTTAAGAAAAAAACGTTAGTTTTTGTGATTACGTCATGGCGTCCCCAGCTGCAACAACATCTGCAGCATCAACTGCCACCCGCTTTCCCATTAGCCATGATCCAATCTCGGATATTGTGAAAACCAAAAACTTCATCGATAATGAGTTTACAGATTCAAACGCAGTTGAGTGGTTTGAAGTACATGATCCCGCCACGAATAATCTTGTGACCCGAGTACCTCAGACTACTGACAAGGAGTTACACGCCGCAGTGTTATCTGCTGAAAAGGCGTTCCCGGCATGGCGGGCTACCAGCATCATCACTAGACAGCAGATTCTATTCAGATTTGTCTACTTGATCCGAACTCACTGGGATCGCTTGGCTGCTTCAATTACTCTAGAGCAAGGCAAAACCTTTAAAGACGCAAAAGGAGATGTTCTCCGTGGCCTTCAAGTTGCCGAAACGGCGTGTGGAATTACGACACAGCTGACTGGAGAGCTTCTTGAGGTCGCAAAGGATATGGAAACTAGAACATATCGAGAACCATTAGGTGTAGTTGCCGCCATCTGCCCATTCAACTTCCCAGCCATGATCCCACTATGGTCCATTCCAATTGCAACCGTGACTGGCAACTGCCTTGTCTTGAAACCATCTGAGCGGGATCCAGGTGCCGCATTAATCTTAGCAGAGCTTGCTCGTGAAGCAGGATTCCCGAAGGGAGTGTTGAACATTATCCATGGCGGCAAAAAAACAGTCAACTTTCTACTCGAGCAGCAATCTATTCGAGCAATCAGTTTCGTTGGGAGTAACAGCGCTGGGGAGTATATCTACTCTCGTGGATCGGCCAATGGAAAGCGTGTACAGGCTAACCTTGGGGCGAAAAATCATGCCGTCATTCTTCCAGATGCTGACAAGCAACATACTTTGAATGCTGTCGTGGGAGCGGCATTTGGCGCAGCAGGCCAACGCTGTATGGCCCTTAGTGTTCTTATTATGGTTGGTGAGACTAAGGAATGGCTTCCAAATCTTGTTGAAAGTGCCAAAGGCCTTGTTGTTACTGGTGGATTTGAGAAAGTCTGCGATGTCGGTCCTGTGGTAAATGTTGCTAGCAAGGAGAGGATTGAAGACATCATCAAAAGCGCCCAGGAAGAAAACGCTTCAATTCTTCTGGATGGAAGGAATTACAAAGTCTCAAAATATCCAAATGGCAACTTTGTGAGTCTTTCAGATGTTTTTCCAAACTCATTTCTTTAAGTCAAATGACATCAATATATGCAGGGAGTTTACTAACAATAAATATTTAAACTTGCAGGTCGGACCAACGGTCATCACCAATGTTACTACTGACATGAGATGCTATAAGGAAGAAATATTTGGGCCCGTGCTTGTCTGCCTTGCTGTTTCATCACTCGAGGAAGCTATACAGCTTGTAAACAGAAATGAATATGGAAATGGCGTTGCCGTTTTCACTCAATCTGGCCCAGCAGCTTCCTACTTTCAGAAAAATATTGAGGCAGGGCAAGTCGGTATCAATGTGCCCATCCCAGTACCACTACCTATGTTCTCTTTCTCAGGAAATAAGAAGAGTATTGCTGGTGGAGGAGCAAATACATTTTACGGAAAGCCTGGTCTGAACTTCTACACCCAAACAAAGACAGTGACAAGTTTATGGCGGAGCGAGAACACCGACACCGGTAAACAAGTCGTAATGCCGTCTCATCTTTAAGCCAATCAAACGAAGTTTCCTGGCTGCTCAAAAGTCGGGAAGACATGAGTGTGTGAAAACAGCGAAAATGAAAATTGAGCGATTGGAGGAAACACCGGAACCTGTAAACAAACTGTGGCTCTATTGAACATTTAGAGATACTAGCGTGAAAAAAAAAAAACAAATCTAGTAAACCTTCGCATATTCAATATTAATTTCGAAGACTGGACTTGATTTTTGCAAACCTGCTATCTTCTTTTTTTGTTTTTATGCAAAGCTCATTTTATACAGTGAAAAATCACAAATTAAGAGAATATTAAGGCATTAAAGATTCTAAATTTACAGGGTAAGTTTGTTGTTCATCATTCTAATTAATTCCAGATTTTCCCTTTTTCGTTTGAGAATCTTTCGGTTTCGCCTGCTGATAAAATAAAAGTCTTCTCTGTATATCTTGTCGAACTTCATGAACAATAGAATCGGCATCTTTCACTTCACGTATTAGGCCAATGGCAGCACCTGCGTATGTAGCTAATCTTCCTTCCGGACCCCATCCATTATCACCCGCTTTTAGAGCTTGATCGTGACGCTCTTTCAGCTCCCCAAATGGTCGCCCAGCCTGGTGCTCAATAAAAGACTGGTTTATAATGGTGCGTGGACTGTACTCCTTGGGCCAGCCCATCGTCCCACGAAGGTGATTATAGAGCAATGTTCGTGTTGTAGTCACGGCTCCATCACTGGCCCTCAAAATCTCATTTTGATAGCCACGACTAATGCGTGCTTCGCTCGTAGCAAGGAATCGTGTTCCCATTACCACCCCTGATGCCCCAAGACAGAGCGCCGCTGCAGCCCCTCTCCCATCTGCAATTCCACCGGCTGCGAAAATAGGTATCTGACTACTAGCCAGGACATCAGCAACCTCAGGAAACAAGGCCATAAGTCCAAGCCCATCTTTGGCCCGGCCATGACCCCCAGCCTCTGATCCTTGAACAACAATTACATCTGGCCGTTCAGAGCTCTGAATGAGTGACCTTGCTTCTTTGAGTGTTCCAATTTGTACCCATATTTGGGTATGAGACGATGCACTGCGGATTCTGCGTGACCACTCATCAATATCCTCCTGCCCTTCTCGCGGGGCGTAAAGCCAAGCCGCGCAGGGTTTATATTTTTTAATGGCCCCAATTGCAGTTTCGATGTCATCACTCCAGAGTTGAAAACCGACACCGACAGGGAGAAAAGGTGCAGTTGAGAATGAACTATTGGATTCGGATGATGTATGTGATGCCGAGGTAGATGATGCCCGGGAGCTCTCGATGGTTGCCGCAACCTTCTCAAGATCAGCTACCATATCAACCGTTTTGATAGTTGGTCCTAGAAATCCAAGCCCGCCAGCGCGCGATACGGCAAGGGCTAGGGCTGGTCCCGACATGACGCGCATTGGTGCGCTCACGATGAAGGGAGCTGACACCCATGGATAGGCGCGGGCAAGGTTCCCGGCGAGTTGCAAGGGGTGAGCCATTGTTCTCAGCTAACGCTAAAATCTGTATTATTTGACGATATGCCAAAGAAGAAATGGATCTTAAATTTCAAATTAGTCACTTCTTACCGAGGGTTGGATGTATTGTACAAGAGGAAGTAACAGAGAATGATTTGTAGTTGATATTAAGTAATTGGACGTTGACGTCAGCGTCCAAAATCTCGGAGCGGATATTACGGCATCGTCGGAAGTCTGAGTGGATGAGCTTACCTTTTTACATAGAAATAAATAGACTGAGTAATCATGAACACCATCCAATAATATTTAAGCAAACTTTAAAATTATCAAACACATATATTTTTTACTATTGCTTATAGTGTTACGCAACGATTGAATCGTGTATAATTGACCTCACAAGCATTTCTTCGTAGCGAAGTGTGATTCTATATTCATACTTCCTCTTATATAATTCTTCAATGCATTCAATCATGCTTAAGACGGGTTATCAGGGTAACACTCTTGAGTCTATCCAAATCTCTCCAGCGGAGTGCTAGATGCGTTCCCTAAAACATCAATCTTTTTCAGCTTAGTTGGTCCTAGTCTCTTTGCAACTTCTAATGCTCTGACGTTCTCTTTGACTTGTTCCCGCCCTAGATGCCCCAAAAATGACCGAACTGACATGTTTACTTTTCAATGTCCAAGCTAGTGCCAACAAAGTCAGACTCTCTGCATTAGATTCCTCTACTAATGGCTTGAGCCTTTCGACCAACGCTGAATTCTTTTGCCAAGTCTCATCGCCAAAACTCTTGCTGAAGGCCACTGTCAGAACTAGGGGGGTCGAGGGTGGGGGGTGCATCAACACCGTTATAATTTCCAGTCAAGATGCCTTGGTATAATGGACTCCGTATCGTTAAGCCAGTGCCATACTTCGGGTATAAGAAGCGGAATTTGCCTTCAACCTTTGTCCGATGAAGGAAATTGTACCGCGGTTGCTTAACGACGGTCCGACTAACGCTAGTCTTTTGGCAACGGTCAATGCATCTGCAATCTCAGTCGTAGAAGATAGGTTCGATTTAATCCGCCGTACTATCACGCCATAATAGGCCGACTGAGCAAACACCCTCAAAGTCTCGTGCCACTCAAACCTTAAACTGTAGTCGCTATTCCGGCAAGGAATCAACCGTGGAGTTCTAACAAAATCGGGTTTATTTAGCACACTAGATCACCTTGGAAGGGGAAGCGTTCCGTACTCGTTAGCTCATGGGGTGGGAAAACGAAAAGTTCCTGCCATTATAGGCACGAATATCGGAGAAATCATTAGGCAACTAATACGCTTCTCCATATAGAGACTTCATGGTCTAGAAGAAGAATAATAATCTGTTCGGTGCTTCAGGTTTTGTGGATCCTTATACATGTAGTCTTTAGATATCCATGATGTGAGTCCATCTTCTCAATCATATACACTCTAGGCTTAATTCCAACTTCATTCTCCGGGAAAATAACTCGTAAGCTGAATGCCCTCCATAAGATCCTGGTTTCATGTTATAGCCAAGTGCGATATTTCGTATAAAATGTGGCAACTAGAAAAGAAATTTAGTTATTCTGAAATAATTGATATATGCTACGCATTTTCTTGATGTCTTTCTAGATCCTCTGGTACAAATTGAAAAAGATTGACCCCTAAAAGCCCTGAAACATCAGCAACAGGTAATAGGCTTTGCAACCAGGGTTGTTCCTCGGGACATGATGTTGATATCTGAACTGGTGATTCATGTTCTGGGAGCAAATTATGAATTTGCAACACTTTATTTAATATTAGCTCCGCATCTTCATGCCTGCGGCGTTGGTATAGGAGAATAAGCATATACGCAGTACTGTAGGCTTCTTTGATCGTTTCCGTATCGTATATGGATACGACAAATTTGAGTGTGTCCATAGCCTGTGATAGAAGTGTGAGAGCTTCGCTGTTCTCCATCTCGAGGAGAATACTAATCATATTGAAAGGCACATTAGCTACATGATGCCAAGGACAACAATTTGATACCAGACTTCGGACTGCACGTAGACTTCTTCCAAACAAGTCCAGTACCAGCTCAATAGTTTTCCACGAAGAGGTAATGTTTGTCATATGGAGACGCCGAAGGAGACATAAGACCAGATTGCATTGAGCAAGAACTGATGGCGGCTGTATGTGAGTTCCTTTCAAGGTCTGTAATAGTAACCCCTGGATTTTCCTGTCGTCACAAGTGGCTTCGGGACCTAGGCAAGTAGATATCGGTAAGAGATTAAGTATTTCTACTGTCGAGTCATTGCTGGTGCCTGATGGAAGAATTGTCGAAGGACCGTTAGCAAGTGAAACCCTAGAGACACCTAAATCATAAGAGATCCACAAATTGAGATGTCGTGCAACCCCTACAAGTCGGTTTCGAATTTGGGTGTCGGTTACTGTCGGTATTGGAAGAGAATCTGTGTTTGTTGTGTCTTGATGGAAATGGTGGGCCTCAATCAGGTGCATCAAGGTACAGCTTGCTATCCATGTAGGGTATGGACGGGCTGTCAATCTTAAGTAAATCACTCGAAGAACCCAGGCAGTCACCAATTCTGCTGATGGAGTCCCATAATCCACGTGAACATCTAAAATATAGCGAGCTAATTCCACCAATTGGGCTTCTGTGTTGTTGATTCTTCTCTGTGAGAAGAGCGAACCAAGAGCGCCAACACCCGCTAGCACAGCATCATGTACGTCACCATTCAAGCGAGGTTGCCAACGCGCTTCTAGGCGGACAGAAAATACACTGACATCTATAAAGCCGTAGAATGGGTCAACCTTAGTGAAATAAACGTTGGAAAGTGCCTTAATATCATCAAGAAAGACGATGTCGACGATCGATAGGGGAGACACAGCAGCAACATTGGAAGGCAACTGACGGGTGCCAACATTCCAACCAAAGAGATTTCGTTTAGGTGCATTTATAGGATCTATTTTGAGTCCAGCTTTTCTTACGAAGGCTGCTCCAGAGTTTGCCTCCAGGGATTCCGCGAAAGCGCAATTATCTATTTCGTTTGTTGGCGCACCTTGGCTGGTTGGAATATTCGGTGAAACTTGAGCTGAGGTCGATCGTAGCGCAGAGACACTTCGTTTAGAGCGTGTTAACTTTTGATAGTAACACTTATAACCATAAATATTGCAGGTGGAGCAAGGAATCCCTCCGTTGCACCTCTTTTTTCGGTCTCGACATGGCTCGCAAGCCATGCGCGAACGCTTGCGTCTGGACTGTTGTTCGCTTGTGCGTGCCATCATTAGCAACAACAACAAAGAGGGAAAATAAAAAGAAATAAGTACAACATAAAAGTTTGATTAAGAATGAGAGAAGTGATATTTGAAGTTGACGTCGCCATGAAGGGGAAAACGACCAAAAAAAAGACAGAACGGAACAGAACAGGGGAGCTGCGGGAAATGCGGAATTACGGTATATCTCGTGCTGGGCTGAAATTGCACAACGATGAGCGATTTCTGGTCAAGATTATTGCAGTTATGAATATTGAGCTTAATCAATTGATTCAAGTAAATTTAACTTCTAAAACCTCCAAAAAGACAAGTCTCACGAACATAATTGACGTTGAGGCTTACGAGTGTGCCTCTAGGTTTGGATGACAGACTAAAGAATTTGCATTCTTATAGCTGCCTCGTAAGAAATTGGGCTTCTCCCATCCCAAAACTCCAATCAGCCCGACTATTTTCAACACAGGTTACAATAAGATCGTCACCAGAAACACCACATTCAGAGTGAAGGCTTTTTTGTAGGGCTTTATACACATCTTTCTTCTGTTGTTGATCTCGGCCTTGCTGAAAGATTTGAATAATGACTAGCTGATTACTACGAGAGTAGCCCAACCCGGAGTCCTCACAAATTATCTCATAGTCTTCATGCTGGGTAATAATCTTTCATCAAAAGTTAGTTTATGTTAATGATTGCGTAGCCAACGTTATATACTTACTTGGTAGCGATCTTGTTTGGGAGCACTGAAACTCTCAATCATAACTTGCTGGATGGTAGCACTTAGCTTCTGAATCCCCTCTCGTGTTCTGACCCCTTTTATAAGATCGATTTTGACAAGTGGCATATTAGAAAATTCTCTAGAAGGTGTAAAAAATACACCGGAAATCTATGGTTTATTCGTGTTTATCTGAGGTCAAGTTTGACAGTAGTTTATTAGAGGCTTAGACAACTACATAAAAATTTGAAGCCAATTTATATAGCTGAGTGGAAGGAAGTCAAATATGGCCATGGCATCTAGACAGATCCCGTTCCGAGGGCGGCACCCTGACAAATATTCCGCAATACCCGCTAGGCAGGTTGATCTCAACTGGAATACAATTCCCGAAGGCTGGAATATTCTTGGGCAAATGTTTCTGCAAAATAAAATATCATATAGATTTTCCGGGGCAGGAGACCGTAAAGCTGATATTGAATGACTAGTATAAGTCTTCCCCCCTCACTTGAACACGAATTTATGGTCATGTATGCGTTGTCTCATTTTTAAATGATCCACACCTGAGCCATTCTTTACATTCTCCGCAGAAACGATTATAAATGTATTTTCTAAGAGCAAATGATGATTATTCCAGTTGCACTTGAAATTACTTGCCAATAAATCATTTTATTCTCTTTGAACCTCTCTCACGTTGTAATATTGTAAGGTCAATGAGTTGTTTGGAATTGAATAAGGACAGAACGAAATGAGAACCCGCAATTTCCAGGTGTAATCTATTTTTAGAGCTTTAACCAAAGAAGGAATGCTCTCAATCTTTTATTTGGACCAAGATTGTGTTCTGCCTTTCCTAAGACTGTCATCATACCATCGAATAGTGCCGCCAGAGTGTCACGTGTGTGCGCAAGACTGCCAGTGTCCCTCATTTCAGAAAGAATATAAGCCTTAGTCTCCGGCAAAATATCGCCAAGGCTGTTTTCTCGGTGAAACAACAATCCGCGTACAATATCTGCCGCACGACTATTTTGAAGCAGATGTATGAGTGGAAAGGAAAACTTGCCTTCTGAGAGATCGTCACAGAAGCCTTTCTTAGCAGTATACTGTGGGTTATATTAATAGAAGGTTCAGATGTTAGACTTACGTCGCAGAAATAACATACCTCGTCTGATGTCAGGTTAAGATAGTCATCCCGAATTTGATAGTATCTTCCCAATAGTGTTACCAAATGAAGTGCTTCACCACATGGCACAGCATTCGATTCAACTTCCATGAGTCGTAATACCATTCTAAAGAACCCACCAGTCTTGTTATCGACCATGGTAAGGTATTCTGCAGTGGATGGGCATATCTTGTGGAATTTCCAATAGAGGTCGAGACCCTGGCCGAGACTAAGAGTTTCTAGTTCATCTTTTTTTATAAGTATAAACGTTTATCAATAGTATACTAAGTTTAATACTTAGGGCGTCTTTTGGCTCACCTAGGAAAGCCTTCTTACACCGAGCCTGATTTAGAAGCTCCAATTCTATACTCGCCTTAGCATATGCGAAAGTCGCGCTATTAATAGTTTGGCTCATGCCAAATACAACATGTGCAGCTGGTTTCCCACGTCGAAGAGTTGACTCGTCTTCAATATCGTCTATCCTGTATGTATATTAGTAAATATGATGAATCCTCAAGAAAATAAAGAACTAGCATTAGCGTTGAGTGAAACAGCATGGTCGTCACCCTCTCTATAATAGCAGCAGAATCGTCGGATACGTGGAACCAAATCCGCAAGCATTCGATAAATTTGCCAACAGTATTCTTTCCAGGTAATGACTTCGTGTAGTTGTAGGGTTCCATGCAGATCTTAGATTGTTAGTTCCTTCATCAACAACGTAACACATATTGCCAAACATACTGACTCGGCCTGTGCTTTTTGAAACGGTGCAAGAATGTCCGTGACGCATGATGACGAGTTGTCTACATATTGCGTTGTCACAACATCTGATATCTGGCTTTTATTGAATAATTGCGGTGAAGGATGCCCTGGGAGCTTCCAATCTTTATTACTACGCCCAATCAGCTGAGCGCGATCCGTTGCGCTTGTGCCCAGCTCTCTGCCATGATATCGTGGCGACCGGGCCTGGTAAAAACATCCGCCACCCACAGCCAAGATTGCAATAACCATATAGCGACGCAGGTCATTTGACTTGTTAACGGAAGAAGCTTTCCAGGTTTGATATGCGTCTAGAAGGCTTCGCTCAGCAAGTAAAATTTCCTTTTTGAGAATCTCTCTGGATTCATCCTCGGTATAGCCATAATTCGACATCAAGACTGCCATTGCGTTGTGTATAACGTCAAGGCTGTTCTTGCAAGCATGCTCATCAAATTCTTTGGGGAAACTGTATAGGTCGTTTGCCAAGCCGACAGCTAAATAGCCAAATTCAAGCATGGATAGAACCGAGTCCTGTTCTTCTCGGCTTATTTCTAGATCATATATAGAAGGTATCAAAACTTCTAGTAACCTAAAACTCCCTGTCAGTTCCAAAAATAGATATGTACCCGTACCATAGATAAACAATTTAGAGGTCTCCTCACTTCCCTGCGATTGTCACTGATCTATGTCTTTTATACTCTTCGAAAGTCACTTCGTGAAGTGGAGGGGCGCTCTGAGATCTCATGATAAAGTCAAATGATTGCAAGGCGTTCTTGTAAGCATCGCCATTGCCACCAATCTGTTTAAGCGATCGTACAACTGAATCAAGGTACACATTATTAATTTCGAACTCGCATGGCAAACGCTTTCCCTGTTTAATCTCTGATATAAGACCGAGACAATAATCATCTATGATTGCTTTGTGCTGAACAATTTGTCAACGGATGCATTAACAGATGAAGTCAGAACTCACTGTATTGCGATCAAGTATATCTGTTTCATCTACTTTCGTTAGACTAGGTAGACCCAGTTGCAATAGTTAACGTACCATCCCAGAGCACGAGCTTAGTCCCGAAATCGACGATAGGGGCCACCATATTTGATGGGCATTCTGGTAATACGTAGATTAACGGGCAATCTGTTTCCGCTGCAGTAAGTGGAGTAGCTTCTTTCCCAATGGACCTCTCCCAGTCGTCTTTTGCAGCCAAAATAGCTTCCAGCATACCTTCTCTGGGCTCAGATACGCGAAATGGAAGAATATGGAAGTATCCTTCTGGTAATTCACTGTGGTTCAGGACTCGGGAGTGTTGGAACGGAAAGTCGTCCAAGATTAACATTGTGACGATGCTAGAGGAGCAGTTATTATTATAGAGCAATTTGCTAGTTATTTGTTGTTTGAGGCTTAGTCAACGGTTTATAGTGACTCGAGATAGTAGATAAAGTATCAATAGAAAGTATCAAAGAACTTGATGTAATGGGTTAACTTCGAGAAGTGCGAGAGAAGTGGGCAGGAACGAGCGAAAATTGTGATGTGACACAATTATGCACCTAGCCCTGCTGAAGGGTGTACTCTAGGCGCTTTTCACTTAAGCGTTAGCTCCTACGTCAATAGCTTCGGAAATGTTTGCTTTTTTCGCGGTCAAGTGACGCGATGCCCAAAAGAGTTGCCTGCAGGTTCTGCCCAATCTCGTCTTCGAATGCATCAGGCCACGCAGTAATCATGTAACACAACATTGAAGCTACCCCGAATCTATTTTCGTATTAAAGAATGATTGAATATCTATACACCCGCTAGTAAATTTTGTAATTCATTGTACAGAATCATCGGAGCTGGGATCTAGTTCAAGGAAGTTAAATGGGGATCGAATGGATGGTTTGTGTTAGGCAAGTTCGGAATATTACTTACTCGTTTAATGTCTACCACATTCCCTAGGGATTTAAATATGTACCCACTGGTAACAAACACTGAATTTTATTATTACATAGATATATTTCGGATCATTGATATATTTTTCTTCTTTTTTTTAATATTTGAGTGAGAATAACATAAGGCCGCAATGTCTGTTCTTTCTAATCTCATCATATACATTAATATTTGAATTCTCATATTTCGAGAGCAAACTTGCTCTTGCGTCTAATTCGTGGTCCGAAGACCCGTAAGGCAAGAGGAATAGGAATCATGATTGCTGCCAAACACCCGAGTAAGGTTCCAGCCCATTGGATTCCCAGATTTTTGAACATTTGCCTTGAAAAGAGTGGAAACCCAGCTGCCACGCTTGATCGTAATATGATATTTGCCGCGACAGTTGAAGCTGCCCTTTTTATTCTCAACTGTTAGCCTGCTTTATTTGTCTGGCAATAGGTAGGCAAACTTACAAGGGTAGATAGCAATCGACTAGATAGTTGAAACATGGAAGAAAGATACACAAAACGCCAAATCCGATCAAAACCCCGGCAGTGGTTGGAACCATCCAGTGAATAGTATCAGTAAAACCAGTCCAGCCAAACCTAGATTCTTGTAAGTAAATGTTAAGGGACTCCGTCAATTGATGACCCTAATGTATTTTTCAACCTACCAAAATATTCCAGCAGTAAATACTGGAGCGCCAACAATAGCCGGCAACAAGCCCCATTCTGGAACGGGGATATTCTTATTACTAATGAGTCGTTTGACATATGTCGAGTGTTGAGAAAGAATGAAAGTGCATGCTAATAGTTGTCCAATAACAAGGCCAATAAATGTAAGGCCGCTGATTCCGGGTTTCATTCCATAAGATGACTCGAATACATACGGATATGCTTCAAGGAGGGCATACACTAGTCCATAGATAAAGGACATGTAGAGGGATACTAGCAATATAATTGGCTCTGTAATCAGCATCCTCAACGGACGGAGAAAGTTCTTCTGAATCAACTCCTGAAAATCTATCTCCACTTCATCGTGCTTGGCATGTATACCCCAGTTAAGGGTCTGTCGTCGAATAACCGCCGCTTTTGTGCTCAGAAGACACGGTGCATATGTTTCCGAAAAAAAGAATAGGAATAGAGTTGCAGATGCAAATCCAAAGAATGCAGGAATATAAAGACTCCACCGCCAGCCAAGTGAGCTCGAAGTGATAAAACCGCCGGTGAAAGGAGCCATAAAGGGACCCGTAAAAACGGTAAGAGAATAAATGGCAATGGCAACGCCTCGTTGAGTATTATCATATAAGTCCGATAATACCGCTGGAACAACGGAAAGCTGGCTAGCACCAAAGAGACCCGCAAAGAATCGACACACAATCACTGTTTGTATATCTTTGCCCATAGCTGAGGCGATTGTGAAAATAGCAGCACCAAAATTACCCACAGTTAACGGCCATCGCCTGCCTATCAGCTCAGAAGCAGGCGCCCAAATCATGGGACCAAATGCAAAACCCAAAACATACAAAGTTGTGCCAAGAGTGCTCACTTCCTGACTGACGCTGAATTGTCGAGCCACGCCACTAGTGCCTGGAGCAAAGATTGCACTAGTGAACGAAGAAATAAAAGTGCCAAAACAAGCGATCAGGGATAGATAGAATCTAATAGAATCATAATATATGTCAGCAAGTAGACACGTTATGGAGGGATACAGGTAAACAGAATTCAAACCAACATACTTCACAGCAAAACTCCAATTGTATGGATGGTCCGGATCATCAAACCCATCGAATTCGACAAGATAGTCGTCTGAATCAGGTAGCGGCGGCGGAAATGCTTTCCCTCCCCCCATGGATAGAGGCTTTTCCTGGAATTCTCTTTTCTGGCCACTACGGGTAGATCCCACAGTTAATCTGTGTTGCAAGCGATTTGTCTGTGTTTGAGCTAGCTGGAGCACATCGAGTAAGTTGAGGTCATCGCTCGTGCTGCTTATTCGTGAGATTTGGTCATGCATTATTTCTTTTTAATATTTCAAAATATTTATAGACAAACCCAGATTAGATGCAGAAAATGATTGTGTCGCGACGCATTTCATATGATGCACAGTCGCTGTTTTTAACTCAATGTGCATGAAAATTGATCCTGTTATGTCATCGGAACTCATGGAATTCCAGGGCCGACTTAGGATAATTCCACTCCATATAAATGAGACAGATTGACAACTATTATTAATTTATGTCGGATCATGGAGACACATCGGGTATTGCGGGAACTGTTCGCTACACATTTTGGTCCCGCAGTTCCCGGTTCGTAAGCATCATTTGATGCCTCAGAATCATTGACGTCTGGTGCAAGCTCGCCAGATATTATTGTATCTTTATATTCACGTCAAACTAGTTTTTTATATAGTTTTAAAAGTTAGGTCTTTATGCCGCTATATTCTCGAAAAGTATAATCCGCTGTCTGAAAGTTTACGATTTTGTCAATATTTTCAATAGAACGCTGACATTGAAACATAGGTCCTGCCGTAATATCCGAGTTATATTGCATGTGTATGTTGCAAATTTGTCATATATTTGCTCAACCAAAGAAAAATTCATCAATAAGCCTTCTCTATAGGTTCGTTTAATAAATAACTTTGTTTACCAGATAAAGAATCTTAGTAGAGTTCTGTGTCAACAGAAAAACAAAGTCCCTGATGCCAATTTCAAAATCCTGTACAACATACCCCAAATCGAACATTCAAAATTAAAAACTTACAGTAAAAAAGGGTTGAGGGCCACGTATATACTGTTCCTTCTAATTATTCGCACGGTGGCGCTGTTTCTATGTGCTCGGTTAGTTACCGCTCGTTGACGGGACATACTACTAGTCTGATGCACCTGAAACTGAGACCAGGCTTGGATAGAAGGCAAGCACAGCTTAATACTTGTCTATATTAACGGGAACATATTTATCTTGCAAGTATACGCCACTTTTCAAACTAGTAGGCATCCAACTTGTGTCTCAAGTTCGGAGTGACTTAGGACATTCAGGATATGTGACATACCTTGTAACATCTTATAGTAGGTTCGCATGTACTCGATACTACGACTAGAGTATCATTAGCGTGGAGAGTATGAGAACGTTATAATTTGGAGGACTAACTAACGAAGCTATCTGAGTGAGTATTTGTGGGTGTTTGCCGAAGGCTAGGAGGGCTGAGGCACCTGAGACACCTAACAATATTCAGACAGGACGACAATAAAATTATTTGATCGCTTTCTTTCCAATTCCAATGTGATGAGGTGGCAAACAACAAGGAATTTTTCATACCAACAGTAAATCGTTTAGGGGTGAAAAATTGCCCTCCAATGGCATTCAATTCTCAAGATCAGTATTACCAGCGCGGCCAGCCATAATTTGGTCGAGTCGAGATGGTAGGATACTAGTTGATCAGCACGAATCCGGTACTTGTACACTTCTTAAATTACTACGCAGAAGTTGGCCATGCCACTCCAAATAGCTAAATGCAGGACCAAGAAATGGCTTTCGTGACAATTAAGGTTTTGAGACCCTGTCAGGATCCAGCTCGGTCGATCTCGCCTTTCAACAGGACCCACTGAGTTCTATATCACACTACTCTTTAAATAGAGCTAATTCTAATAGTCTGGCATAAGAACTGCAACGTGGATGTCCTGAACAAAGTATTTCATAATTTAACTCCACTAAATCCTTCGCTAGGAATTGATCTACATGGGGGTGGCCCGAGATCGGAAATTTATTGGTCCACCACGAGAGCTAAATTAACCCTAACTTGCCAGCCGGTGCCCAACAAGGCAACCCTTTCCACGCTAAAGTGAGATCTCGGAGGAACTATTGAATGTACAGCTGTGATAATAAATGCAGTAGTTCGCACACAATTTCACTCAAATTTGAAAATTAGACCTGTTGCTTTTTCTGTCCACCACGATCTTTTCTCAAGGGTAGTACGGAGCAGCTCACTCGGAATTAAGTTCCACGAGGCGGAAATTATATCCTGATGTCCTAATGTTCCTTGTGGTTTGCGCTGAAAGGACAAACACCAAACAATATATTGGCTCTAAGGGTTCCGCGGGGGTATTCTAGCCCAAATTTCATCTGGCCTCTATACACCACTACTAGTTTGATGTCCAGTCCGGAGCTAGTCGGCACCTGGTACTGGTGGTAGTTGCTGACGGGATTCATGATCAATTAGCTTTCTTGTATATTTGGATCTTACTGGCTCAATGCTCAAAAACATCTAGGTTTCAAAAGGAGCTATCATAACTAGAAAAACACTAAATACCACCGGTGGAGGCTGATCTACTTGTCTGTCACGTTTATGAGTTTTCCTTCCCTTCTGGGAATGAACTTAAAGCTCATTTTCATATTTTAACTTTATGTGTTGTATCGAGGCTGATTTCCCAGAAATCCCATGTTATGTCTAGTTGCTAGGCGTCAATGTGTATTTATAGTCTCGTTTGCCCTGGTTTAATCTACAGATTTTATTCTGTCTACAGACGTCAGCCAGACACAATCTAATCCCTTAGAGTGGATCTGACAGCCTCGGCTATCTTGCACTAAAACATGGTCTCGTCTCTTTTGATGCAACTGGCGCTGTCCGTGGCTTTCAATGCCTTCTCTACAGTTGCTGCCCCAACAACATATGAACCTAAGGAAGGGTTTGATGCAGTCCCGACAGGATGGGAGCAGATTTCTGCTGCTTCAGCCACGGACGTGTTGAGCCTGCGGTTATCCATGGCACCTGCTGATGAGGCAAACTTATTTGACCTTATTCTCAACCTCGCTACACCCGGTCACGCATCTTACGGCCAATTCTTGTCGGCTGACCAACTCAAAGACCTTGTAGCCCCATCTTCAGCAGCCTCTGATGCTGTAACTTCCTGGCTCAAGGAGCAGAACCTGGATCCTGACGCAATCCAAAACCATGGCAGCTATCTTTCCTTTGCAATACCTGTCGAACAGGCTGAGAAAATGCTGCAGACAAAGTTCTACAACTTCAAAAGTACAGCGACGGGCGAGGTTCGCACTCTCACGCTCAAATACTCCGTACCCAAGTCGATCGCCAACTATATCGAGACAATTCAGCCGACCACCGACTTCATTGAAATCGATGGTCCGTTACTCCAAACATACGGAACCGTTGATATAAGCAATAACAGCGCCTCTGCCGAAGCTGGTGTACCTATTGAGAGCTGCAACCAACAAGTAACCCCAGCCTGCCTTCAGTCCCTGTACGGCTTACCCTCTAAAGGCCTAAACCCAACTCCAAATCAGGGTCTGGCGGTTCCCGGATTCTTAAACGAGTACGCTAGTTACGATGACTTAAATCTTTTCCTTTTAAACCTCCGTCCTGATCTAAATCCTCGCCCTTCTTTCGAATTCGCCTCCGTCGACGGCGGGATAAACACTCAGAGCCAGCCCGGGGTTGAAGCCAATCTCGACATTCAATACACCGTCGGCTTGGCCAACGGACTCCAAACGACTTTCATTTCCGTAGGACTGAGTAACCTTCAAGGATTCACCGATGTCTTCAACTACATACTCCAGCTACAAAACCCTCCTCCAGTCCTCTCCATATCTTACGGTTTCAATGAAAATGCCTTGTCGCGAGGCGCTGCAACTAGCATGTGCAATCTCTTGGCTCAGCTCGGTGCTCGAGGTGTGTCAGTAATTGTCGCCAGCGGCGATGGCGGAGTCGCTGGCAGCAGACCTAGCGACTCTTGCAACGCTTTTGTTCCCACGTTTCCGGCGAGTTGCCCATATGTTACTGCTGTTGGTGCCTCAACAGCCATTCCTGAGGTTGGAGCTACGCTCTCTGCTGGTGGATTCTCAAACTTCTTTGGGCGTCCCCTATACCAGGATGCCGCCGTATCTAGGTATCTGAATACCCTCGGATCCCAATATAGTGGCCGATTCAACCCCAACGGCCGCGCATACCCCGACGTTTCTGCCCAGGGAGAAAACATCGTTATCGTGCTGCAGGGCCAGGGTACTTTGGTGGACGGAACCAGGTAGGACTCCTATTGATCTTGGGTGCAAGGTAAAATTGATATTGATGCTTATGCTGATCCGATACAGTGCTTCCGCTCCAATTTTTGCATCGACCATTGCTCTCCTTAACGCTGAGCGTAGCCCACTGCCACCTTTGGGATTTTTGAACCCGTGGCTGTATGTCCAGAGCGGTGTGTTGAACGACGTCGTCTCTGGTAGCAACCCAGGGTGCAGTACCAATGGCTTTCCAGCTACACGGGGCTGGGACCCTGTTACTGGTCTTGGAACGCCTAACTATCAAAATATGCAGGGTCTTATTTAATGAAAGTCAAGACCTGATGGACCTTCTTCCAGATTTTTATAGCTAATGTTTACTACGCCTGTATGCTAGCTAGTAGAAATAATATGATACATAATTTTAATGTTAATGTTGTCCATCAAACTTATAGAAATACACTCGTAGATTACCTAATTTACATGCGACATTTAATTTTGTTTATCAACGCCTCCAGCTCTTCTTGCTACCGTTATCCCCAGCGTCCATGCTATCTTGGGACAGTTGTCGTTCAGCGTCTAACATGCTATCAAACTCTCTCTGTGCGACATCCCGCTCTTTTTGTCGAGCCTGTTCTTCGGTCTGATAATCCGAGCCAAAATTCTGTGACTGTTGCACCTTCTGCTGCTGTTGCTCATAAGCGCGCCTTCTCCAATCTGAAATCGAATTCATGTTGTCCGTCGATTGACCCGAAGAACCAGCACGCTGTTGTCGAATACGTTCCCAAGCGTTTGTTGGCGGAGCCCCATTCGGGCCCCCACGTGGTCTTTCTTGCTTTGGAGCCGTCTGGTCTTCATAGCCAAAGGCTCCAGCATCTTGTTCTTGGCCATCAAACCCAAAATCAACCGAATCTGCCGCAACAGGTGCCCGATCTCGTCGGCCATAGTCCATTTCCGGGGGCTCTTCAGCACTTCCCGTTGTTGTCGCCGTTGTTTGATGACGAGTCGCTTCACGTTCCTCGCGTTTCTTCCGACGTGCTTCCTCCGTAGTAGTTTCGAATTGCTGCATACGTGCTTTCGTATACCGCTGAATCGCAGCACGGAAATCCTCCAGTCGCGAATCTGTCGCCACAGCCGTTGTGATACGATAGGCTGCAAAGGCCTGCAGATTGCCCATCATAAACAGCACCCAAAACGACAAGCGAAGACCAGCCTGAAAGGCCACCGATCGACGTTCCATGACGGTGGCTTGCTTCCAGGCATTTTGCACATTATCGAAGAATGAGGCTTGCTTAGGCATGTTAAGTTTGCTTCGTATCGTATAGCTTGCATGTATGAGGCCAGCGGATATGCCGAGCGGGAGACCGAGCTGTCGGACGTTCACTTCGCGACTTGTGAGTTCTACCCATGCGTTGGTCTCGGCCTGTGTTGGATCTCGGCGGAGTAGCTGGCGGGAGCCCTCGAGGTGTTTTTTCAAACGGGCTAGTACCGCTCGTTCCCAATTCCAGGGGCCAGCAAAGCCTACGTATAGATAAAACGCATTGGGGCGGTGTAGATACTGGCGTTCGAGTTTGTTCGGGAATAATGCGGCGTACGGACTGCCGGGGTCTGGGTTATTCCAAGTATCTGTATCTCGGGGTGTGTCAGACAAGGTATCGTTATCAAGCACCATTTTGAATCCACGAAAATATGTTCTTATAGAAATAATAAACGGTTCGAGGTGTTGATGGGAGGTTGTGGGGAAAACGAGATAGCTTGCTCGGAGCTCTGTCCCGCAAAGACGTGACGTCGTGTGGCCGCTTAGTCATCCACAAGCCCCACGTCAACAAATAAACATAATTCAATTCTTTGCCTGGTCGTTGTGAAGATTATTACGAATTTTCCATTTTAAGTAAAACTTTACAGGTTAAAAGAAAATTTTGTTACTCTGTATATTTCCTCAGCTTGAGGCGTTAAATTGACAATATATATATATAGATAGCGCGTTAATCGCCCTCGCGGGCTACACTGTAAGTAGTAAGCTTTTGCTCAACCTGCACGCATGCATTTCAGAAAATGTTCAAAAAGTCGGGTACGACAAATGCATGCTCATAAAGAGTGGAAATGACACTCGACAATCGCTTTCAAATAGAAGAGCATATAGAACGAAACAATGGTTATGGTATATACGCGATCATGCAGGGAACCAGGATAAGTGAGAGAATATCATACAAATATCGCTGTCAAAAGAATATCAGAATGAAGGAATTCGTAGTCTCGTAACGTTATTAGTCGATGTAAGAAGCGACATGAAGCGCGCGGAGGGAAACAATCAAGTAGCAGCGAAAAAGGCCAAGCAGAAGAAGTAAATGAACCAGATCTAGAATGCATTTTCAATGGGCATGGGAATGCTCTCATATGGAGAGACTGCTGTCTTTTCAGAAGACTCTGTCGGCGGAGACCGTACGCTGGGACCACGGCTGTTGCTTCGCATCCGGCCTGTGAAATTTCGGATCTTTGTCGCAAAACTTTCGTTTATGCTGCGGCCTCGTCTATGATCAGTCGAAATCCTGCGCGAGTGCTGAGTATCGGCGCCAGTCGTGACGGGTCGCAAAATTTCATGACCCGCACGGGAATTATCCATAACATTACCAATGGAAGCGGGATCCTTCAGCCTTGAACCGCTGGAACTTGGGACAGGGGGAGGCGGTGGTGGTGTAGTCAGGTGCTGTAGCTCTGGAAGAATAGGTGGGGATACCTTCGTGTTGTCGATAATAATCTCGTTTTCGACATTGACAGGTAAGGGTGGGGATCCATAAGAAACAGACCCGATCTCCCGAGAATTCTCACGCCGATGCCCTCGTGGGCCACGAGTTCTGCTTGTCGATCTGCTTCTCGGAAGTCCTGGGATGTACCGAGGATGATGAGGAATATCAACGGGTGCTGGGTTTTGGAATTCAATGGCCGGGACGGACATAGACCGACTAATACTTGCGGCTTCTGATTGATACACCGTATTGGGCAGCGTCAATGGTATTCCTGGAACAGCAGGGACCTCCTCCTCAAGATATCCATCGCTGTATTTAGGATGCCGCATCGCTTTCGGGGTTGCAGGTAAGCCGAGAGGCCCGGTTCGGCCATGAGAGGACGAGCTTGAATCGGATCCATTGGGTATCTCTGGTGACCGCTTACTGGCGTTGCTCTGGGATCGCATACGTCGGCCAAATGATCCACCAGATGATGGGGGACTTTCTGGAGCCTTGCCACCCATGGACGTGGTATTTGAATTCGCCTTAAAGTCACCAGGCCGAGGGATGTTCGGAGCAGAGGGGCGTCGAGCAAGGGATAGACGTCGTGCTTCAAGCTCCGCAGCTGCCAGCTCTCTCCTGACCCGCTCATCTGCGCTCAAAATACTAGATTCATTCCCAGAACCTTGCTTTTGTGGCTCTTCCACTAACTCTGCGGGAGGATGCTGTGGGGTGAGCTGCGGAGTGAGCTCAGAAGTGGGCTGGGCTCCGGGGGCCTGACGGCTGCTTGATCGAGCTCTGGGTCGTCGTTTGTCGGGTGATGCATCACGCCGGGTACTGGTTCCACGGTCTGCACGGCGACTTGAACTTCTTGGTTGAGACCTTTGCAGCCTTTCACGATCGCTTGTGACAAAGCGCAGACTTTCCTCAAACCCTCGCAGTTCTTCGGATGGTGACATCGGCAGAGGCGAGCTAGGAGATTGCAGGACAGATCTATTCCTGTCACTACTACGCCCTCGGCTGTGTCGTCGACGACTGGAATTGCGACTACGCGCCTTATTCTTCTTATCAACTCCTCTAGATGTGGAACGTTGACGATTTTCTGTCGTGGAAGAGTCACGAGCGCGTGATCTGCCTTTGGTGTGGCTTCTGCTCCTCGGTTTGGCCCGGTCAGTACCAAGACTCTCGACGCTTGCATTGTATTTTGCAAACTCCTCGGGGGACATCGGAACAGGGGAAGATGGCGATCGCTTTGCTGGCGCAATATACCGGGTATTAGGTCGACCACGGGATTCCACCGACGGGTTCCTAGATTTATGCTTGTGCTCACTACCACTGGTGTCCCCATGACCCGCCGGCTTTGCTTGAGGGCGGCGGAATTGCTTGGCATAATAGTTGGCCTCATCGAGACTACTGATGTACTGATCGATGCTGCGACCACTGACAAGGGGGCTCTTGGTAGCACGTAGGCCATGGAAAACCGATGCCGGGCTTTTACCATCACCATCAGTATTTTCAGAATATGAAGGGTATCCGCCAGTTTCAGACTCAGAAGTATCGATAGGGGGCCATTGGATATGAAGACCCTCCGGCTTACGATCCCGGGAACCATTTCTGGTTAGACTGTACTCCTTTAGAGTCTCAAAAACGCCAGCGGCCGGGGAGGGTAGACCCTTAATGCCATGGAATTTGTTTGGTGCTGCTTGCACAGCGGTTTGTGGGCTGGGACCATGACTGGTTTCTCCTGGTTCATATCGAGCAGAAGATAATAGTAACGTAGATACACCGCTATCTTTCGCAGCACCCTCGTCTTCAGCGTTAGAGTCGCTTGCCCTTTCCTTTCCCGAACTCGAGTCTCCGGATCTGGCAAGTGATCTTTGGGGGAAGCTGGGTGGTTGAACATCAACCGGTGTTTCACCGATGGAAGGTAGACGTTGGCGACGATGCGTAATACTGGGGGTGCCAGTTCTGGAAGACATTGCATTATTGATGTTCCGAATGTTATTGAGCCTGTAGGCACCAAGGCCCCCCGGTGAAAGAGCAGATTCTCCAACGGCCGATTCAGCAATGGGTGTGATCCCTGGAGCATTTGTAGGGGTACGGTCATCAGACTTGAGACCAGGGAATTTGAATTGATTCGCTTGAGGACCAAATGATGTAATAAGTTTGAGTGCCGAGTTCTTCACGGTCATCCGATTAGCTTGATCCGGTCGCGATTGATCGGCTGGCTGTGGCTGCGGTTCTGAGACAGGCGAGGTTACGCGAATATCACGATAAGGAGCAGTGGGGGCTGTAGGAGACCTCCATGGTTCGGAGGGCTCAGCTCCTGTACACATGAAGCACCGGATAGCTAGTTGCTGCTGGGAATTCGATACCACATGCTCGCCCCACCGACGAACGAGATACGATTGCCGTTGCCAGTCACCGGGCAGCAAGAGACAAGTCATCAGGATAGCTTCCATGAAATAGTTACGGGACACGTAAACTTCGATAGCGTCATTTTTGTCTCCTAGAGCCAAAAGTATGGTGGCAGAAGCATGGATATCACCAACTTCCAGCAGTCGTTGTACGAAACTTTGACCAACCTTATTAGATTGTTCTTGACCACCCATTTGACTGAGAGCAAGAAACATCCAAGCAGATGAACTAACGGGACCATTACTGAGCATGGCCATTATTTGCGTAGGATCATGTTCTCCAAGCCAGCGTGATAGAAATATTGCGTTCTGACTGTTCGGAGCGTGACGGCTTACTATGGGAATAATATCATTAGGCACCTTTTAATAAGACGAGACGACATTGAAACTTACGTTCATCGTGAATCAGTTCCTCAATATCTCCTTCCCACCCAAAAACCACCCTAAGCATTTGCCGTCGCAAGTCCTCCGGAGTTAAACGGGATTCATCAAGGGGAGGAGCATGTTGGTTGTACGGAACATCGTTAAGCCGTGCTCTTGTGAAGGGGAATAGGTCCTCCAACGGTTTATCTGTAGGGCTTCGGGAAACTTCGTTTTTGAGACGTGAGCCGCCACGTGAGCGGACAGAGGAGACAACGGATGCAGAAGAGCCATATGCAATCGAAGTGCCGGTTTGGGAAGGCTGGCGACCAAGTGGTGAAGTCATGGAAAAAGTGGTGCCACTGTAGGTCGATTTGACCGGGGGAGAGAACGGTCGGACTCGCCCAGACGAAGCTCGCGAACTGATCGAGTTTGTGTGACTGCGAACCGACATGGGGCTGGTCATATTTGCCCGTTGTTGGGTGGCTATCTCGTGAATCGACACTTCTGGCCCTCGGAATCCATGGGCACTGTGAATAGCACCACCTCTGTCAAAGTATGCCGGTGAGTTTGGTCTAAGCTTTGGGTCTTCTATGGCCGCTGACTGGTCCAAAGGAAGATGGCGTACATTTGCCACCATAGCAGGATTATCCAAGTCATATTGCTGGACGGTATCATTAGGACCGAGTGTGAAGAGAGTGGCGGTCGGGCCGTAGTTAGCCATTCCTAGAACGTCCTCGATTGTTGGGATCGTCACATATGTGACGTTTTTAGTTCGAACGTCCCAGACCCAGGTTTCCCTATATCAAATTAGATGGTTGGTAGTAAAGTAGCAATCACGCTTCGACTAACCTGTCAGAATATTGTACAATCTTCCCATTTTTCGACCATGCAATCCACTTGGGGCCTGATGAATAAGGTTCTGTTCTCTTTATAGGCCGGATCACGCGAGGGGATTCGGTTGACGGGGCCTTTGCCACACTCCACACTCGAAGATCGCCATCCAAGGTTTGCGTAGCAAGCATATCAGACTTTTGCTTTGAAGATGAGGCGTGCCAGGCGACACAAACAATCGGCGAGGGCCCACGAGCAGTGGTTAAGGTGTGAAGAATTGTGAATGTAGGATGCAAGGTGGCTATCAAGATAGAACCATTTTGATAGCTAGCTATGTCAGCTTATTTCTCTATGAAGCTAACGGAGGCATGATATTACCCAATAGCATAGGTTCGACAGTCTGACCCAGGAGCCAATGATGTGATAGGATCAAATATTGTGCGGGCAGAGATATGTTCTGATGTGGAGGGCTCAAAAAGGATCACTTCTCCCTTGCCATTTCCTGAAATCTTTTAATACGAGGCATTCATGGACTGGGGACTATTTGATGGGTATTTACCGAAGGCCACATTGCCATTTCTCATCCAGGCAGCTACTCGTAAAGGTTCGAACGAAGCGAATCGTGAGATCTCGCTGCCCGTGAAAAGGTCCCAGACGATAGCAGTTTGCGCATAATCATAGCTCACCACCAATCGACCGGCTCCGCGTTCACTGACATTGTCGACACATATGAAGGCGATCCTCTCTTGGTGCAATGAAAACCGGCGCTCGATGGCCAAGGTATCATGATGCAGACATAGAATGACAGAACCTTGCGAGAACAGAAATAATGAGGCAGTAGAGGCGCATGGCAGGAATTCCGAATCCCACGTCGATTCGAGGGGCGTCACTGGGGCCGTTGATTGCGAGCTTGATGCCACAGATCGATGCCACGACAAGTCGGCCATTGTCAAAGGTCACACGCGGTTTGAGCTATCCATTGATCAGTATGAAACCAACATGGGCTGAGTGTCGAGCGCGATTGACTCAATGCACACAATGACTCGATGTACATATAAAAGCACAAGTATGAGTCACTTGATGCATGTGCTAAATCACAATGACGGGCAGCAAGCTCAAAGTCATAAAGAATAGAAAGAAAACCGGAGGCATCAAAAAGGCATCAAAAACTGTTGGAGGGGTAAGAGAGGGTGACACAGCCAGGGGTATCAGGTATTTGGTTACACATGGGTATTCAAAAAGACTGCTTACCCTGAAAGTCGGGATCAATCCAAGCAGGAGACTGCGCCGTCTACCTGTTGAATATCCGAAGTGTGAACGGCTAGGCGCGAGCGTACCTTGACGACCACGACATGCAGAAAAGTCGTTGTGGGTGTTGCTGTGGGAAAAAATCTTTTTTTTCTTCTTTCTTGCTTCCTTGTCCGACCAGGCAGGGGGGTCAGGGAGATGGCGGACAGGCGCGCGCGAAAGAGTTTCAAGATGGTGTGAAGCAAGAAAGATAGTGTCGACAGCCAGAGGACAGATGCAGCAGCTTACATAGTGTACTATTGAGGGGCAGGGGTCAGGAGATGCAGGCACCGTGGAGCAGCCAACGGCATCAACCCAGCGTAGCAATAAGGTAAAAGCGAGGGCCGATCCGCAATGGAGAGTCGAATTGGGCTGTCAATCAAGCGTGCAAGGATGTGGGCTGGGAAGCCGTGGGGTTGTCAGCAAGAGTGACTGGCCTGGCTGGCTCTGTGCTTCATTTTATTCATTTGCGAACAGCGCCAACGAGCGTGCGCCGAGCACGATGCGGCGGGCGATGCGCATCACCGATGAGGCCAATGATTATGACTGACGGCGGGCATTGGCATGGATGATGCTCTTTGGTGGAGACGCTGGCCAAGCTTAACGGGTGGATCGAGAAGAGAGAGCTTTGGCGATAACAACCAGGACTGACTGAGTGAGTGACTGGCTAGCCTGTGGCGAGTTAGCTCGACTGTGGACAGGACGCTGGGCTTGCATCGGATCGCAACCGAAGCTGCTGCTGGCCTCGCACGGGGAGTCGACTTGCATGAGGGCACCGCATGTCGCCGCGATGGACCAAATGTTCAATTGAGATGGATTAGTCGATGGCTAGCAAAAGCATGGGCATGCATGGTGCAGTCTACCATCTACTATCGAGTATCCGCAAATGGAGTGGAAAGCGATGGGTGATCGACACGCAAAGAAAGAGCGCAGGCAGTCAGTCGCGGGGGAAGGAGCGACTGCTTGCAATTCGCAGCAGGCAGGAGCAGGCTCAGTCCGTCGTCGGGAAGCTGCGATTGGCATAGGGCTCGGCCTGCTCCTGCCTCAGAAGCCTAGGGCATCTCCTCGGGCGCGTTAGGGCGCGTTAGGGCGCTTTAGCGCCTGCTGCAAGACGCAGGCGCGGGCCCGTGATTGGCAGGCATCGTTTCTTCACGCTGCAGCCCTCATCACCCGGCACCAGCCAATCGCCGCGCTGAAGAACCCTGCAAGCTGCAGCATCCCCGGGGAATCACCCCCGCCCCGCCGCGCTAAAACAAGGCCCGGCGCGTAGACTCTCCCTTGTTAATCTTGTGGAATGATCAGTCTACTGACTAAGTGACGGCTCGACTTAGTCTCCCATGTACCCAGCATGTGGACGGCCTGACTTGCCAGCGTCGATCGAATCGCAGCTCGCGAGGAACTGCTCTAAATTAAGAACTTAAGATCAGACCCTCTGCATTTCTTGCGCCTCCTTCCAGCCTGGTTCTGTGGTCAATCGTCGTGGTCAACCGTCAACACCGCTAGTCCTGGGTAGTACCAATGATCTGAGTCGCCGTTTCCCGGAGGAATAAGAACGAACGAAGATTGCGGGATGATATGATGGAGCATGGATGGCTGCTCACTTTGGTGGCCATCGCCGACCGACCCGCGACGTAACAGTGATGGCCCAGGTAGCGTCGCTTAGTTTGCACTCGAACCAAGGTACTCCGGGGACAACGCTGCACTAAAATTGAGGACAGAAGAGAAAGATTTCAATCTGGACTGGACAGTGGACCGGCAGTTAGCGGTGAGCACGTACCTATCTTGTATCGACTTTAGCACACAGAGAGCCCAGTGACATGCAATAATAGTGTCGCGAGTAATGCAACGTCCACTGAGCAGCCGAGGTATATATAGATTTTATTTCATATATGGTCTATCTGCAGACACTGCCCGCGAGACAGACTGGAATTCTTGCCTTTCATCAATGGATGGATTAATTCTGTGGATGCAATATTAATAATAATAAGAATGCTCTACTCTGCCAGAGTTGGTGGAGCAGGGGATCGCTGAAGAATTCTCCACCGTCCGTGCTTGCGGTCCTTCCCGCGTTGTGATTATTCCGAGCCATTTTTATCTCAATCATTACAGTAACAACTGTTATTGTGATGCTTATTATGGGTGTATCAGCACGTGATGGATGTGATATGTTGGGGTTTTTCTTCCATGCACGAGGACAAGGCGGCAAGTGGACTAGTAGTGGAATAATCAGAAATATGCGCCAGAAAGAAAAAGTGTGCCAATCGACGTGCCTAGTACGAATCACCAGATTTGCCATTTGACTGCCAACTGTGTCACCGACCTCTCATTTGTTGGTTTTTGGCATTTTCATTTTTAAATTCTCACCAACACGATATTATCAACGAGTATTATGATAATCAACGTGATCATCCTCGTATAAATCACAGTATTAAGGAGAGTGACGGGATGGCGAGCTTACAGCTAGGGCTACGCCAACCCAAACAGGACGTTCCTAGCCGTAATCAGGCAATAGTTTCGCTGTCCTCGCCGAGCCTTCAGGGCGAGAATGGGACAAGACGATAATAACGGGCACGGAAAATGCCTCGAAAATTCCGATGGCTGGAGAGAAATGCAAAAAGTCCCAGGCCTGACCTCTACTTCTGCCCCACTCGACAGGAAGGTGCAACTACCAGGTAGTAGTACTCATTACTTGTAGTGGATACGGTGATATGTCAACCCCGCACATGCATGGTGCTGTCATTCCAAGCTTCACAATAATAGTTAACTTGTTGCTTTGCTATTTCTTTTCTTTTTCTTCTTTTTCTTCTTTTTCTTCCTTTGGCTTGTCTTTCTTTGTTCCCTCCGAAGCCTATTCTTCATTTTACTCCAATTTCTTTGTCCGCGCACGGGCTCCAGTTGGGGATGTGACGGACATGCATCCGAGATTGATGACAGCGGGCGGGTTTGTTTGACCCCGCTCGGACTAGCAGTAGTAGTTGGAGTTGATCGGTTAGCCGAGTTCACAAGAGCAAGCAAGACTGACCAGATCCAAACCTTCGTTGTCGTAAAAAAGTGTGACGATAATCGCCATCAAGGCCCAGCCCCGTCAGTGCGCATATCGCCCAAGGCATGAGCCAATTGGGTCCGATATGTTTGACTTCGGATATAATGAGAATGGAAGCAGAAAATGCACCACGCCAGCCACTATTAATCTAACTGTCAATGGAAGTCGGTTCTGCCGATGCCGACAGCTTAATCTGAATCGCTTATTACGCTGTTGTCCTAGTCTCCCAGCCACATTTCTCGAAATAGACAGACTATGCCCAGAACATCTTAATGCCCTGTGCTAAGGCAACTATTGAGGAAAAAGTGTTGATGGAGTGCATGATACCTGATCTTAAGAACGGAATATTAATAATTAGATCATATTACGTCTATCGCAGACATTTGTCATAGATGGGTATCATAATCAGGTCGACCCGGCGTGTTGGGCACGAGGTATTACAGGGACTCCATTAATACCTCTGACATGTAACACCGCTCAGGACTACCGTATGCGGTCTAAATTATATCAATTATCATAATTGCCGTTTCCATTATATATCAGGAAAGATGTGGTGTCACCTTCTGTCAACGGGGGATCCATGAAAATTCCTTTTTGGTTATACTACTGTAAGTACATTCCATAGTCTGACGCCACCGGTCCCGTTTTCCAATAAGCAAAAAGCAATATCGATATAAAAGCTTTAACTTTTATACAAAGTATCCATACGTATGCACTCCATGCTCGGTTCTGGGGTTCCCGTTTTCGTTTTCGCTGCATCAGCTGCAGGCCAAGACCCATTTCGATGCATTGATGCGTTGGCTTGATTTTCGTCCTTCGGTTTTTAACTACTCCACTAGCTAGCTATCTACTATTTTTAGACCACTATCATATGCACTATCAAACTTGGAGTGCAGAGTAGAATAATAGCCATTGAAAAATTTACCGATAGGCCTAAGTGCTTGAGTATCCTGTGGTGTAGGCTTGGCAATAGCTTGTTATCAGCATCACTGCCTATTATCATTTCATGCAGCAGTCTGTTTGAAACCCGGTCGATATTGGTTACATGCAGCGGATACTACTAGTCGAGCCATTGCTATAGGTTGGTGGTATGCGCAGTCTGCGTAGACTCCAAGGGACAACTACGTTGCTACAAAAGCTGGCCGGCAGTTAAGAGAACGTACCCGCATGATAAAAAAAGTATTCAAGGAGTAGGTAACATCGATTACCGCCCATTGATCTACTCTGAACGTGTTTTCAGTTAGGAATTGAGGAATTGATACTAGATACCTCGCCGTTAAAACTAATTCAAACCACATGCTTGAATTCGTTTTCTAAATTACGTAAATATATTCTTTATCATGTGCCAATATGACCCGGAAACACGTATTTCCATGTTCTGTGGAAAACACAGCCACCAGAATAACGAAGTTTTCCAGAAATATCCGGTATGAGCATTGGTGTAGGGTAAAGAATTGTGCCATGCCTGGTCATCTCCTATTTTCAAGTCAGGGTTTTAGTTGAAGTCAATGTCTTCATCAAGATTCTTCAAGACTCTATTAGATATCGAGATTGACTGGAGCCTGGCATTGGTGAAAGTATTCAACGGGTCATTTATTCTTGCTTTAGCCTCCCATACAGACAAAACTTTCAACTTTCAAGAATTCCTGTTATGATCATCCAAAATCTATATATGTATGGTGTTTATTCAATATTATGCGATAGATTTTGGTAATGCCATTAATATCAGCTTCTGTCCTGTGCGTTTCCCGGTCATCTTGGCCGTCATTGTTCTAGTCTACCCTTCAATGTCGTCCAGTCACAGCTGAATTATATGTATGACGATAGCCTGGCATCAGGAAGTCCCAACGTTGAAATCCTTATTCTCACTTTCGTAAGGCAATGTTATTTACTAATTAAGCCAATATACAAGAGTAGCTAAAACATTACCAGCGCCAAGAGTCTTCGCCTGACATATTCGATCGCCAATCCCGTCACCCTGCTATTTTGGACCTTTAAAATGGTATCAAGTACACATGTAACGTTTAGTGACGATTCTGTACATATAAACAGCCGCGTTTTCTCCCATCAAGCATGAACTTTGTCGTCAGTCAAAGTTGAAATTTGAAAAATGGTGAAGCCAACCTTTACTCTTGCGGGACTTTTAACCCTCAGTTCCGAGGCTCTAGCTAGTCGTGTGTATATCCCATAAGCCATTACAATAAAAATATGATACTAACCGACCAAATAGCTGATCCATATTACTTCATTGCAGGCGTCGAGACGAGTAACCCTGGGTCTTCAATCAACGGCCTAAACTTTCGTGACGACCCCCAGTCTAACGGCGATGCCTTGGTAACCTTGGTTGAATGTGGCAACTTCCTCTACCTTGACGACAAGACTAATAACCTGGCTCTGATAGATTACGAGAATCATATTGTACTAGGCACCGGCTACATGGACGATTCCTCTGCTCATAACTTTCCTGCTTTCGCGATAGACGGGCGTATCACTGTCGGTTCAAGACGCGGATAATTCGTGGATTTGGTGTCCTCTTGAGGGCTACGGTAACATTGTAGGGTTGGTGGGGAGACCGCCAGTTACAGGTTTTTGCATAGCGAGCCTATAATTCTTATTTCACCAGATACGAGTCATATATATATATATCAATCGATCTCCGATAGAGGTACCTAAATGAAGCACAATTTCATCCGTATTTGTAGAACGAGACTTGTCAACTAGTGTTGAAGATGTGAAAGAAGGATGCCCGTTGAAGTTCGAACGAAAGTGTCGACATTGACAAGTGAAACATGAGATAAAAATAAATCATCGGATACAAGGAAAGTACTTTCTTGCAAATAACCCACTTGCATTAGGGCTGGCTCAGGGTGATGCAGGTCGTATAATGCGAAGTTATGCGCGAAACTACCGCCGTATTCTTTCAACAATTGCTGCTTCATCATAAGTGCTAATATCCTTGATTGTTCAAGTTTTAACGGTCAAGGTCTCGAGACAGGAAAAGAAAAGAAAAGAATAGGTACTGTGGCTGGACTTGGTCGTCCCCCTCCTGTGTCAGGTGCGGTGTCACACAGAATCCCAATCATGAAACAAAAAAAAAAAGAATATGTATAAAAACATACATGACTCTAAGCCACGCATACGAGAAGCCTATACTCCATCTAGTCAGCCTTCCCCCAGAATTCATTTACAAAGTCCTCCACATCCTTCCAAAACACGTCGGGCATTTCAAGAGAAGCAAAATGTCCGCCCTATAGGAAATAAACTTGTTAGTATACGCATATCTGTTACCAATAGAGGAGTCTCGTAAGACTTACCTTCTCATGTATCCGATACCAGCTCAATTTTCCAGTATAGTCAATCCATGGCTTCGGCGGGTTGACAAGCTCCTTCTTGAACCAAGAGTATCCCAATGGCACATTGACCCCCTTCCAACCACTAGTGAGAGGCTCTGAATCTTCAAGGACTAGCTGATGATGCGAGATAGTCGTCGCGTAGCATCCCGAGAACCAATATATCGACAAATTCGTTAGAATTAGATCTATGCTTGGCTGCTCATCAGTCCACTTGAGCATTTTCTCACCTATCCAAGCTAGTAATGCGACTGGGCTACTTCCAACTAGGAAACCAGCTGTGGCGGGCTTAGTGCCGTTGAGTTTAATGAAAGCAGTTTCCTTCTTGAGAAACTCCATGGTGTTGATGAGTGACTCCGTCTCCTCGTGAGTGTATTTTCCGGCTTTGATATCGGCCTCCACGTCAGTTCCCGGTGGAGGTGTAATATTCAGGAGGTTGACGTGCACCATTTTGCATGCTGGGTCGTTACTGGCAACAACCAGAGCTGTAGCTGAGCCTAGATCCCCACCCTGTACCACATAACCAGTCTCTGCAAAGCCCAGTGCACGCATCATCTTCGAAACTAAGCGCGCATTGTCAGTGTGCGTAATATCTTTGTCGAGCGGCGGTGGGTCGGAAAACCCATATCCGATATAATGGGGTATGACTATATGGTAAGGAAGTGATTCCGCCCCGGAGGAAGCATACTGCGAGCGTAGTTTAAGTAGTAATGGCAAGAACTCGACAACGGAGCCAGGCCAACTGTGAAGAAGCAGAATAGGGATTGCGGACGGGTTCTTGGAGAATAAAGCGAAGAACTGGATGTCATAAGCCCTCGATTCGTTATCGGCGATCGTAATCTTGTACTGAGGAAACGAGTTGAGAGTCGACTCCCACTTTTTCCTACACAAGTCTATTAGGATTTAAAAAGTTGTAATAATTCGAGAGATTTCTCGCTATTTACCAATCGTATTTTCTCCGCCAATACTCTACCATGTCTACCAAAACCTTTCGTGGAATACCCTGAGAGCCATCCTCGCGCGAATTTGCCCGATTTGGAGGCGCGATGGGACAAAGCTCGAGGAGAGTGTTTAATTTTTCGATCTCAGCATCAGGAATAGAGATATTGAAGGGTCTTAAATTTGCGGATGGGTCGACAGGGTGGGGTGGAGTACCAAAGGTAATCGAGGCCATGATGATTGAAGTTTTGATTTGGGATGCAAAACTAGTGGTTCACATTTGCAAAAACACGTCGCCACATCGCCTTTTTAGCTGATTTGGATGTGACATCTAGTGTATTCGAGAATTATCCATGTGAATCTTACATTGCTAGTTCCTTGGTTGAAGATCCATAAAAGTCTTACATTTACGAGTCTTCCCCTACTTTCTTTAGGATTCCAGGAACAGATTCATATGTTTTACATGGGTTACATTGTTGACCACAGAAGACCGTTACTTGATATTACCGCAATCTGTCACAACTTGGTTGGCATTGAAATGGTTTCAGCTGTGTGGAGCAACCCATATCTGCTTTTGAAATCTGAATGATCTACGCAGAAACGACGATATATTCGAGTAACACCCCGATTTGATAATTCCATAATATAACGTGGTGGGTTCTCATTGGTGTTGACGATATGACTGCCTGTTATGACTCATCCCGCGTCAGTCACCATAATAAACCTAATTGAAAGAAGCATCAGATAACACACTCAAGGCAGCAAATCAATAGTTAAGCAAGGATAATACCTGTTCAAAATTCAAGATGTCAAACTTTTAAGCGGGATCGAGTAAACGCTGAGATCCATTAAAGAGAACATAAAGCTGGCGCAAATCTATCAGCTGGTGGACGAATGTCGACGCGTTCAAAGCCCGTGTAGAATCAAAGGAAACTATTGGACAGGGTCACTCAGTCAACACTGTCCACGCATCAAGTTTCAATTTTCTATGAATCCGACCGCGGACTTCTTATTGGTATCAAATAAGTAAGCATGCTTCAACAGTGGAGAAAAAACAAGGTTATGACATCACCGCCTCGTCGCGTCCTGTTCAAGATTAGGTCTTATTCTTGCCTTCTCTACAGGCCAATAATCACACCCAAAGTATTCAATAATAGCACCACTAACCTGCCCATTCCTCTCTATACCCGTGAAAATTTATTATTTACATCTAATTAACAGAAGCAATCCGACTCGATATGTCTAAAAGAACCCTTGATGCATTCTTCAAATTCACAACACCACCGATTTCGACTCCTAAAAAGTCTAGAACAGAAACAGCAAAAACCCAATTACCACCACCATCACCATCGACAAATACAAGATAGAAATTCCAGATACAGAAGAAGGTCTTCCTCCAGAGCCTCATCCTGCATATCCTTTTCCAGTTGCAAAGCTCCCATCGCACTTCTCCGTTGGTTTCGCCTTTTCAACACCCGCACACCAACCCCGAGCCATCAGTGACCAGTCTCATCTCAATCTTTTGTACTACGAACCATAAATTCCGCAACCAACTGCAAAAGGAATATTTCAATTTCCTCCGACTCGAGTTACTATTTTATCGCGTGAGATACACAATCAAGCGCGAACCAACACATACCGTTATCAATACGCCACGCTATACAACAGTTTTTGGGGTCGATACCACATCCTACTTTTCATTCTCAAAAACCGGTAGCAATAGTAGAAAGCTATTAGACAACAAATCTCTCCAGCCCGTTAAAATTGATAAATACCAATATCTTCCACGCCCAATACCCAGCTGTTTGGATTTACTCAGCAAACAAGTTGAAGATGTCCTGGGTGACGGCACAACCTATAACTTCTATACTAGTCAACTACTATGCATCGGGATATGACAGTATTTCGTATTATTCCAACGACGAGCAATTTCTTGGGGCAACCCGGAACATTGCAAGCCTAACCCTGGATGCAAAGCGAGACTTTTTGATGAAGCACGAGCCACCTTTAACCACTCCTGCTAAGACATGGGGTTCCCTACCTATCAGCTGAGAGAAGCCTATCCAATAAACGCTTGCAACGGGCGATATGACTTTTCGTAGCCAGACACAGTCGAACCGCAAGGGAGGGGAGGCGAGTCATGATCGGATAAATATCACATTGCAGAAAGCGACCGTGCCTGAAGGAACAGAAAACTATTACCGGTATAATATTGGTGACGGTGGTATTTATCGTTGGAATCAGACACAAGGACCGACTGTTCTATGTAAATAAATCTGAATTGATAGCAATTGTTAACATTCTCCAATAGATGTATTCTTCATAAAATATTGCTGGATTATGGAATCTAAAGCACACAGGCGTTAGTCTCACACAAGTAGCGTCCATTCTTTATATTTCTGGTGTCTTGTCATTAACTCCTGAAGAATACGAAATCATACATGCTCTAGCCCATGGTAAAATATCGGCATTTGTAGATTTTCCTTTCATCTGCTATCTCACAAATGCAGCTTTCCTCAATGCGTTGGCCTGAGCATTCCATATCCATCTGCCCATCCATACAAGCCGCTTTCCAATAATATCCAACAACTCCTTTGCCTATATCATTGCGATAATAGGCCACTTTATAAATATCGACCTTACGGACCTCTCCATTTTTAGTAGAATATTCATAGTGATCACCAATTTCTATGACGAGTTGTTGATCATTGTAACAATTTCCCAATATTCTCATTCAAAATTAATCCTTCCAGATTGAAGATAGAGTCAGAAATTTTTAAAATAATAAACAATCATGCTCAAGTCAAGTTTGTTACATATATATTTCTGACCAATGGTAAATAATAACTAGACGTCAACTTCAAAAACTGGTCCAACACCTTCAAAAAAGGTGATGGCACCCAAGATATTCTTAGAATTACCGTAGTAATGCAATCGGTATGTGCCGCTTCGAAGTGGCTGTGACCACCCAGTGAGATAGTAAGGATCTTCGATGTGCCAAGTTAAGGTGACCTCACTACTGCCAACGACTGTGTTTGTGCGCACCCACTCATATTTCAGATTCCAGTCTGTGTCGTCCCGCACCTGAATCCAATCCCCACTATCGGTCTTCATTTCAACAGCAGCGTATGTGTCTTCTAGACGCAAGTCATTTCGTGGGTTGGCACCTACAAAGGCTACTGTGATGGAGTCACCAGGAGAGTACGTCTCATTTGTCGGAGAAGAATATAACACATCTCCAAATGAATACCCAGTAGGGGGATTGTCGTAGACAACACCAGGGATGAAAGACAGGGAATTATTAGTATTGATGGGTGGACTCGGTCCTGCAGGTAAGGGAGGCAATGTTACAACTTGAGTGGCCGTATCTAAGTAAGGTAAGTAGGTCAGGCTTAGATTAACGTAGGCCGCGAGCTGATTTGGACCGAATATAGTAGACGCGCCTTCGTATCGTTGTACATTATACTCCTCCTCAGTTGTCACATAATGCGAATAGGAATTAGCAGGGGAGCCGAGGACGACAATCGGATCAGAAAGAGATAACAGTTTTTGCGCTGCTTGAGATACTGCCCCTTTCCACCGGCGACCTGACATGGTGGTAACCTCGCTTGGGGACACTATGATGATCAGCTGGCCGATACGAAGGCCTTGAACATCCACAATATCTGGCGCCCACGCATATGGGAATGTGTTCAGACCAAGATCAAGAAAGATGTTCTTAGGAGCTTGGCACTGGACTTGCTGGGGGCTGGGCTTATGGACTATACCACTGACTGCCCTCCAGAAAGGATTCTTGATCTCAGGATTAGTATTGTTCTGCGTAAAATCGAAGGCTCCTGGTCCATCGCTGGTTCCACCGGCGAAAGGGTAGCCCAAAGCCGAGTAGCAAGTAGACAGTGTGCTGCCGTTGAATGGAGACGTAAATTGAAACCCTGACATCTGATTGTACGTATGAAATGATGCCACAGATGCACTACCAGTAATCTGAGTAGCATTTAATGCTGTACCGAGCGCCATCTGGTTATAAAGATCAGCCGCGGCAACATATTGTCGTCTTCCTATTTCGAAACAGCTCTTTGCGCCATTGTCGTTCTCTTGAAAATAAGGTCCTCGCCCTTGGCAGAGCTCTGTCTTCCCATTGCATGTGCTGTCCTCGAATCTGCATGGTAATCCTGTGTCCTCGCAAAACGCCCCAAGCACATTGGGAGAGGTGTCACCAACACTCGATTGCGAAAATCCAGCAACGAAACCATCGGCAAACCGGGCGTCGCTGCTCACGCTCCGCTCAAAAAGATATGCGGCGACTCCTTTGTTATCTCCGGTCACTAGAGTGTTATTATTATAATTCGAGGTACCGTGCACGGAGTAGAAAGATAAGACACCCGTTGTCTTATTATCTGATATACGATCAATCACCAGTAATGTCATGGTTTTATCTGTGTCGTATTCGTATTGATCTCGCTCGAATGCCGGATTTGCTAGGTATGAGTAACCGCTGCGATTGATATTGCCGTCCACAATCTCAGTGCTAGCCACCGTGATTTTACTCAAAGACAGACTCTCATGGGCTCGCGTAATTGATAGTAGAGTTCCTTCTACAATAGCTTCATAGCTTTGCTGGTTAAAGCCGAGAGTGGATATCTGGACCAGGAGATAATTGTGCCATCCTCCTGGGCCGGAATGCGAATGCGTGCCAGTGATAGCTACATTGTGTTGTCCATACTGACTATACTCTTCCCCTAGACTAGCGAGGCCTTGGACTATCCCATGTCGAATGGCTGTATCCCCTGACTGGTTGTCTAAGACAGTATATATCCATGTATTTGTGGCATTGGCGGGATCGGCAAAAATGAACGTGCGAGCAAAGATCCGTTGTCTAAGCCCCGTCCCAATTTGTGACGAATTTCCCATTCCCACAAGGGGCACTTCTGCGACAGGCCTAGTATAGCAAATTTTAGTGCTCATCACTTTTATGTCAGTAAGAAATGGTTACCCTGTTATATCGGCTTTCCCCACCCCGACTAGAAAGGTTGATCCATCGGTCGCCCGTTTCTGGATATCTGGAGGAAAGTCGAAGAGTTGTTTCTCTGATACCCCGATATTCACGAGACATAGAGCAACGAGGAGAAGGCAGAACAAATGCTTAGCATTTGTGAGCATGCTTTTCATTGATAGCATCTTCAAAATGAACAAAAGCGGGAGGAGATTTGTCCTATCCCTTGATTAAGTATAATTATGTGAAAATAGCAATTTTGACTTGGAAAAAAGAAACCTAGGTGGCAAAAAGAGCAATATTTATTTATATTCAAATGTTCCGTAAACTTCCTAGGATATAGTTTGACAGACCAGGTTTTGATCTACTGGTTCTGGCTTATGCAATCTAAGAAGCTGTGTGCTTTGACCCGAAGAGGGAAGAAACTAGTCACTTGACTGAGACTCTTAAACTTCGGATAATATATTGAAGGAAGCGCCTGTGCAATGGAGATACGATGTCTAAACGACCTCTGAACCCGCTGCTTGGGGTAAACTCAAGGGGCGCCGACACAGTGCCATTTTGCGAGATACGACTAAGCACGCCCACTTGAGGTTCATACGAATCAGCTTGACGTAATTAGAATTGAATTTCTTTAGTAATCAACTAGTTCGGTCAAAAACTTCGGGGTTGGGTTGTATTGCGTAGATAGCCTTATTCAGTGCCGAAACTAGATACGGGTCCTTGGAACCCAGGGACACCTGTATGAAGATGGCAGATTGGCATTATGGGGAGACTTAACTTTCACTCTGCTAGTTCTCTGGTTGTCTGACGCAGATAAGAGATTAGAGACGGGGGAACTGTTGCTCCGCCGCACATCGGATCTCGGTATTCAATTAGGCTAGCCGATTTGATTTGCAACTCGCGAATGCAGATGGTGATAATTACCGTTTGTTCCGGCTCTACAACTGTTGGATAGTCTCATTATATACACGCCAATTTTTGGACTAGTTCTGTCCGCTTTTTTGTAGCTGCCAACATGACTGCTATCTTCACAATAGATTGCCATTTTCATAGAGCACGGCTAGCTTATATTAGAACATATATAGTGTCACAAGAATCAATAAGAAGAACAGAAATCAAAGCATTAAATGAGGCTATTTAATAAGTAATTATTATTAAAGAGAATTAGTTATTATAATTATGAAATAAGCCTTCCTTTCTCTAAGGATAGAAAGGCTTCAGCATACTGACTCTACAGCATCCTTATCTTGTTCTGAAAAATACCTTATAACTTGGAATTCTTAGATTTAATTTTATCAGAGTCAGCATTATCGTTACTATATTTATAGGATTCCAATAATAGATTATCATAATTATAATCTCTCATTCTTTTGGTTACTAATTTTCTATGAAAAAATACCTATGCTCTTTAATTATTAACCCATTGGTAATACCTATATCTGTCTTACTAAGTTTTATAATAACTATTTGAATCGTAATTTCTATCAATAAGCTGATATATACTGTCTATTTTTAAACTATCTAAATCAAAACTTTTGTTTAGAGAATTAATCCCTTATCAATATCTAAGAACCTCATCTATAATATATTCAATACGCCTAGTGTCATGATCAAAGGGCTTTCACCATAGTGAAACCCTTCAGGCTATAGATAGATGTTCTTTGTATACCTCTGGCTATATATATGAGCCCTAGGTCCCTCTCATGTACGATAGAACAATCTTCCACATATAACCAGAATGCACACATGCCTTAGATTATAACAATACCTGCTCTTAACAGGATTCACTAGCTCCGAGTTCATGTCCACCGACAAAGCCCATGACACCAACGGAACAAGACGCCATCTTGCTGCCGCGTGGAAGACACAAAATCCTTCTTCAAGCCTTGCCATGAAGTTTTTTGTGGTCGAGTTGTAATCCTGCAACCACATTTTCCATGACCTTGATCCCAATTTAAAAAATGATTCATGATGTTCTCTTACCATAAAAGTGTTTCCGGCGAGCTCTGCATGCTCAGGCCAATACTCCACAGCGTATTTGTAAAACGCATTGTTCTCAATTCCAGCACTTGAAGGCCCTAGACAATGCAGGATGTGGCTGATACATTGATCTGCCAACTCCATCTGAGACTTTATATCATCGACCTTTTCTTGCTCCTTGACTAGAAATCCTTTACAGACTTGTGTAAAAGTTGCACTCTCCCATCTTGGATAATAATTATCAACCTGCACGAGCCAATCACATCTCTAGTAAACTGATGGCGGCTGCTCTCATCATCAGGGTATAATTGACAGAGTGATGCAAGTTCTGGTACAGACAACGGTTGTCGTACGCCTACAATATATTTTAGCATTTGCATAATGGTTTTTTGCTCATCATCATCTCCATCCGCAAGAGCAGTCTTAAGCAGCTGATCATACAATGCATACAAGCCGCATGGCATTTTCCGGAGCGTTTGAACGGCATTTCGCGCTTGTACTTGTGGTCGATCTAATTCGCCACAGGCAATTCCTACCCATAGGAATGTTCCTTCTGTCTTTTCCTCTAAATTTGGGATACCTCTTCAATTACTCTCTTGGGGTAATTCTTTCTCTTAGACAAGTCATGAACCTTTTCGTCTATCATGATTTTGATATCCTTCTTGACTGCACTGTAGGATCCTAGGTCTTTACATCTAAAGTGAGACAAATTCTCACCAATTTCAGGGTATGGTCGACTAGTGATCAGGATATAAGGGCCAGGTGAGAATGAATATCTGGCTCCTCGCCTTGCAAAGGACTGATATATCTGACGCAATATGGTTTGTTGTGAGTTGGGCTCACATTCGTCAAGCGCATCAATGATGCAGTATATTTCACAGGAAGAGTCTGCACCCATCTCCATTAAGACCATTCACAGTGCATCAAATGATGTGAATAGTGTCTCTTTGCGGTCAGGATATTTTGCAAGAAGATATTTAATAAGCCTTGGACATTGGTGAATTAGTTGATAGAGTAGGCCACGTAATATCGAAATAGCCGTCCTTTGGTTTTCCTCGCTAGAGTCGCAAAAGAAGTATGCAAGTACCTTGTTCCCGCTGGCGAAAACAGGTTGCTTTGGAAGCTCATCCGTCATGGTAATAACCATGGTTGACTTTCCTGTCCCAGGATTGCTGTGCAACCAAAAGATATTGGACCCATTTTGGTAATTATTTTCTAAGCCCTCAAGCCAATCTGAGAGCTCTTCTGTTTTTAATATCCATTCACACGTCCCATCAGCACGATCTCCCTTTTTTTGCTTCAGTGCGGTTTTAATATCAGCAGGATTAGTCAGGAATAAACTGCGCAGACATTCGTACTCATCCGTTGTAAACCCCACATCTAAAGATGTATCAGCATGCTGGATATTTGAATATCAATAATGGACAAACTTTTTTCTGGTACGGCAGTTGGGACCACGGCAGGAACCTCTGATAACAGCGACTTTGTATATGCTGCAGCAGTCAGAGCTGCATATCCCTACCATTCCTTATGTTTATGAGAATCACAGTAGTCACAAATGCCGCGAATCACCAGGCATGGAAGCTGGTCCATTAGCCCGGCTGCCTTCATTTCAAAGCAGATGATATCTAGCTCTTGAGCAATCTGGTCTCGTGTCTGCGCGTCTTTCATAACTTGGTTTCCAGAGGCCACTAGTCCATAATGGACATGAGGCTCATCCGTTATCCGAGGCTGACGGTGGCTCAATTGGTTCAAGTCACAAGACGAACAGCCACGGGCATTGTCTTCATGGGGATATGTCGCGCGGAAAAGCCTGTCATCTTTAGGCTGAGAGAACTGGTCTCTCATTTCTTTATTTTTCTCAAGAACGTCATCAATATTTTTTTTGATCTGTCGTTGTCCTATCATATGATCGCTTTCAATCTGACTTATTGCCGTCAACAAGACCTGGGGAGGTTTATTGAGAAATCCTATACGCTGAATGTATCCATCCCGCATTGTTTTCCCGTAATCATACTGTATCACACCGCTTCCACTCGCAGTCGGCTTGCTGATCACCACATCTCCAAGTCGAACGTCGATTTTTCCAGGTACTCCTCCTCCAATACCAACCATCAGGCCAAATTGAAGTAGTGGAAACATTGATCTCATTTCGGCAAGCGCCGTTGCTGCTGATGTGGTCCCGTAAATACCTGACGGCAAGCAGGCAATCACCACATTGTGTCCATGCACGCTGCCTAGCGTGAATGCGTTGTGATCGGTTGGCAGCTGAGGGAGACGGCCGTGAATTTCCTCCAGCATTGTTTTTGCTGCAGCTATTTCCAACGGCAACGCGCAGATCCATGCCACATTATACTCGTTGTGCGACAGCGCCAGGGGTGCAATTGCAATGTGACATAAAGAACGATATACTGAAGCCCTGGTACTGGTTTCCCAGTATTATGTACAGTTAAATTCTCAGTCGTCCGGTTGACGAGGAGAATTTCAGACCGAAGTCGTCCTTAGGGAGGGGCAGTCGTGAGGCTAGGCTGAGTGCAAGGCTATCGCGGACTGCATGAACCAATCATTTCGCACAGCAGTAGAACGAACTGTACAACACACAAGACAAATCTCACATCGCCAATGGTGTTCAAGTTATGTAAGAGAATGCAATGCATTGTTTTTATGCCTGGGCACGCAACTATAAATAAAATCAGTCGATAAGAGTACTGACGGGAGCTCAGCCCACGATGAAACGGTTGTTAGGTGTCGATGTGGATTCAATAGCAAGTAGAGCAGACAAGAACCGTTTCAGGCTGCGACCAATGAAGTGAGAGTTGCTTGGCCGCGCAATTGACTACGATGGAGGATGGTTCCTTGGCGTGGCTCTGATCTATCCGTTGTGGGCTGGTAGTGGGGTATACTCCGCGAAATAGGCATGGGCGATTATCAAGCTTTTTGGATGGTTAGATACATGATTGATGTTCTGTCACGCAATGAATCAGATTTGTTTAATCGACAACATATTCTATCTGCGGTATAGTTGACATAATCAGCCGCTGGTAATTAAATCCACCACCTTGGTATTTTGCCGGCGACTCGAGTGGTACGTGGTGGAGCGGCTTGATATCCATGACGAACTAGCTGAGAAAGATCAATCTTACAATAAATCTTTTTGTAAAACATATCCTCAGATAGATATATATGCTTATTATGTACATGAAATCTCGAGTTTATTCATCTGCCCAGTTCCTTACTTTTGCTTTCAAGGTACTGTTGTCGTTTCCCTTCATCCCTCACCTTTCTTCAATAATAGAGCCACTATGCCATTCTTCCCATGCACAGCCTTCAACAAAATTGAATACTGAAGGACACAAGATGGGACAGAAACCTCTAAGGCAGACAATAGTAGGTAGACTGTGTGATAGTATGTTGATCCATCTTCTGTTTTCCGTTTCTCGTTTGGATTCCAGAGCTCGTTAGATCCCACTCCACGATATGGATGTCTGCATCAGCAATAAGAACCTCAATACATTCAGATGACCATTTTTGAAGCTTCATGGATCGGCGTACAGCCATCATTTGCCAGCGCATGGATATCTGCATCGGCACCATGCTCAAACAAAAACCTCACTACGTCGAGATGACCGGTTACTCTACACCCCTGCACAGCGCAATAACGCCTCTACGGCTTTGTTGTCCGACCATTTCTGTCCTACAACTCTGAATCGGCTTTCTCACTCGACAGAAGTTCCACTATCATCTCATGTCCATACTCTGCTGCTATCGATAAGGGTGTCTGCCCAAAGTGATCTTTTGATCCGACGTCGACTCCAGTCTCGAGAAGCACTCTAACTGTCCTCTCATTTCCCGATTTCGCCGCCCACCATAGCGTTGTTCGACCATTTCTGTCTCTCAACTCTGGATCAGCCTTTTCGTTCAACAGAAGTTCCACTATCGTCTCATGTCCATACTCTGCTGCTATCGATAATGGTGTCTGCCCAAAGTGATCCTTTGGTTCGAGGTCAGCTCCGGCCTCGAGAAGCACTCTAATTATTGTCTCATTTCCAGATTTTGACGCCCATAACAACGGTGTACGTTTGAAGCCGAAATCCGGTAGATCAAGTCTAACACTTCTCGCCTCAATGAGAACATTTACGACGCTCTCATGGCCACGTTCTGCTGCCCATGACAATGGTGTTCGACCTTGACTATCCGTCGAGTTAGAGTCCGCGTTATTCACTAGTAATAGTTTCACAATCTCTGGATGTCCTTTTTCTGCGGCCCATGATAGAGGTGTTCGTCCATTTCTATCACTTAAGTCAGGTTTGGCATTCTTTTTAAGTAGGAGCTTCACAATCTCCGATTCTCCTTTGTCTGCAGCCCATGATAATGGTGTTCGACCTTGACTATCCGTCGAGTTAGAGTCCGCGTTATTCACTAGTAATAGTTTCACAATCTCTAATTGCCCTTTTTCCGCAGCCCATGATAGAGGTGTTCGTTCATTTATATCACTTGAATCAGGTTTGGCATTCTTTTCAAGTAGAAGCTCCACAATCTCTGATTGCCCTTCTTCTGCAGCCCATGATAGAGGTGTTCGTCCATTTCTATCACTTGAGTCAGGTTTGGCATTCTTCCTAAGTAGGAGCTTCACAATCTCTGATTGCCCTTCTTCTGCGGCCCATGATAGAGGTGTTCGTCCATCCCCATCTCTTGAGTCAGGGTTCGCGTTATTCACTAGTAATAGTTTCACAATCTCTAATTGCCCTTTTTCCGCAGCCCATGATAGAGGTGTTCGTTCATTTCTATCACTTGAGTCAGGGTTCGCGTTATTCACTAGTAATAGTTTCACAATCTCTGATTGCCCTTTTTCTGCGGCCCATGATAGAGGTGTTCGTCCATTTCTATCAATTGAGTTAGGTTTGGCATTCTTCCTAAGTAGGAGCTCCACAATCTCTGATTGCCCTTCTTCTGCAGCCCATGATAGAGGTGTTCGTCTATCCCCATCTCTTGAGTCAGGGTCTGCGTTATTCACTAGTAATAGTTTCACAATCTCTAATTGCCCTTTTTCCGCAGCACATGATAGAGGTGTTCGTTCATTTCTATCACTTGAGTCAGGATTGGCATTCTGAAGTAGGAGTTTCACAGTTTCTCGGTATCCTTCTCCTACTGCGCTCGAGAGCGGGTTGTACTTATTGGCTAACTCTGACTTCAGGTTATCGCTTAAGAGATTGGCAAAATCCTCAAGCCCAGCCCAGGATAGCTGTGTCTGATGAGCATGACCTCCAGCTGCTGAATCTTCCGAAATTGGTCCTTCTGCACCTGAATCCATTCTTTCAGTTTGAACCGCCTTTTCCAATCCTTGTTTTAAGAGATTGGTCGAGCGTATTACAGCTTGAAATGACAGTGCGGGGTTGTGTGGCAGGGCATTCCAGAGAGCAACCGGCAGAGAAACTAGAAGGTACACTGAGTTAGATTCCCAGGCTGCTTCTAGTTTTACGAAGCTCTGAAGCTCTACATTTACCCCACCGATATCTTGTGGTGCATGGGCTCTAAACCAGTTGATCCACTCTGCTGCAATTGGTCTCTTTTTGGGATTTTCCAAGGAAACCGATATCAAGACCCTGCAGTCGGTTGTTGAGAGGACCGAGCTAAACGATCCCAATGAGGAGCATCTGGACGTTTCCCTTGACGTTATCATCGTATATGAGCTATGGCTAGCCGATACTCTCACGTCAGGACTCAGCGAAGATGGAGTGCCATGTGTGGGAAGCGGGCTCAGAACTATGTTAGGCCCTCCCTCGGACAAACATGTGTATATAGGTGTTGGTGTTAGATTATGCTGTGCCTGATTTCGAAGGAGGAGTTGATGCAATAAAGTAACATGGCACGGACGCCCTTGAAGCTCATTCAACTCTTTGATGACCGCTCGCGTGAAGGAGTTCTGTTTTGAACCACTAGCTTTGTCGCCTTTGCCACTGGCAGCAAGTAATTCCTTTGTACCCTGCTGGCTGCCACGTACCATGCTCGACGCGTAGCAACAGTCGAGAATAAACAGTATATCTCCTTTTGCAGTCTGCATACGTAATTGTAACTCGGTCCAGTCAAGCCATGGTGTCCAACCTCCGGCTCCCCTTGGCGGAAATTTCCAAGCTTTCCAGATACTTCTGTTTTGCTTGTCGAGTTCTCCATGCCCACCATAATAGATTATTAGAAGACTATTTTGTGACCTGGAAAACTGATTTCTTGTAAGTACCAACTTTTCTTCTAGCTGATTGAATGGGTCTTCTGACGGAATTGGATATCGTTCAGTGGTGAAGCAATATAATTGTTTGAAAACAGACTCAAGTTCTTGTATCTCAGCTTTGGTATTTAGATCATCGTGCTGCCAATGGAGAAAAAGTACGTGTCCAGTGACATATGGCTTCTCTTGTCGCGGAAAGGAGAGCCTCGACAAACCTTCAGACAATTCCTTGATAAAATCCTCCAATTCTGGAATGTGCTTTGTAGCGATTCCATTTGGGTATTTGCTTGTGATCGGATGATGTTTGCAAGGATGACTACAGAAGTCACCCGACGCAATATCCATACCTGCAGAGCCAGCAGAGAACGACCTTGGGCGAAAATACTTGACGTCCATTGCAATACTCTCAAAATTCCTTACTTTAGCGTTGCTTGTCGCAATACGCATTTGTATCCGGTAATTAAGTATCATTCAAAGCCTTTCTTGTACAGAATAATCTGAAACTCGACCAGACTGTTTCTTGTTCGGGGAATCAGCGTGTTGCCTCAGTTCACGACCCAGCGGCTGGTCATGTGACTAGCCGCTTTCACAGCCTCACAGTTGGGTAGCGGGGTTCGGTCAACCCCACTTGTTGGCATCTAACCTGGTTGTAAATGTTCATTATGCCACCCTCGAGTTACATTTAAGTTCTATATAACCAGAAAATGTCATTATCAGGTAGGCTCGACGTCATCTTTGCCGAGCAGCTGCGTAACCACCCGGAAGGGCACGCGCTTTATAACAAGGTTTCAGCCGATCACTTGAAACCAGGAACTTGCGGCTTCTTCGATGAGAAAGGAGATTGGAATGTTATTGAGCAACTTTGTGACAGAGAGACTTGGGAATCTGATGGCTGGATAGGTATTCCTGAGCAACTGAGGACTGAAACAGATTTTGGGATTCAGTGGCCGGTAAAGCTGTCCGAAAGTGCGAAAGGGTATGAAATTGATGTCGATGTAAAGTCAGTAAGAAGCTCTTCATTAGATCGAGAAACTGAGGATTGAATTGATTGCTCAGTATGTCAAGGGTCAGTACCTTAAACTAACAAATTCGCAGCCTGAAACCCCCTATCAGCGGTGGAATAAATATAGCATTCAAGAGCAGCGAAAATGTCGGAGCTGTCCTAATTACTGACCCCCCTGTTGAGCGTAAAAGACTCAAAAGAGATTTACCTGCTCTTGACTGGGTTCTGCAGAATACGCGAAAGTTACTTGATCATTGGCCAGAAATCCTCTCCCGAGGACTATGGATTGTCACCAAAACGTACTCCGTGAAACGTTGCGCCAATGCTGTATTGACAGCGAAGGACGATGAAGCAAAAATTAGCATTCAGGCCAGTATACCAGATGTAGCGAATGCAGTTCCTTCTGCAACGTGGTGGAAACAAGGAAGTCATGGTTCTTGGAACATATATACTGATGTGGGTAGCGAAATGTAACTATTTCCTAAATCCTGCAATTGCTAACAAGGCAGGATTCCGGCATCGTCGTGTTTATGAGTGGTATTCAATGTAAAGTGGGGCTTGTGAGGAGGTCAAAAGTAAGAAAGACTACACGATATGTGCAGAGAACTTTCAAACGCTGACTGGCCAGCTTTTCCCCAACCGACTACCCCACAAGCAAAAGCCTTGGAGAGATGCTTCCTCAAACGCCATATACGTACATATTGAAGATGATGGAGATGACACATTGTTAGCGGAAACTGTTCCCCGGATCTGGGGTGAAGTCAGTTCGGAAGTTACAGATCTGATAGAGGGACTGCATGAAGCTGAGGAGAACTATGAGGAAAGCGATGATTCATCGTTTGCGTAAGATTGAAAAATAAAAGTCTGAACGCTGAGGACACATCCTTGAGCTTTAGGGAATCTATCGGAATACTGCTTCTAAATTGGATGGTATGTGGGCCAGTGGAGGCAATGCTGGATGCAGTTTGGAAAACTAAAAATAGAGTGTGGTGGATTGTGTGACAAATAAACTTATCGTTCATGGATAATGAATTATCTTAAATACATAAAAGCGGAATGGCTCGCCACTTCCATGCCTGCCAATTCAAGGAGCCCAGCGTGTTCGTACTTGTCATCACAGTCAGTAGATATATAATGCAAGTTTATGAGGGGCCGGGGTTGTCATCGGCGATCCCGTTAGCCAGCACCAGCCACTCGCAGCTGATTTGCTAGGGAAGTGTGAGGTCTATCTAAAGGACTCGGTATTGCCGATCGCGCGTGTCAATCAAGCTTGACTAATATTGTGACTCAAAAATCAGACCCTTCGAGGTCGAGAGCGCGGGGCAAGTGCCAGGAAGATCGTCTCGCTTCGACCGGAATTATTCATCTGGCCGTTATATCCGAAATGACAGTGAAGACCCTTACCGCGAGTCACTTGACCTATGTTTCCACCTACTCATATTGGATGCGATTCTGGACTCTCAGTTCGTACACTAGGCGGAATGTAGATGCTCGAAAATGGGAAGAGAAGCACTAGAAATGGCTCCGCAATATTTCGCTGAGCGTGCCCTTGCCAGTTGGGTTGCTCGGACAAGTACCTGCACTACTTGAAGTGGGACTATATTCCTACAACATTGATTCGGAGTTGGCTTCAAATACTCTAGTCCTCCCAGGCGTGTAGCAGTTGACGGATCAACTATTCTTCCCACTATTTCTTTCCCTTCACGGCGGTCTTTATCATGATCAAAGGGCTTTCACCATAGTGAAACCCTTCAGGCTATAGATAGATGTTCTTTGTATACCTTTGGCTATATATATGAGCCCTAGGTCCCTCTCATGTACGATAGAACAATCTTCCACATACAACCAGAATGCACACATGCCTTAGATTATAACAATACAAGCCCGGCTGCAGCATACTATTCACAGCGTTCAATATAGAAATTAGAAGGCTTCCTACTATTCTCCTCTATTTAAACTTTGGTCTAAGTTCTGGATAAGCCTTTATAGTCTGAGTTGCGTGATTTACAGGATATACGGCTAGATTTAACGCTTGATAGCTGAGGCTCAGCAAAGGAATTTAACAATCCTCTACCAGTCACCCTCTATCCAGTGTAATGACGCTTCGGTAACAGCAAAGCTTCACGCATAATATACTTTATTCAAAAAAGTAATCCCAAGTTCCAAGGGAAAGCAAAGGAAGTTGAATAGACACTAAGAAGTTCGATCTGAAGCTGAGAGAGAAGGATGAGGCAAGAGCTATAACGCTATTTAAAAGTATTGTATGGTCTAATATTGAATGGCCAGATCAAAAATAGATTCTATCTTTGATTGATTGGTGGTATTTATAAGGAATAAGCAGGCATCTAGAGAGAGATATCAGGAGCGCAGCTGCGAATAAGATAGCGTCATTTAAAGCGGCATGATGCAACCCCGCATTGGGTAATGTGGTCTGTACCTAATCGGTTCCACTGGTACCAAAACTAGTGTCCCCGGACGACCTTTTTCAGTGGTGTTGACACCTAAAGGCACATTATTCCTGTAATTTCCGAGAATTTGCCGTTATTTAGGTAATTATAAGTGATCGATTCCACTAGTAAATTAGGTATAAATTAGGTCTAGTTGCCAGTTATATAAAATCCAGGCTTCTTCCCCCTTGCAATCCAGTAACACACTAAAACTTCCATGATATTCCTTGCACTCAAATCAGCCGTCAATAACAAATACAAGCGACGCTAATGCGCGCAGTAACGGTGCTACGTTATGCTCAGCCTAAGTCACAGAGCGCTCACTGAGTGGGCTGGGGGTGTAATTATCTAAGGCATGTATGCATCCTGAATGTATGGGAAGATTATTCTCTGAGTACATGAGAGGGACCTAGGGCTCTAATATATAGCCGAAGGTATACAAAGAAGAATTAGTTATTGTGGACACAACGCTGAAAGTATTCTAAATAGAAAAATAACGCGTAAAACCACATTTTCCAGGTCGTGTTAGATTGCACTAGCTAGCTTACATTATATAGGTGCTATAAAGCTGTCGCTAGCCAGCCAGTAAAAAATTATGTGCAACTGCTTCTCAAAACTTTTACTAATACAACAATGAAACGCTGTCCCCATTTTATCGTGTACACGTAAAACTGTGCCAACCTTTTGGCTATCATACCAAAAAGGGTGCAACCCTTATTTAGTAAGAATTAGTTTGGTTTGACGATCACATTTCATCCCACTTAGCGCAGTGTGATAATGTGATCCCCGCCTCCATTCTAAATCCCCCACTTGCTAACATTTCATTTTGATTTCCTAAAAAAGGACCACCTTGGATCATATTAGTATATAGGTATAGTCTAAAATGTCTACTTCCAGAATTTTGCAACTTGCACAATTGATAAGCTCCCAAACTGCTGTCATTGATGCGCATCTTCAGAGCAAGGGACTACCTCAGCCTTCGTTTGATCAAGATGGACCAACTGAGCCAATCCAGGAAGCGACGGAAGATGTTACACAGGCCCGAACTGATGTAATTGAGGCGACAATTGAGCTCCGTCAGCTGCTGCAAGGCCCTATGCAGCTTCTTCTCCCTCAGGCAAGTCTCTTTCTCCGATGACCAGTCACGTTCTGAGCCAGACGTACAAAGGTTTAATTTCCTAACTTGTCTCCGGGTGCATGAATGTTGGAAAGAAATATTATTGAACTAATTCCTAAAAATATACAGTCAAATCTAAGTCCTATTGTAGCCGTCCATCGCTTCAAAATCGCATCGCTAGTCCCGATAAACTCTACGATCTCATTCGGGGAGCTTGCTGTTAAGTGTAGTTTGCGCGAACCCGATTTGAAGCGCATCATTCGCTACACGGCTGTATATCACCGCGTATTTCAGGAGCCAAAGAAAGGGTTTGTCGCCCACACAGCCGCATCGAAGCTCTTGGTCGAGAATCCTAGGGCAAGCAGTCTCATGGGCCTTACTTTTGACGAATGCTGGCCAGCTCATAATAGAGTACGTATACCATTTCTCCCTTTCTCTTGAGATATATTTTCGGAATCGGTAGAGGCTTGAAAGAATTGAAACTATAGATCACTATAAAAACCCTACTGATTCTATATTGCAATTAAATGTAGGCGGTGGATGCCATGGCACAACGAAGCGAGGAACCAAATGTCTCTGGCTATGCCCTTGCAAACAACACGACTTTGAACACTTTTCAATTCTTCTCCAAAAATCCATCTCGCGCTCAAAAGTTTGCAAATGCCATGTCTACAACCTCACAGACCAGTCTCGATGGACTTAGTTCCAACTTTCCATGGTCTGAGCTGCCCCCAACAGTACCGTGGTCGATGTTGGAGGCTCTCAAGGCCATGTATCTGTTGACTTGTCTCGAAAATTCCCAAATCTTCATTTCATTGTTGAGGATTTGCCAGAAGTGGTCGAAGGAGGCACTGAGAAGCTTCCCAAAGATGTACGGGGCCGTGTTGAGTTCAAGGCCCACGATATGTTCACTGAACAGCCAGTGCATGGAGCCGAGGTCTATCTTTTACGTTATGTGTTGCACGACTGGACAGACAAATATTCGATCGAAATTCTTCGAAAGTTAGTGCCCAGCTTGAAAGCTGGCGCCAAGATCGTCATACAGGAGTATCTTTTACCTGAACCGGGAACAATGACAATATCACAAGAAAGAAACATGCGGTAAGTCAATTCTTTGTGTAGATTTTTCTGGCATCAACAAAATGATATCTTTGCTAATACTTCCCAAGAGCCATGGATGCTATCATGCTGTCCCTATTCAACTCGAGAGAGCGAGAGGCTAGTGAGTGGAAAGAACTGTTTACGGCCGCAGACCCAAGATTCAAATCCTTTACAGTTAATAGAATCAAGGGCGGCTCTGCCGGTGTTGTCTACGTGGAGTGGACTCCATGATATGTTTTCACTTACTATATGTAATCATTTGAATCAATTGTCCAGTGAGATAGAACGATGGAAGATCCATGGAAACGACAATTATTTAGTGAAACTTGGCCTCGCTTTAACCATGTGTGTCCTTTCAACTTTTCAAAAGACCTACAGGTATACTTTTATTGACTACTTGTGGCGAGGTGATCTTTTTTAACGAGACTAGACCATAAACATTGCTTCTGTTTTCAGATTTATCAATAACAAAGGGAAAGACCATATGAAGTCATATGTATATGTAGCACTTCTACTCATTTATGTCTAGTTTTCAAAATCTCTAGTGTGCTAAGTTTGAACAATTCTAAACATTTGGAACATTGAAGGATGGTGATTGTAAGACCTTTTTAATACAAATATCCGAGGATAAGGAATATCATTTAGCAGCCATCAAAGAATCCACCGCAATTTAAGACGGAGACACCTTCATAGCTTAAATCTGGGGAAGGTCGTTAAAAGTTGATTATAATAATAATAATAAATCTAAGACGGAAGCACAACCATCCTGGATAGTAAACAAACATGAAGCTGATAGAACCTAGACAAAGCAAAATGGCTGCCCCAAAGCTTTTTCCAACGTTGTACGATATTATAATACTACTTATTAAGAAAAGGAATTCCTAGACTCCGAAAATAATATGAGGCATTTATTTTGGAGAACAAGCTTTTTTAAGCTACAGCCACATAGCTGGCGCATTACGAACTCTGTTTCTCCACTCGGAATAGTTCTCGGAGTAATCCGACGACAATGTCAACTTCATGTTATATTAAAGTCCTTAAACGGGAACTTTATCAGGAATATGTTACATGGTGCCGATTTTTCAAGTATTGGATAAAGGGTACCTCGCCTCGCCCTTCCTCGAGGTGCGGTAGATGACGCTATACCATACAACATAGATTGGACTATTGTACGAGTGTATACACGATGATCTTGCCATTGCCCCCTTCCCTTCATTACCGTCATCCCAATCAGGGGACATAATTCGCGGCAGCAGTCATATCCTGCTCGCTGGACCCTAGACCTTTCTTAATGGCCTTGTTACCATCACGGAACTGGGCTGGATCGGGTTGCGGGTTGCCATTCTCATCGGTCTTGAGATCCAAGAGTGTTTCCGGGCCCCAAGAAGTAGCGTCGGATGCGAACTGTGGGTTTGATACAGCCTGGTCACGCATACGAGACTCCCACCTGCGGTCCTGTGTTACGTGTCGCAATCGACGTTTTTGGTTCTCTGCCTCGGGGTAACGAATTGCAGTGTCGGTTTTGGATGACGGCATGCTGTTTATCTGGGAAATTTTGCGAGTTCGATTTATCGATTCCCTTCTCAAATATGGCCAAAGTTTATGAACCTAGAAACAGAGAGATAGTTTGCCTTGTCCATCCGCATTTATAAGCCACATTGTGGCGAGTGATTCAACCATGACGGTACATGATCATACCCTTCCCAGCCACCGTGCCTCTATGCTGTCAGAAAGACCCATAACTTGGGGCAACGGCGCTTTTATTTTACAGTCGATCCTCTTATTTGGTCGGTGCCATCAGCCCAAGCAATGTTGAACCGACTTCTGGAGAGCGTCATTCACCGTCTGTGGGCGCAAGTAAACACCATTGCCACCGATATCCGAGACCAACCGAGACCTCGTTGATGTAATCGATATATCCAGACGCTAAAAAAACGCTACGGAAATGACGTCGCAATTGTCCTCGTTTATTCATTTATTACAAGAAATCCCCAGAACGACGAAGTTCTGTTTGATATTTGTACTGACTCGGGCGAGCTAGCCGCTAAGAAAGATCCGTGGTTGGCAGCAGATAAGACGCAGCAATATACACAAGCTTCCACGCCAGAGTGGGGAGTGCAGTCTACTTTGTCGACTAACCAGGCTTTGGTGGGAGATAACAAAGACCTTGACTCCTCTTTATCTGCATCTCATTGCGAAGTACGGATGCTGCCAGGTGAATGTGACAAAGGACTTGGTATGGCTTGCATGTTCCTATGTGCATCGGCCACTTATCGATCATCGAGTAATTTGTGTCTCCGGCTTATTCAGGTCCTCGACATTGTCGGTTCATTTACCACACACCGGTCGTGGACGAGCGCTTGTTCCCACGTCCTGTCTACAGGACTTCTGCATACGTGTTAGCGGAGTAATGGTTGCATTTGCGACTAGCAGCAGCTAATCAAAAGCCCGAGACTGCCACAGGTAGAAGAGCAAGGGCAAGGGCGAATGCAATATCATGATGCTTAAATAGACTAATAATGGAGGTGGAGAAATGCACACGACACACAGTCCGCCTTTAAACCCTTATGCTAAGCTTCGGGCAAGCTTCCCGCGCTGAAGCCGCCGAATAGCGACTCCATATTGCGACCCCGGCACTGTCTTGTTAACTCTATCAAAGACTCAACGCACGCCATGGGCACTGTTATCGTCGCGATCATCACCCTGCGCGGCCATCGCTCGCTGCCCTCAATTGGCCGTGGCGCTCTGGCTTCCGTTCCGCCTTCAAGCATCTTGTGTTTAATCAAATTACCAAACTTCCTGGTTGGCCCTCGCTGGGTCGCTGCAACCCTCCCTCATCGACGGCTTGATATCCTAGTTAGGCTATCTATGCCTTCTATGTCGTGCTGACCAGAAGACCCAATCACTGCGTCTTTCTACGCGGTGCAGGTGCCTATTTTCACCTCGTTAACGGCGACAGATTGCTCGCTTCCGTATTCTCAGCAGAGTCTAGACCCAGCCAGCTTTCCGGAAGACAGAAAGAAGGAATTTGACATCATGCCGCTTGCGCCTACATACGACAGCGCCAGGGTGGTTGTTGATAACATGCCATTTCTCCCTCCTTTACAATTCTGTGCTTACGGCTTGTGCTTCCATGGTCACATAGCCAGTCCCTCCCCTGACGCTACCTCCTTGTACTAAGATGGGTAGGTCTGATGATTTGCGTCGCTACATACCTTGCTTCGATTTGATTCCATTGGTAACTGACAGACCGGTCACAGCTACCAATACTAGCGACAACATCATCGCCGATATCATCGCGACACGGCCTCCTAAGGAGGTTGTCGAGCCTACCGGCCGCAACTCATTCGATATTCCTCCGCATGATCTACGAGATCCAGAAAAGGCCTCGGATACAAATGTCGCTGCAACTAGCGATGCGTCCTCTGAGTATCCTATTCCCACGGAGGAGGAGAGGCAGACTCTACGTAAAGTTCCCGGAAACCTCAGCGTGATTGCCTATGCGCTATGTCTTGTGGAATTTGCGGAGCGTGCTTCGTACTACGGATCTCAGACTGTCTGCTCGAACTTCATATAGTTCCCTCTCCCGGAAAGTAAAGAAATAATCTTAGTTCTTTTCCTTGTCCTTCCAAATATTGATCTTGTTAATAGGCGGCAATGGCGCTGGTGCGCCTCCTCGGGGTAGTCAAGAGACTGCCGGTGCCCTGGGAATGGGTCTTCAAGCTTCTCAAGGGTTTGTCCTTCTCTTTTCTTTTCTTGCCTATATCATCCCTATATTTGGGGGCTGGTGGGCAGACACAAAGGTCGGCAGGTACTATGCTATAGTCGTTGGTGTCTTGATTTGCGGTGTGGCGCACGTTATCCAGATCATCGGCGCCATTCCTTCCGTGCTACAGAAAGCAACTTCTCATTCCGCACCTCCTTTCATCATCAGTTTGTTGATTCTCGCGGTGGGAGCTAGTATCCTCAAACCCAACATTGCCCCCACTCTTCTAGACCAGCAAGTGCATTACAAGGAGTACACCAAGGTTCTGAAATCCGGCGAAAAAGTTAGTGCCTTGTCCTAGTCTTCTGTTTGGTGACGCTCAATGCTGATTGGAATCCAGGTTATTGTCTCCCCTGAAGCTACTACAACCCGGGCGATGCTCATTTTCTATGGTATGGTCAACGCTGGAGCATTTTACATGCTTGCCACCACATACGCAGAGAAGGATGTTGGTTACTGGTTGACGTACCTGTTGGCTGGAATTATCTACTTTCTTTTGCCAATTCTGCTATTTGCCATGTATAAACGAACACGTCGGCTCCCTCCATCTGGGTCGGAGTTGACAAGTGCTTTCAAAATCATCGGCACGGCTGTGAAGCATAGTAAAGGCAAATTTTGGAAAAAAGATTTCTGGGATGCGGCCATGCCATCTACTCTAGCTGCTCAGGGGATCTCTGTCAGCTGGAATGACAAACTAGTCGATGACGTTAAACGGACTATCAACGCCTGTCATATCTTATTTTTCTTCCCAATCTACAACTTGAATGATTGCGGCATAGGGTCTGTTTCTACGAACCAAGATGCAACAATGGTGACCAACGGGGCTCCGAACGATCTCCTCAACAACTTCAACCCATTGACCATTATTGTCTTTGTTCCCATCCTCAGCTACATTGTCTACCCAATTATGGCTCGTTTGGGTTTCAGAAACGGACCCATCAACCGCATTACATTTGGTTTCTTCCTAGCTACCATTGCCGGCATCTACGGTGCCGTTGTCCAGTACAAGGTTTACCAGCTTTCCACATGTGGTTACTATGCTTCTACCTGTGACGAAGTCGCAGACATTTCTATCTGGGTGCAAATCCCCAACCAAGTGCTCGCTGCCATGTCTGAATGTTTTTGCAACGTCACCGCTTACGAAATTGCATACTCGTGTGCCGCTCCCTCTATGAGAGGTCTCGTCATGGCCGTCTTCTTGTTCATGACCGCGCTCTCAAGTGCACTAGGTGAAATTCTCATCCCTGCTACGGTTGACCCTTATCTGGTATGCATATTATTCTCATTATTATTTCTTATATACGTCCCATCTGACAAATAATAGATCTGGATCTGGGCAGCCCCTGCTATCGCTCTTGCAGTACAATCCGTCTGGTTCTGGTTCAGGTTCCACCATCTGAACAACGAAGAGTTCATGATCGATGAGGATTCCTATCCGCAAACTGTAGAGCCCAAGATTGAGGAGCCCCGGATTGACGAAGAGCCTAAGGTTGATGAGGAGACCAAGTTGTAAATTGCCATCTTATACATCAATTTAGTGGTGCAAATCAGTTGATAGGTGAACCGGATAGTTGGATGAACATAACCAAGAAAGAATAATTTAAGCAATGCAAGATGTAGCTACTAAAGAAGAATGTAATTAATCAAATCCTACAGTACATGTTAAGGCTTTAAATACCAGACAATATACATATATTTGATAGTTTAGAAACCATAATCTAACTCTCCGCTCTGCCTCCCCACGCCACCATCGTCTCCCTTCGGATACCGCCACGACTATCAACCACATCAACAGCATACTCACCAACCTCTCCTTCATACTCTTCATTTTCTTCATTTTTCATCCTTCTCACCGAATTCCACTGGTACAATGCCTCCAACGGTGGTAACCTATCGCTCACGGCTTCCTTCTCTTCCATTCCCGCCCCACAACACAGATACCACCTTATCACCCATGGCACATAGTATGAAAGAAACCACGGAATCCATGATTTCAAAGCCCATGGAAGCACTTTTTGAATTTGATACCGGATATGTACGCGGGTAGGCACGCCGAAAATATAATTGAATTCCTCGAGTGAGATTGTTTTTCTTGTCCCAGGAACGAAAAGCCAAACAAGAATGGCGGCAAAAGCGTCAAGACCACTATTTATCAATTAATTTTTTTCGGGGCACGGTGGGAGATTGTGTAAAATTTCGGGTTAGAAGAGAGGGCCAACTAACGCAAAAAGTCCCAGTAGACGAGTCTGGCCTAAAGAGCTCTGCAGCTGGGGAACTGTCAAGGCGAGAACTCCCGCGAGCAGAAAGTTGACGGTACAACTCAGAGACATTCCGACCTCTGAAAAAGGTTTGAGCGTTAGAAAAACAATTTCAGTGAGAATAGCGGATGTTATTATGTCGTTGGGGTTAAAGACCGCTACTTACCGCGATTAACCAGCGGAAAGATTTCACTCGAATACAAAAATGGAACTACTCCTGCCCCAGGCGAATATGTAGCAGTATACAATATCAAAAATAGTTCGAACAGGCCTACGCGTGCCGGGTTATTAGGGTGCGCGGGGTCTATCTGTAGACAAAAACCAGCAGCAATGAGTAGTGGAACCATCAGGATGAGAGATAGAAGAAGAAGGAAGCGTCGTCCTTTGCTATCAATCGTAAAGTAAGCTAGAGGCGAGAACCTGAGCTCAATGTATCTTGTTTAGTTTATGATTAATGCATTATAAAAGATAGGCATCGTACACTGCGTTGGATAAGGCAAATCCAAAACTGAGCCACAAGGCAGTCATATTAGATAGTTCCGGGGCTCCCGAGATGGTGTTATTTACTGAATTGCTGATGAAACTCGTTGATAGAAATGCGAAAATATTAATGCCAGACAGCTGTCTACAGACAGTACAATTAGCTGGAGGCTAGTCACCAAAAGAATAAATTTATGAGATAAGAGATGGGCATATAAATCTCCAACTTACTGAGCCGCCATCACCACACAAGCAGCCAGACACGCTCTTCTATTCCTTTGAATGGTGAAAAGCTGCCAGAAACGCTGGAAGAAGTTTGTTCGTCGTGCCTCCTGTTGATACAGTCTGCCGCTGGCATTGTGTGTCCAGTTTTCGATCTCGTGCACAATGTCACCTTTGCCAAGGAGGATTGTTTCAACTTGGAGCTGGCAGTGTAGCTGATACATATCTCCTATTGTGACTACTTAATTGATCTCTCATTATGAAAATTCGTTGTAGGTGGTAAACATACTCGCTGCTTGCAAAGGAGTCTCGCGCAGTCCTTTAAATGTTCTCCACGCACGGGGGTAGTCGTTCTGCTTTACAAGCCAGTGTGGTGATCTATTGAATTGTATTGGTATTAGTCCCTGACTTGCCTTCCGTACAAAGTTAAGACTTACTCCGAGCAGATCAGTACGAGAAACAGAAGAGGAACAGTTGGAATGAAAGCAGAGGCAAGCTGCCACCTCCAATCTTTATTGAAGATCAGGTTCGAGCACGACCCGAGGAATAACCCGAATGCTAAATTATGCAGTTAGAAGGTTACGCACACTGTCAGCTTCACGCAAGGGGGCGGCTTGGCTTACCGACGAACGACTGCCACGAGACAAGGAAACGTCCTGGATGCAGTGTAACATTAGAAGAGAACCCTACCTAGACGACACGACTCACCTCTGATTTTTGACGGGCTGACTTCGCTTTCGAATATAGGTACTATTTAACCTCATAGTTAGTTTTCTCCTCATTTGATGTCTTTTGGCGACGGATGGAAATACCAACGGATGCTTTCGCTCCCATGCCGATGCCTTGGATGAGTCGGCACACTAATAAGCCTTGCCTGCAGTAAAAATGGTACGTATCAGTACAGATAAACACCGAGCAATTTATGAGGCGTAAATTTACCAGCTTTGTACGTATCCAGACCCGATACTTGAGGCAAGGGAAACTAAGGCGGCAATAAACAAAGCGCCTCTTCGTCCAAAGACATGCTCATTTAACGGATCTGATAGCCATCCTCCTCTGTCAATTATCAGTCCGGAGTCGTCCAAAAGTTACTGCCACCAGGACCTGAAACTTACACTAAGCTCGCCGAAAAATAAGTCACGGAGTTAACGGCGCCAAATTTCCATGTTGTAGAAGTGGTGTTATTATTAAAGAGATCCAATGGCCATAGCAGATTCGCCCCTGTGAGATTTGCCTGTGACCATCCTCTACAAGGGACAAGTCAGTTTAATATTATCAGACAGGGAAAATACCCCCATACTGTACAATAGCCCCGATAGCGCAAGTAAGAAGAACGACCTGTAGTTCCTTTGGCTGCCTCGAGAGCCTCGGGTGTTCTTCTTCGTTCAATGCACGAAGCTCAACTTCATTATAGTTGGATTTGTTTCTCAGAAATTGTTCTCTATCCCGGGCAAGGTGAGCCCCTCTGAGGAGGAGGTCGATATCTACCACTTGGGCAAGCTCATGTTCTTCGTAGAAAGACCTGACATCGTCTTCTAGCTCGTCTGGAGGGCGGTAGTTGATTGGATTATCGATTCTGTCGTTTACCCATTATCAGCTAACACTTTCAAAAAGTCTAAAAAGCTCGCTTTCGGTTTATGCGAAGTCTTACATGCCAAGTTTGTTATTATTCAGTAAGTGGTTGAATCCTTGCTCTGGACCAGATCGATGAACCTGGAATACTGACTTAGCAAAGGTGAGCGCGAGCAGGAAATTTAGAAATCACCCTTCCATTAACGCGCCTATTTCGATTGACGCCACTCAGCTCCATTATTCTCGGGAAAATATGTCACAGAAAACTCCCAAAATTTTGTAATGATTCCTGAAGAAATGAGAAAAGGACCTCAGAATGAAAAGGAGAAAGTCACTCGCGGGGCTACATCTCCAGCTAAAATTAGATTACAGAGCCTCATCGTAATCAGACAGTCACGAGCTTACATCTTTCAAAAAAAAAAACAACATACAATTTCTAAGCTAAACTGGGGTCAGATCGCAGCTAACTCGTTTCCCCCATACCCCGGCTCAGGCTCAGGGTCTGCGCCTCAGTTAGCTTTGACAGTCGGGCCATCACGGGCACATGTCTTCTAACGCAAAAATGACTAGATTAGGTGATGCTATGTACTCTGCTCTGCTCAGCATTTCGAAGCTCAAAAGACTGTGGATATCACGGCTTTATCCAATAGCCTGGCCTCATCTCCAAGGAATTCGGTGCATCACTGCCGTCAAGCACGGGTTAGCTCTTCTCTCTCCACACGCCTTAGTGGCCGGTCCGTGTCAGAAACCGGTGCAAAGCGTAATTGGTCCTGAGGCTGAGCTGGAAAGGTCCGGGAATGGTTCATATTTAATCATGATAATACAGCTAGCGAATCATCTCTCTCCTCCATGCCGGGACCGGTGAGGAAATACGAGCGCTGCATCGGTTAGAAAATAGCCAGTAGTCAACTGTGTAATATATGCACATGTGGCCTAAAACTTAGGCCGACATGGACACATACGGTGTTACGTACACCAACTGCATGTAACCCATATAATTGTTTTTTATGCAGTCAACTAGTCCGGCTGACAGGCGTCCGGCGCTGGGCGCTGGGCGCAATTGAGGGTCGCCAACTTGACATTATGATTAATTATATGAGTACATACCGACTGCTCAGTGATGAGTTGGGGGGTTTGGACGACGATCAGTGATCATATTTCCGATTGAGAAAAAGCCGCGTTTTGTTAGACTGGGAAGAATCCATATCAAAATCGATTATCCCCGCTGGTGCCAATACACAGCCAAGCCCACAGTGCTTGTGCCCAGAGAATCCCTCTCTGCACCCAAGACAACTAGTTATGGCTCCTTCTCAGCACGCCAATGGCTTTTCTTCCATTTCCAGCAGACCGAAATTGCAATAATGAGTGTGGCCGATAAAGATGGCGATCAACCGGAAATGCTCGGAGAAGCTTTCTGCCGGCGCGGAAATCTTTTTATCTTTCTTAACCACAGCCCGAGTCCCTCCAGTCCCCATCCGACAACGGAGTTTCTGTTAAATCTCTTCAGGCCTCTTGCGCCTGCGATTGATAATTTCATATTAATGAGCGACTCCAGGCATTTCCATCGCAGCTCGCCAGTCGCCTTGTCTCTAGCCAAGCCTTCCTTTCCGTTCTCCCGAGACCGGACCCCGCGATAACCTCGTCATAACCTCGTCCTAGTCGTGTGCGCACAAGGGTATCTCCAACCACAATGACAGAAGTTATCGCCGATCAGAAAGACCCAGCTGCACCTGCTACGCATGGAAGCGACGTCGAAGCCATCAACGAAAAGAAAGTCGTCAGTCGATGGGCGGAAGCAGTCAGTACGGATTACGCCGACCTGATCTTCATCCTCTGCTCGTTGACGACGGGTCTCTCCGATGGAGTCATATACGCTTCATTCGGCTGCTTTATCAGCATGCAGACTGGAAACACGATTTTCCTGGGCTTGGGCGCAGCGGGCATCCCAGATAACAAACCGTACGGCTGGTTGAAATCGCTGACCTCGATCAGCGGCTTCTTTATTGGTTCTTTCGTGTTCGCCAAGGTCATGCGCTTCTTTGGGAATCGCAAAAGAGGTACTCTGACGGTGTCTTTTGCCATTCAGGCGATTTTTGTCCTTGTCGCAGCCGCCATTCTTCAGAGCGACGCAATTCCGCATTCCCTCACCTACCAGCCCACCAGCGGGCCACTCTTCCTCGAATTGATCCCATTGGCCATCCTGGCATTCCAGTTCGGTGGTCAGATTTCTGCGAGTCGTGGGATGGGATTCAACGAGCTGCCGACCGTTGTGTTGACTTCTGTCTATTTTGATATCGCATCGGACCCGGGACTGACGGATAACATCACCAAGAACGTGAAGCGCAACAGACGCATAAGCTCAGTGGTGGCAATTGTCGTCGGGGCTATTATTGCTGGCTGGCTGTGTCGCAGTAAAGCGGAAATGCAAAGTGCTCTGTGGATTGCGGGGTTCATCAAGGTTTGCATGTCTGTCGCATGGGTGTTCTGGCCGGCTGCAGTGAAGCAATGATGGGTTTTATTGCTTAATTGTCACTATTTTCATGCTCTGCAAATTTGTATAGGGCGATGGCAGCATTCAGAGAGCAATCTTCTGGTTTATACTTGACCATTTCTAGACTACCTTTATAATTTTTAGATACATATAGAACTTCAATTCCATTTCTGACAAGTTCTTAAATATCACGCTTGTCAGCTTACTCTTGTCGATCATAGCTGAGGGAGGATTAAAAAGTCTCCGTGATGTTTCCGAGCAAACCATAAAACCAGCCTCCAACTACGTAAATCAATTTTATTTTCCCTGAAACGAACAGAACGAGAAATTCAAAGATAAAATAAAATAATATGGCACACATAGCATTCCCCCAATGGGCTAAAACAATTACCACTGTCTCTACGAATACCTACAGCTATGTCTACATCGCACCAAAAACAACCACCTACTCAACCCTCCTTTTTCTGCATGGCTTCCCGTCTTCCTGTTACGATTGGCGCCATCAGATAAAGTATTACTCTATTCACGGCTATGGAATTCTTGCTCCAGATCTGCTCGGGTACGGAGGCACCGACAAACCAGACTCCCTACACCACTACCGCGCAAAGACAATGTGCGACAGCCTGATTGAGATAATGGATCATGAGCATATAGACCGGGTGCATGCCGTGGGGCATGACATGGGATGCGGTCTCTTATCCCGTCTGGCGAATTATTTCCCGCATAGGCTGTTGAGTTGCACGTTTCTGACGGTGCCCTATGCAAAGCCAGGAGAAAAGTTCGATTTACAAGCTGTGAATGCAATGACATCGCAGTTTTTCGGGTTTGAGAGGTTTGGGTATATAGAATTCTTTGTCAGAGAAGGGTCAGGAAAGATTATTGATGAGCATGTCAGTTCGTTCATTAATTTTGTATATTCGATCCCAGAATCGTTTGCTGACGAGAGAGTGCTGCTATAGATTGACTCCTTCTTCTCATTATTCTACCCTCACGATGCAGAGGTTTGGAGCAGAAATCTTGCCCCGATCGGCGCAATTGAAAGCTGGTTGAGAGCAGACACCAAAGCGCCTCTTCCATCATTCATTACGACAGAAGTAAGTCCTATGCCACTCAACTCTGACCCATTTTGCATGCATACTTACCGACTTCATGCAGGAAAAAGAAACGCATTGTCAGATTCTGCACGGATACTACGACAAAGCAGTCAACTGGTATCGCGCATTGGCAAACAATATAAACATCGAGGATGAGCTCAACGAAAATCTGGACCCCATGCTGCATATGCCCGTCTTGGTCATCACGGAACAGCCGAGTGCAATCAGTATCCCTGGTTTTGCAGAGCAGATGAAGCAGTTTGCGGATGATGTCCGGTTTAAACAAGTTAAGACAAATGGTCATTGGGTGCAGTTGGAAGCAAGAGATGAGGTGAATTCCATGATTCAGGAGTTTATCCATGAAGTGTGTTGATATGTAAACATTGAAGCAAATTTTCTGTTATACATGTTGATATCTCCTCTCAGTCAAGGAAATGATACGCCACCCGTGCATAATATAACAATTATAGCATCTGGTGAACCAACTATACTACAATAGTATAATGGTCAATGTTGAAAAGACTTAACAGCTCGGGAATACACGCATGCAGCAGAACCAATTCTGTCAATCATTGGTTATGGAATCATTTCCGGCCTTCGCTTGAATTACTCAAAGGCTAAAAGGAGTGAAAATAAATGGCGTACTAGGCCATCAGAAATTTAAAATTCCCCAAGTCTGTGTAGATCCAACAGATATGGATGTACAACAGATTCTGATTAGCCAATAAAGCTAGACTATGGATCCTCCGGCATGATTAGCGATCGTTCGCTCATATGCAGCCTTGCTGGCATGTAACTCCACCGGATACATGTATCCGTAGCGCGTTTTGTCGCATTCGACTGCCTTTTTTTGATCAATTATTTCCAGCTGAACGCATACAAAGATAAAAACATTCACACACATAGACATCATGAGGCTCTATTCCATGACGGCACGGGGAGGATTGCGATATCCCCAGGAGGCCCCAAATAATGGTAAATGGATAAAACCCTCCAGGTTGTCACACATGCTACTCGTCAATTGATACTCATCTTCACGGCACAACATCAGTCAACGGTTGACTTTATGTCCGTCGGGATAGAATTTTCCCGTACTCACAATGGGCAAAGTAGCATGGCGATCCAACACATGCGTCACTTGTCGAAAGCGTAAAGTCAAAGTATGCAACTGTTTCTTAATATGTATATCTACGCTCTGTATATGTATATTCTTAGTCGCTAATCCGGTTAAAGTGCGATCAAGAACATCCTGTATGTAAAAAATGCAAGGACTCCGGCTTGAAATGCGAGGGATACTATGGTCAAGGTACCCGAGCCTACTTGCTACCGACTTCATCTTCGACCGAAGTGCCAACTGAAGATCCCCATACTCAAACTCAGCCGAGAAATAGGACAAGGATACCCCGTGCTAGCACCTCTCCCAGCCTGAGTATTCAGCGTCCGACAGAGAACAAAACATATGGGATAGTAAACCTGTTCCTGGACAATTATATACCCTCGAATAGTCTTGAACGGAGTTGCGGGGATCAGCATACGATAGCAACCTGGTATATTAACTTTCCGTCCTATATCGGCCTACATCCTCTCCTGGACGATGCCATATCAGCTCATTGTTTGTTATTCCTTGGTCGGATATATGAGGATCAGGAATACTTCAATGAACGAAGCTGGGAACTGGCTTATAATTTGTATCATCAAAATGGGCCAATCTGTTTACCAAGAGACAGAGATACAGTAATCGCAATCCATATGGTTATGGCTTCGTACGAGGTAGATTTATTTCCCCAAAAAAGCCGTTATTTTGTGAAAGTCATCGTATTGACGTTTTCCAGTTTTATGATTCCTCAAAAGAATCCTCAACGGGCTTAGAGAGCATGATGGTGCAGGTTGAGTTTGGGGGAGATGTACTTAGGAGATTTCCTCCAACCACCAGCCACCCCATCAACCGCCAGGTTTATCTGCGAGTACGCTGTTATAGTGTGAGCCCCCACTTACATTCGTCGACAGCCTTTAAACCACTGACTCCCGGGTTATGTAGTTATATGTAGCCTGTCTCAGACGAAAGCCAAGTTTTCTCAACGACAAAAGGTGGAAAGAAGGCTGGCAGACAGGCGACATTATCGACGAGATCTTTGATATAGCATTTGAAATCCCGACCATTCTCGAAATCTGCGGCCAAGTGGCTTCGGCTCTTAACAAAGCGTCGGCAGAGACACAAGGTGCATTCCGGGGAGATGCATTCAGATTACTTCGTACATTAATAGCGGAGCTAGTGAACCTTTTTAATAATACTCATACGAGTCTGACAAACTGGTATGCGAGACTACAGAATAGCGAGCATAGACCACTTTTTAGTGTAGATGATATGCCGGCAAGTCGTACGGCGAGAAACCCATTTTCTGGAAACCTGCTTTTCTCTTCTGCAAAGATTTTCGAGGCTCATCTCCATTACTGGTTCTCGGGTCTAACCTTGTATACTATCATGGCGCGGTTGATCTACAGGATATCGATTTTCACATCTTCCTCCGCCACAATATACACGAGGGTAAATTACTTGGATGACAAGGATTATTATAATGCAGAAACGAAAATCCACGAGCTCCTTTCACTCGAGCCCTTCGTCAATGAGGTCGCTGCAAGTCTCGCCCAAAGAGCTTGCCAGGCGGTCACATTCTGTTTGAGCCCTGATCAGGGGAGCGTTGGGCGGCATCTCATGGTTCCTGTGCTGTGGATGGTGCAGGATTACTCTAACTTTCGCGGTCAGGAAGACTTGAATGACTGGTGCGTGCAGATGTTTGGGGAGCTGGCTATGAAAGGATGCGGGATTGCGTCATCGGCTAGGTCTGTTAGTTATCGGGATTTTGTTCAGATGACTGAGAAGGAGGCAGGTTTGGGTTTTTGATTGAATTCTTATCGAACTTTCTGGGCGAAGAGGTGCATAATATCATTGCGTGGAATCTGCTATGAGAATCTGTTATGAAGTAGGTGGAAGACGCAATACAGATTACATGTACTAACACTTACAGCAATAGCTATATCAATGAAACAATGGAACGTAAAATTCTCGCTTTAATTTCTGGATGTTCCGTATCTAATTACACTCGACGAAATTATGTAGAGCGCACCACGACATCAAAAGACAAATAATGATATTATTATCTAACATCATAAATGAGAATGAAATTTAAAGTATGATGGTATTTAAAGAAGGATTGGGAAGTAGACCATTCCTAGAGACTGCTAAATTAACCCCTCCCAACTAGGTTTTATTGACTCTAGTGAAGTTTTAAGTTGACATAGATCAGGCTTGAAAGCAACACTCCAAGAGCCCTAGACATGTTTCCCGCGAATCTAATCGAGGTCAATGTACCAAATCTCACGAAATACCTTGAAAATACAAGCTCTCTCTGTCTTCACAAGCCGGGTCTTGACAGTTTTCTCAAATCTGTAATAGGAACACCATATCCGATATCTACGCCGTAGATAAGTATTCTAACGGCATATTTAAACGCTTTCTCCACATTGCCACAAGTAACATGTAAAATTTGATTCCAGTAATAAAATGTTTTGGGAATTCCCTATGCGTGTTCTGTTAATTTAATTCACAATATAAGTATCAAGTATCTTACAGTATGATGATGACGAAAATATGAGTTATGGCAACACAAATATCGATTGGGTAAAGGAGACCTTCATATAGCAATAATAATATTGAACCTTGTGCATTTTATAATTTCAATCGGACAAAAATGCGTATAAATGCAGAGAAAAGGCAGAAAATCTTAATATTACTGTCAAGCCTGCTAGATGGGTGCGTTACCGGGAATTAGGGCTATATGTGAGAAGGCAACTGCATCGGCAATATTGAAGTCTTTCTAATTTCATAGTAGATGTAATCATGTTTATTCTAGTAAATAGGGATATCATGCACAATCCTGCATCTTAACAATCATATACTCACATGTTCACAAGTAAATCATCAATTACAGCATTCAAACTCGGCACAATACTATAGGAGCCCAATTAAGAAAACCAAATAACAAAAACGAAAATCTAGACAATCCACATGAATCAATCCTCTCCAGACCATCCAAGAAACTCAATCCCCTCGTCAATTGATGTTCAACAAATCCATCCATCATAGGCTACCTCCTCCGTCACAATAGCAGATCCAAGCAAGCAGACCACATGAACTTGCATATACCCTGCAGCCCCTCACCCTAACGAAGCCCGCGCACAATCGGCTGTTCACAACCAATCACCAGCAGGACTCAAAGTTGGGAGTGCGAATCACAGCGCCCAAGCGAGCCATCCATGTGGCATGTGGCACTTTAGTTCGGGGGCCGGCGGTAACGCGGGCTAACACACTAGTACGCCCTTAGTTGCTGCATGCAAAAGAGGGGTCTGAGAGGGGAAAGCCTAACCAGGAAGGTCATAATCGGGGTGATTGACTGGAATGGACTGCATATTAATTCAGTCTAATGGTCAATGGACAGGGCTAGGTGAGGGGAGGGTGGTACAAGACAACGCCCCTGTCAATTTCTCAACCAGTCGATAATAACCCATAGTCAATGCGTTAACAAAGGCCATTGTGACAAGTAAGACGTAGACAGATCCATAGTTTTGAGGTTGAATGCCGCGCTCTGACTCGACGAGTCAGATATTAACCGTGCATTGCAGCGACTGGCGAGGCCCGTCAGTGGTGGCGATAACCCGTGAGTGGGGGATGCCATCATTCCAGTGGTGATTGATTGAGCGCAGTAATGCGGCGCTAACGGGTGAATTAACGAAGCAACGTCATGTCATGCGCTGCGATTCCCTGCACAACAGGCTACGGCATCACATTGACGTGTGCGGGGTTGTACGATCTAGGAGCTTAGGGAAGAGTATGTGGAACAAGGTGTAATTCGATTACATTGTATCAGTGTATAGAAATAAACAACAGGGGTATCATCGCAGGATGAACTCCGTATAAATGAGATGGGTATCTCTAGAAACGAAAACGAAATACTAACGCCAAGGAAATGGCTGGACAAAGGAAATGTAGAGAAATGAGAAAATGACACAAATGCTAGGGCAAATCAAAGACAACTCAAATGCAGTCAAAACGATGTAGTGATAAATCGACCCGCAAATGCAATGCAATGAAGCCGGCCCCGGTGTATCGATGCATCGAAATTAAACAAAGTGGTATAGTAAATCACTTTTGATCTAAGAAACATAAATCAAACGGTCGACTGACGGCGGCTCGACGTGCGCGACGGGCGTAATATCGTCTCGCAGTTTGCGTCGAACCGCATATCCCACAGTCGGATACTGTTCATGAGCTTTTCGGTATCTTGGAGCTTCCGGTCACGTCCAAAGATGGACGCAACGAATTCGCAGCCCGCGTTGCGTCCCATCGAAACGGGCACGCCGCGGCCGCTTTCGCGCTTAGCCGCCTTCCACATAAAGTGCTCGCAGTCCTTGAGCAAAACCTTGAACCGCGTCCACAGACGGTCGCCACTGTCAAGAAAGTCGTTTAGCAGTTCGCGAGACTCGGAGCGGCGAACCCGATCGAGGCATTCGTCCGCGCGCTTGACTTTACCAGCGAGCTTGATCAACAACAGCCACAGTTCGCCGGCGACGTCGGCCATTGGAGTCGAGGCTCCGTGATAGTAGACGGTCCAGTCGTAGATCCACTTTCCCAACGAGTTGGCGTCAAAGACACTTCCGAGCAGCAGGATTGGAGCCTCGGTCGGATCCCAGTTTTTGATGGAGTAGCCTGTGGGAATGCCAGCGGCCTCGGCGTCTTCTTCGGTCGCCTTGCGTGCTGCTTTGGGTGGCGTGGTCATCTTGGGCTTGGGTGGCGAAGTTCGAGTGGAAGTGGAGGCACGACGAGCACGGGATCGCTTGACATCTTCTTCGTAGATGGGGGGAACCTGAGAAAAGAAAGAAGAATGATCAGTCGTCGGCCTCGGCTTGCGTGGAACGGCAGAGGCATATCGCTCAAAGCGGACGCTTTGTGGCTCGCGGTAGATGTAGGCCGGCTCATCGTCTGCGTCGTCAACCACATCAATAATGATAGGTCGTTTCGGCGTACGCGAGGGACGGACGTAATCGTAACCAAAACGAAACCCATAGGCAGGCATGTCACCCGGCATGGACGCGCGGTGCTTCCTCTTTTTCTTTTCAAAAAACGCACTTACATTGTCGTGCTTGCGCGGGGACGCATATTCAGGCACCGTGTCGTAGTTGGTGGCGTATGCCGAGTACCATCCAGACTCCCTGGGGGATGCATAACTGGTTTTACGAGCATGTCGCTTGGCCGAGCCGCGAGGAGAGGCATTTGCATGGGGCGAGGCATAGAAAGGGTTGTTGGGGTTATATTGAGGCGACGCCGGAGGAGAAGTGGTGTAGTCGTATGCAGGCCACCCGCGAGGTGGGCTGGAGTAGTGATACATTATTCTTAATGTGTCGAGACCATGGACGATCTGCTGTATGTGATGGTTGGCAGATCAAATGCTCACGGATATCAGAGTGTCAGGAGATGGGACGTCAAAGAACCCAGGAAACGCAAACGCAAGGGAACGAAAAAACAAACACCCGCTTATATTGTACAGGATATCAAAACGACTCTAAAACAACCAAATAGATGGAGTAAGACCGTCACCGCGGTACGGGCTTCGGTCGAGGAGAGGAGAGGGGTTGAGCGTGTCTTGACTGTACGGGCATTTGAGCGTTGCGAAGGCGAACACGGTGGTTGTTCGTCGTAGAGGATCCGACAACGAGAGGATCCACGAGAGTTGATTTTGGGGGGATTCTCCAATTCTTGCTCTCTGGACACGAAGCGGCCAGAAAGTGCTAGAATGAGCTAAGAGAATATGGATATAATAACAATTATGAGCAGATGCAAGAGTAGTTGTGTGTGGTCTGGTAAAGCCAGTGGCTGGGAGGAAACAAGAGAGAGGAAAGCGCGGGCGTGAGCGATGGGGCGCGGTGGTATTAATAATTGTGGGCGCCAGGGACAATACGCAGTACGCAGGCAGTACCGAGAAAAAAATACGGCGCAGCCGGTATGGTACCGCACTATGAATGCGGCGCTAGCACCGGGGGCGGGCGGCGCGTTCCCGGCTGCCTTTGGCCCTTGTGGCCTTGCAGCCCAACTATGAGGTGCCCTATTCCTATTATCTTTCACTTTGCTTTCAGTATTCAAGTATTATTAGTTCCTCGGTGTTGGCTGTGCAGTTCTAGATGACTCACACACAGGGAGAGTCAACAGAAACTACTATGTGTAATCTATTATCCTGAGCAAGACATGGTTACATGGCGGGAGGACTACCCTACGGAACACGCACTCGTCCCGTCGCCACACCTCCCCACAGTATTCTGGAAGGCTGAAGCCGAGAACATACTCTGCACACCCTCTTGGCCTAAATGAGGGTGTGCAGAAGTCTCCTCGGCGCCATTTCAGGGCCCCCCATTAGCCAGCGCGACCATCACAGTCGCAGTATCACAAAGTACGAGGGCTGCTCTTCAGAATAGGCATTCACCCTGTCAAACTCAACCTCAAGACTCACTTCCAGCGCGCTCGCTTAATTGTGAAAAATTTTCCTCCCGCACAGATCAGAGAGATGCCTGCGTCGCCTCGAAATCAATAATAACCCCTGGTTATGATCAATGCGCTGCGACGCTCAACGGCTAGTCTGAGCCGCTGTGCTGGGATCACAGCCACTAATTTCCACTAACTTTGATTAAAATGAGGGATAGGATAATACCTGCCGCCTGGAAACAGTCATAATCATGATGACTCGATGACTACATTTCATGAAGTCCGCCGACAAGCCTTAAGGGGTTCAACTGCAAGATTCAATGCACATGCAAGATGGTCGCGGCCACTATCCTGTAGCCTGGGAGGATCGCCGATTTGCCACTTCAAGTCTCCATGATTATGATTGAGAGTACTTCTCGGTTATTATTGGATCGAGCTCAATAATGCATTGAATATACGGATGTGTACGCCGAATATTATGATTAAATATGATTGTGGCTGCCTTGACTGTCACATCGTTCGGAGTTCCTATCGCTATTTACTCTTTCAACTAACTGCTAGTTATTCTAGAGTCTTATTATCATGAAAGCGAATATTACCATGCTATCGTATTCGCTTGTTCGCAAGGACCGTTACCTGTACGTAACTATTCTATCTTTATTCTTGCTCTTCCGTCTCGATTCCACCAGAGTCTCATACGATCGACAACCTCATCTCCTTTTGAGCCTACCGATAACATACCGCAAATAGGCACACAAAGACTCGCCAAAAATAGCCATTCATACATTCTTTCAGAATTCAACTGTGAAAGAAGAACATTTCGCGGTATTCAGCTGATAGATTCTAGATTTCGGCAAAAATAACACACCTGCATCAATAATAAGCTGTAGATATGGTGTGTAGGACATGCATTTAATAACCTTCCAACCAACAGTACCACCGAAACCTCCTTCGGCCCGTAAGCGCCGCCGAGTGGCTTGAGCTAGCACTCTCGCCCTGCAGCCGAGGGGGGGCCAGCGGTTGTTCTCAGCGCGTTCCGCCGTGTTGTTTCAGCTGACGCAGCCCTAAGAGTCAGTCAAATACCAATGAAAATAGGGGGACGGTTAGACGCCTCTAAATAATATTAACCACTGACCTTTCACTAAGTATCTCTTTTTCACTCCGTTTGCGCCTGCTTATGCACCGTCGATCTCCTGCGTGTACTTTTTCCGCACTGCCTCAGACTGGCTGGCAGTGGCAATAGTGGCTTTAGCTGAATTAGTCATTCCATTTCAGATTTGTCAGGCGGTCGGTCATGTGCCTTCCAAGCACTCAGCTATCATGTTCGAGCATTCTACCGTATTCTCGCCACTCCATATCTTCGCCCTCCATTTGCCATTACTCTGTCCAATCTGGATGGAAAGATTTCATGATGAAAGATGACTTGTCCGGCTCTGACTCATAAGGAAATCACATGAACGGTTCATTTTCTGTGAAGTGTTAGCAAGGCTACAGCTCGTTGCGAAACAGGGCCAGCAAACCGCATCATTGTTGTCAGCCTATCAAAAGTCATATATCTGTCTCTGCTCTTTCAACTCCTTTGTCTAGCCTATTATTCGGCTTCTGGGTCGCAGAACAAGCAAGGAGTCAGATACTGACTATTCAGCACTGCCTATGCCGGCCTCCAATTCCATCACAGAATCGCTCGAGCAAGGCAACAACAAAATCTAGGCATGAATCACGAAATTGCAGCACTTAGTCGTTATTCTTACTAGTATTTCCTAATACTAGATCTAGAATGGATCCATCGACAAGTCCGGTATACCCGCAACGGGCACTATCCCGCGCACCCAGACTTTTGTCAACGGGAATGCCGTCAAGTGAACCACGGTACATCCTCGGGCATGTATTTTATTTTTATCATTGATCGATCGATGTCATAACCACATTCTTTCCCCATGCTGAGGCTCAGCTGACATCACTAGAAAAGCTCAGCCCAACACGATCAAACAATACGAACCTTGCGTTGCTTAAACTCACCACTTGATACGCAATACGATACAACCTCACACACAACATCTATTTTCTTACCTACATTTTACTGTAGAACCTCTCGTCACCGCCATTCGCTGCTCTGCTAGCGTCTGGCATCAACCCGGCAACGCTTGACCGCCTCGCCCAATACTTTCAACTGGGCCGCAAACCACTGCACCTAACGCGTAGCTGCAGGACAATTGATCATCGCCTCGTGCAAAAGCCTCCACTCGTGCGCAGAACGCAGGATTTAGTACTCTCTGTAAGTCTGTAACTAAGTTTAGTCTCTGGTAAAGTTACTCACGCCTAGCGATGTACGTTCCCAACCAGCTTTTCGGGACTGCTGGAAATTCTCCGCGTTTACGATGTACGACCTACAGAGCTGGTAGTACAAGTCAACGGGTATAGAGTGCAGATACGTAACTAGCAGTCTAGCACTGATGACTGCATGGTGTATACTCCACTTGGAAGGTTTCCGCGTGCGCCTGGTTGTTACATTCTGTCATTCTGATCATCATCGTCCTGATCGTCGAGTACATGTACGTATCAACGGTGGCTTGGTTCGATACATGTATAGAATAAATCATTAGGTACTCCGTAAGTAAGATAAGTGAACCTCCACTGGTGTCAGCAGTGACATAGGACATAAGCCTGTTAAAAGAAAGGTTAGAAACCGGTTTGTCACCGACTTTTGACGCACAGTCACGATAAGTTGATATTGGGCAGAAATCCGCTATTCAAAAAACCTTGCGTATTTGTTCACTCCAAAGTCTCGATCAAGCAGCCCAACATGGCAATAGTTCCCAAACATCACGCGACTACAATTCTCTTACGTTTTTATGATTAGAATACTTGTTGTGCGAACAGCACACTAACTCAATAGGTTGACAGGAAAGAGCACACTGCATGTACTAAATTAGAGAGGAGATGCGTTGGCTGCGCACTAAACCGGTCCGTATGCACAATCCACCAAGGCTTGGTATGCAAACGGTTCTCACGCTATTTAAATTATTAATAACAATCCGGTTGGTTGGTTTCCATCTCGCCGGTTTTGAATGCGACGCCAAACGTCACAATCAAGTCCGATTAGCGTGCAGTCGACATCTTGTTTATGCTGCTGGGAGTTGAATTCAGTAAGGTAGCAAGTTAAATTCTTCTTCATTTTAAAATTTTCCTCTTTTTTCTCCCTCTTTTTATTAGTTAGAAATTAGATTGACCAACTATATCAATAGGAACAGCCCCTTGCTCTCAACACACTCCATACATATATCTATCGAAGAAATATTGAACTTCAAAACATCGAAGTAATAATCATTATATAAAAGTGTTAAACCCTGCATGACAGAATCGGTCAAGGCATTTTCGTATAATAACAAATACCAACTTTTGTTGGTTTGTTTATACAAGGCTGGAATGCGTAATACTCTCTAACAAGGTAGTCGGCCCCTTGCGGCGACTGCAGCGTCTGTTGGGGTGGCCAGGAGATACCCTCAACTCAACCACTGCTAAAACTCGGCAGTCGCATTGTTTGTTTGTTTTTATTTGGGTGTTGCCATTGTTGCTAATATTATGACTACTAAAAAGTGTAATGTGCGCGTATTTGTTTCTCGGCCCAGCTAGCGGTCAGTGCATGCCTAGCCTGCCTTTTGCCCTTACCCTTGCCCTAGCCCTAGGCCTGCCTGCTCTGCCCTTATCCTGATGAAGCTACATACTTACCATTTTGGGCCATGTGTACTATTAGAACAACAAATAGTCTAGAAATATATTAAAACCTCAAAGACATGATCGACCATTATTCATTCTAGGTTAGGGCCGCAGAACCACAATTGAAAACCCAATAAACCAACCATTCAATGCCGACGGGCTATCATTGGCCCCTACGCACACACATAGCAGCCTGGACAATGCGCAGCCTTAATTGCACGTGGCTGCCCCTCGAGTAATACTGTAAATAGCTTTACTAGCAGCAGCAGCACGACGGCCCCAGACATACCGTACTTACCTCCGCCAACAGTTGACAACGGCATATGCATGGTTAATAATAACAATCCCGATGGACTCATCTATGTTTTGGGGGTAACATATTCTGCAGTAGTCTGGTCACAGCACTGATTAGGATATAGTTTACTGCGCTAAGCCCCTCTTTCAATGTTATTAATAATTATTATTCTTGGTGGTGTGGAAAAGGCAACCTGGCAACTTGTGACACAGGTTTCGGCCTTAACCTGGTTGTGCAACCGCGCGATATTTTGATTCGATGTCGTCGGAGGGTCTGCTTTATGTCAGTTTAAAGCGCCTTCGAAGGTAATGCACGGCAAAAAGGTCGAATTAATATTTTCAAGAGCTAAACTTTGATGGACACGATATATTATTGTTGATGATGTTGCATGTATCAATTGATCAATCAAACTCAACGTTTCTCCTATCTACAGAATCCCCTCCATATACACAGGTAAATGTATATAGTCTGACGCATCAAGATAGAAAGAAAATGAAATTCTGTTGGGCGTTCATGCATCTGCCTCTCAACCAGTATGTATCCATCTGCTGGTATCATCAGGAGGGGTAAATCAGTTCGGGCTGCTCGGCTAGGGTTAGTCAGGCCTTCATGCTTGATTCCATGCATTAGGGCGGTACAGAGATCGAATTTGCGATACGAGGTGGGGCTAGACAACCACATTCTCAGACTTGGTCATAAACGTTTGTTTTTATTCGCAACGAATAGTTTGGTAAAATAAATTCTCCGGTGGTGCTAGTCTTACGTAGCACAGCGGTGGTTGATATATTGAAATAGGGTTCGGGGTTAAGCCCTATACATTTATCAGAAACCAACCTATATGTTATACGATACATTAATATTTGATTATTCTACTACCAATCAAATCGACAATTCCGGATTGTACTCTTTCAAAACACCCCATACTTCCCTCCACACCCGCTTCTGCAAACCTTTCCACTCTGCTTCAGTTAACCCTGGGGAAAGGTCATCAAACTGATCATTTACCCACAACCGCCCATTGGCCTCCTCGCCCTGAAATAACCCAGTCACTAATGTCCTACTCCCTTCCTCGGCCGATCTCGCATGGATAGCATTATACACCACCATAAACAACCGCATACTTAACGGAAAGTTCCTACCCAGGTCCGTCTTACATTGCCCTGGACAACATGCCAACAGAATCGGGTCTTCGGGGCTCCCCAACTTCCCTTGTCTGCCACCAAGAGCCTCTACCAACCCCTCAAGAACAAACATAAGCAGAAGCTTGGGCTCGCAGTACCCTCGCTCAAGCGTCCAGCGTTTGGGATCGTTGAAAAACTGCAGTGTGCTCGCTGATTCATCATCAAGGATTGGCGAGACATCTTTGCTCATCACATTACAATACCCCGCAGAATCAACAAACTCCAAGACACTGCCCGGCGTCGCTTTGAGCAATGGCAGGAGTTCGACTGTTACCAGGGCCGTGGAAAGTACGTTGACCTTATAAGCCATCTCCCAGCCCCCTTCGACAAGCTGATGTTTCGGCGATGCCAGACCGGCGCTTAGAAGCACGCAGTCCAATGACTTCGTGGACCGTTTAACTGTGTCTGCAAATTGGCTGACTGATTTGAAAGAGGTATACTCGATGGCGATGACATCTACAACTGAGCTATCCAGCGCCGGCACTTGGGCCAGGATTTTGCTTTTGGTAATCTCGCCTTTGGCGACTGTTCGCGTGCCGAGTATTAACTTCTTCGGATTGAGTCCTGCGATTTTCAGTGCCGCTTCGTACCCCTATTAACCACGGGTTTATTAGTATTCGGACAGCTTGTGAAAAGAGTCTTAGGCTCATACAACACCCGTATTGCACCCAGTCACGAGGACCGTCTTCCCTGCGAAGTTTTTGGTAGGTTGTGCAGGAGGGTTACGAACTGCCCGGCGCTGATACGAAGGGGAGACTTTGCCGTATGGGCCGTTGAATTGAACCATATTGAAAATTCTCAGTAAGACTGATCAGGTAGTGTTTATTTTTGCTACTTCATTCCAGAGCAGTCCAGAACGAGTGGCTGTATATATTTCAGTTTATTTAGCATAGTCGGTGATCCGGTGTTTCGGTGTCGGTGTACACTTTTTCTCAGCCAACATCGAAGGGAAGGAATACCGACCAGGTTGCTCTATTGCGCACAGTATACATTTATGATCCTCGAGTAATAATTTGAAATAAACTCCTTTATATTACTAATTACTACTGAGTTGCATGTTACTTTATTTGGTTTGTGGGGCGCGATTAGACATTTCAATGTATATACATGATGTAAGTTAAAAACACAGCTATCTGTTATTCTCATCATATTCGTATCCAACGAACTAAGACTTGCAAAATCAAATACGAGACAGAATACAAATGGGTATCAATCAACCTCCAAATGCGAAATAAGTCCGCAAACTCCCGAAACATGCATATATGGATTCTCAGGTCACAAAAAGTCACAATACTCGACAACAACATTTTAACATCAATTCGACCGGGTAGAAAAAACAGACCATCTCGTGCTTTTCCGACTAGCGCGACTCGACTGGCTACTCAGTCGATGACCGACACTCGGTGCTTCGCCCTGACTAGACTGCAGACTTCTACGGCGTCGTTGCTCTTGGCCGCGTTTCAGCGACTCAACGAAAGACAGCATTCCGCGCGGAATAGCCGCCGTGTCGAACTTTGCGTCATAGTCACTCAGCAGTTTCAGTATGGGAATAGTGAAAGGACCATTGTTAGAAGCAGCGAGGGTTGCTGCTGTCTGGTTTTTTGCGTTCGTTGCTTCAATATCGACTCTGCCAGACTTGAGAAGGAGGCTCGCGGCTTCGAAGTGCTTGAATCGAACGCAGTAATGCAACGGCATCTCGCCGTCGGCCAAATTGGCTGCGTTGACGTCGATGTTTCGGGATAGCAAGAGTTTTATAATCTCGTCGTCGCAACTAACTTTTCCTCGTAGTAAGTGGTGTAGTGCGTTCATTCCGTGGTTATCCTGGGCATTCACGTCTGCAGAGAAATGTCGGAGGAGTAAATCAATACATCTCAAATCCGATCTTTTGGATGCGATGAGGAGAGGGGTCAAGCCAGATGGGTTTCTTTCTTCGACATCGACATGAGGGCGGTTCATATGTATCGATAAAGATTCATACCCTTCCTCAGTCGCCGCGCATAAGCTCTGGGTTAGAACTCGCGAGGTTTCCGTAGCCGCTGTTTCAGAAGGTGGACCTTGTGTATCTGACATCCCTCGTTCGGACGGCGAACTCGATATGATGCTTTGATGAGCCAAGTAAGCTGAGCTTGTCGACGCCCTGTGGCGACGCGGAACTCGCATTGGGATAGCTTGCGGTAGGGGATTGTCGTTTTTATTGCTGTTCAATGAGGAATGCCTCTCCCTAAGCACTTTTGACAAGGCTTTATCATTACTCAGATCAGCCACCTCGCTCCAAATTTCGGCACATGCTTTGGCCAGGTACGCCAGATGCGTGTCTGGAAAACTCTCTGCATTGTTCTTATTCACCAGATCTTCCACCGCAGTATACGACGTTTGGGCAACCTCGTTCAGACTCGGAAGTGTAATATCGTGATACTTATCGTATCTGTACAGGCAAAATCTAGCCTGGGCATGATACAGCTGCGCTCGTCGAAGCGGGGTGATTTTGCAATATTCCGGCCCGTTCTCGGCGGTGGATTGGTTGAGCTCGGCGAGCAGGGATTGTGCTTCTGATAGCTTGCCTTGCATTTGGTAGACCTCTGCAAGCCAGATCTGCAGGTCAAACCATTGCTCAAAGACCTGTTTGTGATGCTGATAGCGATTCTCCCCGTACTGGATTGCTCGGTGCAGGGACCTCTCGCACTCATCGTATCTGCCCTGCTCAGACTCTTGCTTCGCTTGGATAATATTCTCGTCCAGGATAGTCGTCATCAGGTCCAGTGACAGACGAGGGGCTTCTATTGTCAATCCCGGTGACTTCAGTGGCAGAGGAGAAATGAATGGGGTGATATCCAGGGGATGCTCCAGCATGATGGTTATCTCGCCTGTGCTAGAAAGAGACTCTATTTCGTGAGAAGCCTGGCTGGGTTCAGATCCACTGCGAGACAGCTTATCCATTAATGAATCCGCGGTCCGTAATGCTCTATCTGTAGTCTGCATCCATTCATGACCGTCTTGGTCGCTGCTTGTAGTTATTAGCCATGAGTGTGTTTGCGAACTGCGTTGTCCGTCGTGTTCGGCATGCCTGCCATTCGAAAGAACATGTCGTAGCGAGCTAACAATATGATCTCGAAGCATTTCCAACCCCTGATACTGTTCTCGTATATCGAGGAGATGTCTCTCAATGCGTTCTCCTCTCGCGACCTGATCATCATCAACGAATCTATGCACGCACCACAATCAGCATTTCGGCAAAGAAACATAAACATAAACATACAACTTCAAACAACTCAGCAAGAGCTGAATATTCCCGACATTCGCTTGGATTTTCGCCTCTATCCGCTGAATCTCCGGCTTGCGAATCTCCTGCACAATCTGGCCCTTGACTCTGCTCGGTAGCGAGTCATTACCCTTGTTCATGGTAAGCTCTTCCAACCGCGACGCGCATGCCATGCAATCCGCACTAATGTCCCGTGCCATTTGCCAGATTTCCTCTTCTTCCTGTCGGCAGTTTAACTCGTTACTGATATTACTGACACCGCCGATGCTTCCGCCGCCACCATTACGCGGAATGCGTCTGCTGTCCAGTCGTGCGGTGAGGTAGGCGACTGTACGAGTCAGGAAATCGAGTTTGACTTGTAAGTCATGCTGGGTTTTGGGAGCGTTGCGGACGTTGCTGATGAATTTCGCGGCCTGGGTGGCAGCGATGGCAGCGTTGCCTAGCAGCTGTAGGATCGCCGCTAGGGACGAGATGGCCTCCATTTGTCGGTGTACGTGCTAGTATCTACATGGACGGAGAGGGTGAGGTTGAAAAATCGCTTTCATTCAGTCAGAGACGCGTGGAGTAGAGTATAGATCAGATAAACGACAAGATGGGATGGATATGAACAGATCTGGATTCTCGAGAACATGCGTGTTGTTTTGCGCCCTCTCGACTATTCTGACTCAGTTACAGCAGCACTTGCACAGAACACCTCAGCCTCACCTAGCCTCACCTCGTACTGTGGCCCTGCCAATAGGGGCGATCGGAGCGCTGGGAGCGCCAGGGTGATGCCCGGCCCAGTGCACATGACATGGCATGGTCAGGATGGAATAAGAGAAGCAGAATGAAGCAGCAATACAACTACCCTACCTCGGTCAATTGTATTTCTTCTGAATAATTGAGTTAAGTCGAAGAGCTAACTTAAAGAGCAGAAATATTATTAATAGCAGTAGAGGAGAAGAAGACGTTACATCCGCATTTTGACCCCACGAAAGACTCCACAGTCCACCACGGACTAAGCAGTAACTAATCAACTAGTGTCGCCGGCATGCCAAGCCTGTGGAGGGGCTCCGGCGTATTATCTAGTCTCCTCCTGTCTCGTATTCATATTCGACCTGCATCCTTATCTCTTGCACTCTGCTAAGGTTGGTGCTATCTCTGCGAACCCTGCATCGGATAATTCTCTGCCAGTATACAGCTCAAATAGCCGGCAGTGAGCGCCTGTAAGCGTCCCACTGATAGAAAGTAGTGCATGTACCTGCAGCCGGCAACCGGCGATGAAACGTTACAGGAACCGACCATCTATGTTACTGCGATAAATGCTTAGAGTTTTTGATTGACGATCATTAAATCACCAAGGCTGAATATCCAATTATGAGACTGATGCTTTTATCCAAGGTCATACATGTTATGATATCATATCATTATCGTCGTCAACCGTCGCCGAACCCCAAACCGTACCGTGCGTCCGTGTTTATACCGCCATTCGGAGGAAAGCTCAAATAGCCCACAGGAAGATAGAATATAAGCAAAATGGAAATAATATTTATACCAAAAAAGAGACAAAAGAAACGAAGGAGTAGTCGCAAGAAGAGAATTTTTGAGAAGAGAGTAAATGGCTAGACAACGATGTATTCGCCGTCGATCCCTTCACTCTCAATAATGCTCTGCCACTTGAACCCGTTCTCGTGGCGAACGGCCGACTCGCCAGCTTGGCCATTGTGGACCTGTGTGCGAAGGTGGGACACCAGGTTGCCGGGTAGTCCATTGAAGTTGTTGTATAGGGTCTGGTCTTGGGCTTGGACGGTCGGGTTTTTGGCCCAGATTTTCTCGAGGAGTTCGAGACAAGAGATATTGTTGTAGAAGCCAGAGTCTTTCTGGATATCTCTGCATCGGTTCCGGATGGCAGCCCGGTGCTCGACGTAAACACATTCAGACCCGGTGATGAATAGCGGCCATAGCAGATAGACATCAGAATGAACGGCCGCGATATAGTGCATCGCGGTGAGGACGAAGGTTTGAATGCGTGGGTGCGTAGACGGGAGGTCGGGATATGCGAGGCGCTCAGTGTATAGTAACGCAGAGTACCGGAACGCTTCTGAGATATTTGATAAGTCGATGAGATTCTTTGGTGCCACTAGATGATTTGAGCCTGGAGACGTCGGAAGCGGTGTAAAGGTCGGCGCAGATGTCGGAGACGACGAAGATGAACAGCCGGAATAGGGAGGGGAGAGGGTATTTGGATCGTAGCCGGGGGCCAAAGAAGGGACATCGAGTCGCCAGGATTCTAGTTGCTGTCGTATCGAGTGCCACTCAGTCCAGAACTCCGCATTACCAGACTGTATTTGCGGGTTCGCGTAGAGATTCGCCGCATAGGCAGCATTCATCCCGTTGGGCGTGTAATGCGAGATCGACTGCGGCAAAACAGGCATGGCAGTAGGTGGGTCCATGTCATATGAACGGTCGACCGGTTGGTTTTGGGCGAGGATGTTCAGGCGGCCGAGTCGGGCAATGATCTTGAACAGCCGCCCATCGCAACCGGCCAGGTTTTCGAGTGCCCACTCTTCATCAGAAAAGCAGGTCATGTCAAGAAGGGGTCCTTGCAGCTGGCCCTCGCGGTTGTTGATGGTTGCTGTCATTGCATCAAACCAGGTAAACATCCTCGTGCACCACTTGGCCTCCTCTGATTCTATAGCATTGGTACGGGATCGCATCGCCAGCAGCTTCCGCACTCCTGCGAATTGAGTCTGGAATTGAGCCACACCAGTCTCGCAGATGTGGAACAGACACAGGATCAGCAATGTTGCCAACACTGAATCATGGTGCCGTTTCGAGGGATCGGCTAGCTGTGCATTCAACGATCTGATTGCTACCGATTTGTGGAGGACTTCTTCGTGATTGTTTCCTCCAATGTCCTTGATTCCATACCGCGCCTGGAATGATGCATCTGTAAGCGCGCGGTGAGCCATTGATGACATGCGAGCCGGCTCCGTTCGTTCGGTCGAGAGAATCTTTTCCTCTCGCCTTTGACGTATATTGCTGGCTGACAGGGCCGCAATGGCGTGCTGCAGGGTATCGCTATGGTGCGCTAACTGCAGAATTCGCGTGCGGTACGGGTTGGTAGGGCTATCGAACGCAACTATCACAGGAGCGATAACTTCTGCAAAGTAGCTAATTAAATACCGAATACGCGGTGTGCGGCCCACCGACTGTTCTAGCAGTAGGTCAGGCAAGGAATTGGCAAAGGGGCCATGTGGAAGTGTCCACTGGCCTTGGTCAGCTTGATATATGATTACTGAAGGCTGGCTCGAAGAGTATACTGGCGTGGAGTAGAATTCGTCAACCTCCGGGTCTTCGTCAGGGGACGTGGGCCGCTTGCCTGTGACGGTAGGCGGCCATTGCAATGGAACAGGCTGGTCATGATCTGCATGAATATTGCAGCTATTCGCCTCGTATTGAATATTGGGGGCGATTCCTGAGGGGTGCATCCATGCCTCTGCTGATGGTTCCGATACTCCGGTCGAAGTCGCGTGGAGGTCGAATGAATAAGATGAGAGATGCTGTACACCATCGGGTATGTGCACAGTAGCTGACGGCGCACTTGTGTCGAAAACATGATCTTGGAGCGGTACGGCACTGTGCGAGGCCAGCTGGGGTTGAGCGCTCGTTGCCGGCCACTGCTGACTCTCGGCAGAGACAACAGCCGGAGGGTTTTCGGCAGGCAATTGTTCGGGGTGAGGATGCACAGGGGCGGATTTGAATGTGCTCTGCCTGCGCTCCTTGGGTGACGTGGATGTTCCCTGTCCGTCGGACACTGGGAGCGAGCGGCCTCGCAGTTTGCCACGGCTGGCCACGCCGACCCCCCAGGTCAAGGTGGTTTTATACCCGGAGCAGCCCTTCCCTCGCTCGAGGCATTGGGTGCAATACGGCCGTCGGCGGTCGCATTTGACGCGGGCATTTGCGCATGCAAAGCAGTCATCGGCCGCACCGCCGGCAGTGGTTCTCTTGCGTCGTTTGCGCGTGGCATTCGCAGCCGTCGCTGGACGTGGGTTGTCGGCGGTGGCAGACCCGGACATGGCGCATCACGGTGTGGCGGCTATGCAGGCGAGATAGGAAGATGGACGACTCGGAGACAGCGGCGGGATTGCTCCATGCATCGACTGCGCTGGGACTGGTTTCGGCTGGGAGAATAATGAATGCGCGCAGGGACAGGAGGTATGATTAGTTTACATATCATCCCATCTCATCCCATCTCATCTCATCTCCTCACAGTGACGGGGCGGGAGGTTTAGAGTTGCGGAGAGAGGAGCGACGATCGAAGCAGATGGACAGACTACTGGCCGTATAAGTGCTTGGCTGTGACTTGCCAGTTGTCGAGCTGGTGGATGCAAGCATTAGCCGCCGCCAGCCGAGGGAGTGTTGGGGTGGGTGGCAGATCGTGCTTGGTTGATGCTGAGCAATCAGCAGGCGTGAGGAGAGAAGTTGGAAGTGCCTGGAAGGCGATGGCGGAGACGCTGCTTTGTGGTAGCCCGGGCCCGCGCTAGCAGGGATGGCGGTAGTGGTTGCATTAGCTTTGACTAGGCATTAGCTTGACGAGTGAGTGACTCGCGCCATGATTCTTGTTCAGCTCCATCAATCATATTAAATCATATTATTATCACTATTATTATTATCTGTTGGCGACGATATCGAATGATCATGGCTTGATTGCGAGCTCCGTATGCTCGAGGCTATTGGCGGCATTTCCTGTCGCCGTCGCCAGTCGTGCTGTACTTGCAGGCACTGTACTGTCCATATGCCGCAACTATCATTCTATGATATATGGCTGCGCAGTGTAGAGCCATGCGGACCGCGACAGATCCCTACAGACAGCTTCCAGCAACTGGAGAGAATAATGGGTCTACCTGGATGCAGAGAACAGGATGGCAGATTGCAGGGTCACGTTACTCTGCGTGACCACGGTACAGAAACAAAGCCCGACGGCCGACGTCCGAGCAGCCTCAACTTCGTTTCTTATTATTGTATCATCCATCATATGAGCGTAGTTATTGTTGTTCTTCTCCCTCGTCCTCCTGTAGCGTGCCAGAACGGTGCTAGAGCCCCCCGTCCTGGCTATTATTGAGTCCTTCCGGCGTCGTCGGAGACTACCGCCACGCCCGCACTGGCCGTATCGCTCCGCGCCTCTCATTCGCACGCCAGCAAGCCCAGTCGCGCGACGACCTTCGAGAAGCGCTCAGGGCTCAATGGAAGCCTGAGAATCGGCTTAGCACCGCCTTGGCACCCTCATCCGATCTGCGCAGCCTCCAGAACGCCCTCGCTTGCTGCTCCTGCTCTCGCACCTTGCGCCAGACGGCATCCAGCACACAATTCTTCACGATGACGAGATCAATGCTGCGATCCGGCACGCTCGCCATCTGTCGCTGCACGACATCACGCACCAACCGTCCCCTGTCCTGTGCCTGGCCTGTCCCACCGCGAACGGTACTAGAAGGAAATACGACGTGACAACGGACACAAGGAGCTAGTCGACCGGGCCCCTCTTCATCTCCCTAAGCGAGTGATTTGCCGAAACCCAAAGTCGTGCCTTGATAATCCGCGCCTTTCCATGGGTCGATGGGACGTGCATGCTGCTAGGCTGCGCTGGCAGAGATAGTCCCTACTGCTGCTCGCTTGCCGCGTCTTCTGATTATTGCGTTTCGGGGGAGCCCTGAAACAGATGTGCGCCGTTGATACACGGCTGCCTGGTTAGTTGATCACTGAATATACCCGACTATCACGACCAAGCTCCACTTCTGCTAGCCAGATCGATTGTGTATCTACGCATTCCACTGTGTACCACACTAAACCGCCTCTTAGACGTCAGTTGACTCAGGTGACTCGCATGCTCGACGACGATTGATACTCTATCTGAAGCAGCCATGCATCATCCAATTTTAAAAAAAAAAAAATAATAAATTAGAAACCATCTGCAATGATTATCTCGTCGACGCACCAAACCAGGGCTCCGCTACAAGCTGCTACTCTAACTCCATATTATAAATTATGTTGGGTTTTACGTACTGTCGAGGTGACACGACACGGCGATCATTGACGGGAGAAGCTGGATGATGAGACGAAGCTGATCTGCGACTATCGCTGTGCCGTGCAACAGGAGAAAAAAGAAGCAGACTATGTTCAATTTGTATCCAGGGTTCCTTAATTTTATTATCTTATCATTTTCTATAGAATAATATGTACCACCATGCAGAGAGCCTCCAATAACGGCGATGGTCTGCGCGGGTGCGACTAGACGCGCACTAGTGAGGTTGCAGGTGATTATCGCGCCCTGGCAATAATTAATTATTATCATCCCAATCTCTCACCGCACCATGGCCGTCCAGCGCATCCGGAGACGACTGCGTTCGTGTTCCTTGCTGCTGGCCGCCTTCTTCTTCGTCTTCTTCTCGATCTACATCTACATCAAGCCGTCGTCCAACCGCTTCTACGACGCCCACTACACCGAGTCCCCTGTCGATCCCTTCCGCGGCCGCCAGATCGCTTTCTGGAACTCCTTCCGCGACGTCCTCGATCAATATGCTCCCAACTGCCCGCCGCCCGAACTCAATGCCCATGCCGAGGCTGTTCGCTTTGATGCCATACAGCCCTCCGCCCGCCCAGACCTGCTGGTCGTCCCCGATGACCACCTCGAGGCGATGAAGTCGGCGCACACCAGCTTCGTCGCAGAGATCCGCCGATCAAACACGTTGACTCCAATCCACACGCCGGGATCGCGCGGTTTGGTTTCCATGGCTGGTGGCGCCTTCTTTCCACTGTTTCTAGCGCAGCTCCGCATGCTTCGTCGCGCCAAGTCGACTCTGCCCGTGGAAGTGTTCTTGCGCGATAAGAGCGAGTATGAGAAACACCTGTGCGAAAAGGTCCTGCCGCAATACAACGCCAAATGCGTCGTACTATCGGAGCTACTGGGCTCCACAAAACACAAGGGGGTGGAAATTGAACACTACCAGTTCAGGACCTTCGCCGTGCTGTTCTCGTCCTTTGAGGAGGTGGTGTGGATGGATGCCGAGTGCTTCCCACTGTATCGAGTTGAGGATCTCCTAGACTCGGACCCTTTCAATTCGACCGGCCTGGTGACTTGGCCTGACTTCTCTGCCTCCACAATATCCCCGCTCTTCTATCACATAGCGCAGCAGGAGGTTCCGTCGATGGGCCTGCGCGCTGCGACAAAGACCGGAGTATTCATGATCTCCAAACAGTCGCACTTCCTAACACTGCTGCTTGCAGCATATTATAATTACCACGGGCCATCCCATTATTTCGCCCTCTTGCTGCAGGGTGCACCAGGGGCTGGAGACAAGGAGGCCTTCATCCAAGCCGCAACGGCTCTAGGAGAGCCAGTCTACCCGGTCAGTGAGCGGGTAGAGACCTTGGCACATATTGTCGACAGCGGGGAGACTCTCGTCTCCGCCCTTGCCCAGTCGGATCCGACTGAAGACTATCGCTTGACAAGCGAGGGAATCTGGCGGGTGCAAGACCCAGCAGCTGGCAAAGCTCCTCGCGTGTTTTTCATTCACTCCAACTACCCCAAGTTTGACGCCAATGACAACGTCTTTGGCCACAAATGGGATTCGTCGGGATTCCATGCCACTCGGCTGTGGACGACAGAGCTAGATACCATTAAAAGATTTGGGTATGATGCCGAGAAGGCGTACTGGGAAGAGCTCCAGTGGGTCGCGTGCAATTACGAACGATCTTTTCAGGCGTGGGCAGACAAGAGTGGCATTTGCAGCAATCTGCAAGACTACTGGAATACCGTCTTTGCTGATGTCCATGATGAAGACCCGCAGTTTGTCAGTGACTAAACTGGTCTATTATCACCATATCACCGATCTATATCCTTTTCTTCGAGGACTGATGATCGTCCTGCAATATTTGCATATACTCGTAGGATTTTAATGTTGTATGACTAATGACTTGAATATGTGTACATTATACATAATTTACTATGCTAGATTAATCGCACAACCATCACTTCATTTACTTATTTCCCTCTTTTCTCCCGGAGCCTCTGCTCATCTTCAGCTTTCAACTCGGCATCGATTTGCGCTCCCTTGGAGGGTTTGTTGCCGTGGTTCTTGGCCTGCATTCATCAGTCCAGTCCACTCATCACACATATAATAAAAAAAATTAGACGCACCGGCAACGTAGGATCCTTCTTACTCAACTCTGCCTCCCGGTCAACCGGCTGATCCTGCTCGCCTTTCCGCGCCCTTTGCTCTTCGCGGGCGAGACGGTTGGCAATTGATCGATCGTCCTCTACATCCTATCAACTTAGTCCTCACTGAACAGAACGTGGGTGGACGAACTGGAGTCGTTGGCCATATGACTGCCCGTCTGTCCCTCCTTGTACCTCTCCCTCTCCCGGATCTCGGCCTGCGAGTCGACGCGTTGATCGCCGTCGACGTACAGCTGTCCCGAGCCGACATTGGAGGATGCAGCGCCGTGGCGATTTGCCATGGAGGCTTTGGAGACGTGGTTTGCCATGGTGGGATGTGGTATGTTCGGATGAAGAGTGAGAAGTTGAGAATGATTTGAATTAATTGCGGCGGGTGTGAGAATGGGAGACTCTTTTAAATCCTGCTCACTATCGGCAGAAGAGTACATGTACATACATATCAATTGATGTAATATGGACAATGACGAACCGGTGACCTCAGCGTGGGTCTGGAGCAACAATCAGCGCAGCCATTTACATGTGTCAGCATATCAGATAGAGATAATGCGTCTGATAGAGAATGGCCGAGCTGACCAATTGTCCTATTTTATTAAAACAAGACATAGTAACATGCAAAGTAAGCGTATATTTATAATATTTTAATCCTTCAATCAGTGGATATTTCAATTGAGGCTCGGTAGGATCAAGTCATGTAATGTTCGCACATGGTACATGTACTGACATCATCCCGATAAGTCCATCTGCCGCCGCCCACCGCATGCGATAACAGAATCATTCCAATCGCAGTTTAGCGCGTCGGCGAGGGGCGGCGAGCGGTCAATTTTTCGATGCTGTATTACGACTCTACACGTCTTCTCAACAAGCCAATCCAATCTTCACATAAAACGAACCATGGGCAAACGCAAGAGCCTCAAGGATGCCGACAATGATGTCTCCATGTCCGGTCAGCACGGCGACGACGACAGCGGTAGCGACTCAGTACTGTTTTCTCCGTTCTGTTCTATTCTGGTTGGTTAATAAACTAAACTGATTGACGCAGGACACAGATCTCGTAAACGTCGAATTCGAATGGTTCGATCCCCAGCCCGATGTTGACTTCCACGGCCTCAAGACCCTGCTGCGCCAGCTCCTCGACACAGATGCGCAATTGTTCGATATGTCTGCGCTCGCTGACCTCATCCTCGCTCAGCCGCTGCTCGGGTCAACGGTGAAGGTGGATGGGAAGGAGACGGACCCGTATGCGTTTTTGTCGGTTATTAATCTGAAAGAACACAAGGTACGTTTGTACTTCAAGCAAGAAAGCCTGTCTAACAGTATGCGTGTGTAGGACAAACAAGTAATCCAAGACTTGATAAAATACCTCTCGCAAAAATCATCCTCCACGCCCGCTCTCTCTGCGCTTTCGCAGCTGCTGTCGAAATCTGATACCCCGGCCATCGGCCTCATTCTCACAGACCGCCTGATCAACATCCCCGTCCAAGTCATCCCGCCCATGTACACGATGCTGCTTGAGGAAATCGCCTGGGCAATAGAAGACAAGGAGCCGTATACCTTCACGCACTATCTGATCCTGTCCAAGACCTACGATGAGGTCGAATCGAAACTCGATGCGGAGGAATCCCGGCCGCAGAAGAAAAAGAAGAAGACGGCTGCTACGGGCGGGAAATTGGATACCATGTTTTACTTTCATCCGGAAGATGAGGTGTTGGAAAAATATAGCTTGTGTCATGCCACATTTGAATATACGAATAAACAAGCCGAAGGCGCGGCAGATTCGAAGAGGGCGTTCCAGGAGTTAGGCATCAAGCCTGCGGGCAGTCTGATGTTGATTGAGGCCGGCAAGTTTGAAGAGGCTGTCAAAGCGATTACGGAATACGTGAATGCGCCAATATAGATACCACGAAGATATTGATTTCTTTCTGTCAAAAGAGATCTGTATAAATGCTTTAATTATATCCCAAACTATATCAAACAAAGCGCTGTGTCATGCGTCATAATAGTAAAAGTACGGAGAACCGCGCGTTGGTGGGCTACTCCCATTGTGTGCCTTTCAAGCGCTGCATCAAGTATTCCACCTCAACAACCTTGGTTAGTGGGATAATAGTGTTCTACAAGCATCAGCCAGTGCTACAAATACGCCCAGGTGGCACCTTACCTTGTATAAACTGACAACAGCATCCGCGTCAACCTTGTTACGATACTCTGCCAAAGCAGGGTCACTCCCGTACGTCTCTGCCTTCATCTTAATCCGTTCCAGAATCTTAAGCTCAACCTTCATATTCGTGATTGCCTCATCAATCCCCTTTTTGTCCTTGGTCTTGATCAACTGGACAAATTTCTCCGGGTTTTCCTGAAACTTCGACTCTGCCACGAACTTGCCAAAATGTATGCGGCGAGACAACGCCTGCAGCACGTTCACGTCGCAGGTTGCAGACGACCCGTAATTTTCCTGTGACGCGCCGCGATCGACTCGGTCATTGGGGCAGGCTGAGGGAAGGATCTCTTCGATGTAGCGCTGTTTGATGGTGTGGTTTAGGTTCACGTTGTTTGCGTATAGGATTTCCGGGTATTCGAGTGGTTCGAGGATCGGTTCTTCCAGCGCGTCTGGGAAGAAGGGGTGTTCGTCGGGAGAGTCGTAGCGGCGCACTCGAGATTGAAGGCGTTCTTGCTCGCGGAGCAGGTAGTCCATCAGACTAAGGTCACTGCCTGGGATTCTGACACCACCGGGCACATAAATGGTCTGGTTTAGCGGGAATTGCACGCGCTCGATGAGATGGAAGGTGATTGTGTCTTCGAGACGACTTGTACATGGTTAGCGCATGTACTTGACATGGTTCCTTTGTTGTTGAGAGTTGGTTGTGAGATTAGTCATGGCTTACATTAGTTGAGCGCGGATATTGGCGAGGTCGAGAGCTTGCGAGCGGTCAGTGAGGTCGATTGCGGCATCCATGGCGAAGAACAGTGATATGAAACCCCCGCAAGAGATTGTCTATATTTTCGGGTTTGTTGTGCGACAGATTGGTGGTGCAGGATTGTCTGCCATTAAGCAAGCTGGTTGAGTCGAAAGTCTCCGATCTCGCAGCTAGCTGTAAGTATCGGATTGGGACTTGGTGGGGTCTCCGACTGCCTGAGTCCCCGACACAGCAACCAGAGCTGCTCATCATGAACACAGTAATATATGAGAGGAGAATTGCTAGATGAGATACGAGGTGTTCCCTAATGACTCTACTTTACGTCAAGGACCGCGGTTAGTCTGATGAGAGATAGGAAGGCGAGTGAGCGTTGTGAAGTTTCAAGTTCTATCTGGGACACGGGAAAGTAGAGTAACACAAATTGACATGGGAGCTCAAGCGCCAGGACATATTTCATACACTGATCAAAAGTCAGCTCTCACTCCTTGTTACTTGATTATTCATTGTTTAAGGCAGGACCTGGACCATCCCGATGATATCAATTGAAGCCAAACAGTATTTGGTTTATGGTATTATTTAGGACTGGACGGCTATCGAGTGGGGACCTGCTCTGTACGGTACGATACACAAGAGCAGCCAAGCAGCCGCGGCAACCCTGTAATATTGGCTGGGCGAGCTGTCTGTAAAATTACGCGACCGTCTCGGTATCTCGTGCCAAACATTGACAACATCTCTCTCCCAGCAGATGCTGTCCCCAGCTGCAAGGCACACACAACCTGCTACCAACTTGCGCCTTCGTGGTTTTCTTACGGCCCCCGAGCTTTTCGCCTCCAGCCACTCCTCCAGATGGAGGAATACGGCTACGATGGCTCGCATCCCGAACGATGGGACGCGGCATCTCAGGACGACTCGCTCCTGGGTACTGGCTTGACGGTACGCACCCCCTTCAATTCAGCGAGACGATCGGTACGCTAACACAGTCAATCAAACCAGACACGCCATATTGAAGCGTTCGGTCGCAAAGTCACGTCTACGGCGAACCACCTCATGGGCCCGACTACGACTGACACCCACTTCCAAACAGCCCTGACTGAAATCCACCGCGAACTGCGGCGGCCCACGGCTCAACGACGACTGTTCGCACTCGCCCAGACATCGCCCACCGATCTGGTGCGTTCCAAGCTATCTACCGCTGAGATTCAGTCGCGAGCACTTTCCTCCCTTCCCGACGACCTCCTTGCAAACATCCCCGAAGACAAGAGCACCTATTCTCTCTTCCAAGGGTTCCAAGCCACTCTCCCCGAGTCCGAACCCGAGGAGAAATCTCACCATCGACGCAGCTCGAAACATCAAAAGACTATTACTGGTTCTGAGCCAACCAAATCTCTCCCGCCGACGAAGAATGGGCTGCAGACGGAGCGGAACCGGCTGAATCGGCGTTTGGAGATGATGGGCGTTCGCAAGAATATGTGCAGTGCAGAGATCCATGAGATTGATAGTAAGATTGCGAATCTGAATAATATGCGGAAGATTGTCTTGGATCGGCTGGCCGGCTTAGAGCTGGACGAGGGGGAATTGGAGAACAAGAGTATGTGGGTTGATTCGGTGGATGCGCATTTGGCTAATCTTTTAATAGTCGTCGAGCTGGATAATAAAATAGAGGATATGGAGGATGAGCAGGAGGAAATGGTTACGGCGCAAGCGACACCAAAGTCCGAGGCGAACGAGCCTGCTGAGGACCCTGCCCTCGACGCTTCGTTCATGTCGGAGTCTATCTACCAGAAGCTACCATCACCACCGCGGGGCCGGAGAGTCAGATCTATAAGTGGGTTCGTCAAACACAGGGAAGTGGTCGAATGCTAATTGGGTCTTGTAGAGAAAAAGTCAATGCCAATTCTCCACGAACACTTTGAACCCGGCACTAGCATCAAGGAAATCCCAGCTCATAATGACATAATAACGGCACTTGACTTTGACTATCCATTTGGAACAATGGTCAGTGCAGCTTTAGACGACACTGTTCGCGTGTGGGATCTTCATGAAGGAAGGTGTATTGGGTTTTTAGAGGGTCATCACGCGTCAGTCAGATGTCTACAGGTAGAGGACAATTTTGTTGCAACAGGCTCCATGGATGCCTCCATTCGTATCTGGGATCTCAGCCGTGCTCAACATGTACAACACACAAACAGTATTGACAAACCAACCAGCAGCGAGGAAACAGAAGCAGGAGACGAAATTATTCACCAAGAAACAGTGTCATCGCAATCTTCCAACATGGAAGACTGCGAACTATTTTCACTGGAGGCTCATGTTGATGAGGTCACTGCTCTACATTTCCGCGGCAACACTCTCATCTCTGGCTCCTCGGATAAAACACTGCGACAATGGGATTTGGTCAAGGGACGGTGTGTACAGACGTTGGATGTTCTCTGGGCTGCTGCGCAGGCGTCAACGTCAATATCGACTAGCTCGAATTCTCAGTGGCGACCAACAGGACGCCTACCAGATGCATCGGCCGATTTTGTGGGTGCTCTCCAGTGTTTCGATGCCGCTCTGGCATGCGGCACGGCGGATGGTATTATTCGATTATGGGACCTTCGTAGCGGTCAAGTACATCGAAGTCTTGTCGGCCACACCGGCCCGATTACGTGCCTACAATTTGACGACGTTCACATGGTGACTGGCAGCTTGGACCGAAGCATACGGGTTAGCAGGCAACTTGTTCCTTTACTACAAACCAGACTGACTCTGAGCAGATATGGGATCTCCGTACCGGATCAATCCATGACGCGTTTGCGTACGACCACCCCATCACAAGCATGATGTTTGACTCTCGACGCATCGTCTGCGCGGCGGGCGAGAGCGTTGCCAAGGTGTACGATAAGACCGATGGCCACCACTGGGACTGCGGTGCAGGGGCTGTAGAAGGCAGCACATCGTCGATTGTCGAGCGTGTCCGCGTCAAGGACGGATACCTCACAGAAGGCCGCAAAGACGGCATCATTGGAGTTTGGGCCTGCTAGACCCGGCCATGATAGATTTGACTGTGTATTATATTACTTCTTGGTGCATTGTTTATACAGGGGTATGTAGTATATGAGGGTAATCCGATAAATATTTCAAAAACTAGAATTATTAACATGCGTAGAGGAAGCGAGTAGCAGTAGCAACACTGTTGATTCCTCGATAAGAGACGCGCACGGGCCACGTGGCGTACAACAACTTAACGCGTGGGCCGAGATTGTTTGCGCCGCGTCTGATAGCCTCGAACAGCACAGAACAGTTTCTTCACACTCAAACTGCTACAGATAAAGAAAAAGAGAGTGGCGTTTGCGTGGTTATACTACTTCTAGACCGACAGCTTGGTTTTGATTCAACCTCGCGACTACTCAGCTCATGATTGTTGTATCTCGCGGGCCATTTCAGATTCGTTTGCAGCACCAGATCTGACAGCGTGCAGCGAGCAGCATAGTTAGGCCACGATCTGGCTTGGCCTCGATCGTGTGAGTATAACGGACACTGTCTTTGAATGTTAATTAATGGGAAGACGTCATTTCTCGCCTTGCCCCCAACGCAGACAAGCTAACCAAACGGCTGTAGGATTTGAGCATGTCATTGGCTGGTCAACTGTAAACAATTCGTGTCAAATCCAGACATTTTCTACGAAGGTATCTCTCTCTTTCCTCTCACTTGCTGCATCGATTGTCTAACAGTAAATAGTCACCAAACGATGCCTCCCAGGCGGAGCGCTCATCAGGTAGATCCCACCTACAGTCCCTCAGGTGAGTAGCTTCTATTCTTGCTGACTTTAATATCCTACATGTAATCTGACCTCTGGCAGGACGACGGTATTCTCTCGGCCCCGAATCCCCGCCGAGACGCTCACAACGTCTCGGCTCTGAGGGAGTCTCTTCAGTAAACTCATTTTCACTACGGGCGACAACTCCTGATGCCCGGCAACTCCACGCAACCTTGCGCGCAGCATCTGAGAGCCCGACTAAAAGAAGAAGCCAGAGCAGGGTAGAAGACAGCGTACATTCTTCCGTAACACCATCCCCGCCAATTCAACATACCATCTCGACTACTTCAACGCCTAATGCTCCGAGTCTCAACCCCGCTATTGCTACCAATGGAGTCAGTCCGCTGGAGCCACAGACGGACCGTGGATTCTCGTTCTTTCGATACCCACACCTTCCCTCGCTTGGGTTTCGGAGAAATCGCGGCTCTTCGGTGCTGCTGAGCTCCCCGCAACGTGACGAGGAATTTGAGAATGAGTCTGTCGTCTCATGGAGACTAGAACGCGAGCTGCACAAGGATGACCTGCAAAGAAGACAGGCATTTGATGACGAAGCAGAAACGAGTCAGGGACAGAACATCAGAAGACCCCCTCGACGTCTATCAGGACTGACGTGGGCAAACGACACGGCGGATGAGCCAGATCCGACGGCTACGACAGATAGTCCTGAGTCGTCTCCAGTAAGGACAGCAGCAGCAAAAACAATCATATCAAGCAATGTGATGAAACGGGAAGATGTAGAGAGTTCTATTGAGAGTACACGACCGTCGACTGCAGAGTTTACGGCTCCCCCAGTGGACAAACCTCGCCTATTGCCTACGCCTTTAGAACGACAGACCTTCCAACGAGAAACTCGTCGGCGAATCCCTTGGGGTTTCACCGTCATAAATGTTTCCATGGCAATAATCACCGCAGCCATCTTTTTCACTACTTGGCTTACACCAATCAAACCATTTGCACATCGACAAGTCAGCTACTTACCCCTCAACGAAACCGAAGGACGATTCGTCACCCAGCTGACCAGCGAAGTTGACAAACTGGGATTGCAACTTTCATCCATGTCCCGAGATGTACACCGCCTGAACTCCGAGCAAAAACGCGTAGTCGAACAAATCACAGCCGTGCAACCACTATCAGAAACATTACCCCAAATCAATTTCCTTTCATTAGGACTAGGGGCTCGTGTAGACCCAATGCTTACCAGTCCAAGTATCGGCACGCGCAGGACATTCATCCGACGATTCTTCCAGAATCCATTCTTGACATCAAGACAACCACCTCTTCCCAACCCCCCTGAAACCGCATTACAGCCCTGGGACGATATCGGCGAATGCTGGTGCAGCGCGCCGGGGAATACCGGCCAGGCCCAGCTTGCAGTGCAACTGGGACAGCGCACAGTTCCCAACGAAGTCGTTGTCGAGCAGATCCCGTTTGGCGCGTCACCGCATCCCGAACTCGCGCCTCGAGAAATGGAACTATGGGCACGATTCAAGCCTTATTATGGAAGCCACGACGCAGCCACGGCTGCAGCGACCGAAACGCCGGTGACGAGTAGATCTAGGAGACAGGGATGGTTCGGTGGCTGGCAATCAACAACCTCCTCTTCGAAGCAGAATACAAACACATCTCCTCCGTCACTGTCTTCGTTACTGAATACAATAATGGCAACGCTTCATCAAGCTTATCCATCGGAGTCAGAGTCAGCGTACTCAAACGATCGTCTCCTTGGACCATCGTTTTTCAAACTTGGAGAATGGGAATATGATTTGCATGGCGAGTCTGTGCAGCGCTTTCCACTCGATGCGATTGTTGACCTGCCCACATTACGGGTGGACAAAGTCGTTATTCGAGTGAAGTCTAACTGGGGAGGGAATCACACCTGCTTATATCGTGTGAAATTGCATGGGCATGTGTAGAATAGTCTGATAATACTACATTAACTAACCTGTCCATGGTACGATAATGCACATCCGTAGTTAGAGTAGTGGGAACCGCCTAATGGAGAATGGTTCCCGTCAGGCTGCAATATCCGCCATGACACTAGAGTCTATTATTCTTAGAAGTATTTGTTATGTTCTATGATTTGCTGTTCGCGAGGCTTTTCGGATGAGGCCCGCTGACGTCATGACCTTGTTAATTCTTAACATTTTTCCTTTATATTTTAAAAATATTTTGTATCTTCAGACGACAGCATCGAGTGATCTCATGTGATAAAGAATCATTTAATCAACATCAACATTACCAAACTATCAATTCATCAATTGGTCAATTGATTATGACCCGCCATGCCCTCCGCAAACCACAGGCCAAACACACCATCTCGCTCCCCCCAAACGGCATCATCACATTAAAACCCGGATCCCCATCCCTGGTCCGTAGCAGGCCACTCGGGACGAGCGATGTAGTTCTCACATTCACGATCCCACCACCCTCATCGCATACGACGTATATCATGCATATCTCCGAGCTGCAGAACCTCGACTCTTGCTTCGTCCATTTCACACTCTTGACTCAGCAGCAACTGCACTACAATACAACGGCAAGAGACGAATGCCATGTCACGGTCTTCACGGCCCATCGGCAAGACGTAATCCGTGAGCGAGTCGCCGCTCAGATCCGGAAACGGATGAACACCCGGTCTCATTCCCAAATACATATAGTGTGGAGGGAGTTCGATGCTGGAAACAAGACTACTACCAGGGAGGATGGCTCTGATTCGGATGTAGAGGGATTGGTGCAGGGGAGGGTGGAGGTGCAGTATTGTGGCTATGATTACAGCCCCAAAACAAATGTTGATGCGAGGGTGGTTTATGATACGTGTTATTAGACGGTTGATCTCCATGAACGGATGAAATGTTGCATTGTAGATGGTTTGCCCTGATCTCATGGGAAAGCATCGGAGGAGTTCAAATATTGATGGCTATATATCTCCATATATAGGTGGTTGTTTATAGATTGTCACATGCACTTACATAGGAATCTGGTAGAATAGAAAGAATGTTCACAACTCACAGCAACTCCTGAGTCGACATTGAGTGAAGACCTGGCGCAGATCTGCATCCCAGCCACGCACTTATGCAGTGCTGCAGCTGCAAACCAACACGAAAATTCTCGTCCATGTGTGCAGAACATCCCTTGAACCATGTGATACGTGGCTTGCCGAGGAAGCGCCTTGCGTGAGGCAAACCGGGGTGCAGATGCGATTGGATTGATGAATTACATGTATTGGTGGATGGATGGATTAATGCCGATGCTGACGGAGGTCGTGGGAATATTGATCAATCGATTCTTCACTATCCATGTTTTACATTATTATTACGGTGGTTGTGTTACTATCCGGGGCTTTCCTACGTATGGCGTCGGTAGAGTTCAGCGTGCAAGAACCAGGCACCACATTTGTCTTTGCGCTAAACGAACAGCCAATGACAAGATTTATCGTCATGAACGTAAAAAATAAAACCTAAATAATCATGGGAAAACAAAACATAAAATAAAACAAAAATAAAAATGCAAAGGCTGGGATCGTCAAAGCTGCGGCTTAACTGGCGGAATTAATCTTTTAATGCTGTTTCAACCTGCCCTGTCGCGCATGCTGATTGGCTGGACGGCTGGTCAGGGGCTTGGTGGGGCGCCTAACAACGTGCGCCAAACTTACCGTACGCTGATGACGGTACTTTACGGCTACCTAGCCACTAGGTAGCCGTATTTTTGGTAATACTGTGACGACCAGCGCTGTCTAGAGTGCGGGCAGCGAAATTGAGCAAAATTGAGCAACGTCAACATGTTACTAATAATGATAGTATTATCGGTTAATGTTGTGTGAGCTGGTCCTAGTTCGGATCTCCACAGTTCGTTACCTCTTTACCTTCACTTGTACTCCGTACTCCGTATCTTATATAAAGTGTATGAGGAATGGCAACCACAGAATAATTGAATATTGAGTTGGGAGACCCCTGACCACCGCCTTTGTATGCTGGCCGCAGTACTGCCACGCGAACCACCTTGCTACCTACTAACTAGCTGCTAGTAATGGTCAAGACTAATCCCTCAAGGCCGCCTTAGTATGTCTTAGCAGGAACTTGGGCTGAGTGTGCTAACTTCCAACGACCAAGTCCAACAGACGCTGTCACGGTGGGCCTCAGGCTGCCCGTTCCGACCTGCCGCGCGGTTCGTTGGCTGTCACGATCGTTGAGAGTTAACCCTGGTGCGGTCGTTTGAAAAGTGAAAGTGTATAAGCTGTGTCAGGGGCGTGTATGACACGGGGATAACAGCCCTCGCCATGGCATCAGGAGAGCGGTGCGGAGTCTTGCAGCCAGTACAAGAAAGTGTATAGTGGATAGTGGATGGTGGATAGTGTATAGTCGAGGCTAAATAATCGCAGACTTAAGTAAAGACTAAAAAGGCGCTACGGTCCACGCTTGCCCGCCTAAGGACTCGCAGTCTCCCCTGGACAAACTCGAATAATTTCCCGGCCAGCCTGGACACCCATGATAATAATTATCTTATCACCTCCCCATGTCTTGCTCTCACCACTCCCTCCTCCTCACTCCTCCTGCTCCAGCATTGACTCGGTGTTCTGCTGCGTGTCTGACTGTCTGCATCCTCTTCACCGCTGCTGTGTGACGTCTCGGCACCGCCGTCTGCGCTTAGAGCTTTGACACGGTCGCGGATCCTCCCGCCAAATAGGGGGCGCTTTTTGAACGACACGCCTGTCTACCCTATCAGTGGCTGGCACTGGCTGCGCGCAGGACGCCTTTCTGCCTGCTATTGTTCCCATCGTTCGTTTTGGCTCGTACAGGAACCGATTCGCCGCGCTAATTGTGACATTCCCACCGTTAACGAAGAGCCCTGAGACTGAAGATCGAAAAACGACACATCGAAGAAAACAAAGGGAAAAAAGGGTTGGCTCAGGCCGACGGGAGGAGCTTACAGGAGAAGAAGAAGAAGAAGAACTTAATCATAATCGCACACGATGACCGTCTCTCCCCCGGGATCGCCCACAGGCTTGCCAACGCGCCCCATGAGCGCCATGATCCGCCCTCCCAGAAGCACAAGCCGGATGAGCACAGGCAGTCGACCTGGTGGCAGTCGCGCATCCGACGAGGACAGCAAGACCGCCGTCAAAGTTGGTGCGTATTCGTGGGGGGTGTTTTTTGATGTTTACTGACCACCTCGCGATGCAGCCGTCCGTGTGCGCCCACCCCTGCGACCCACCGATCCGGGCTACGAGTTGATTCCGCAGCGCTTCCAGCGTTCCATGGTCCATGTCACCTCGCCCACCAGCTTGGCCGTCGATGTTCCCCAGGGCCGCAAGCTGTTTGTGTTTGACAGGGTCTTTCCGGAAGCGATAGACCAGGGCGGTATCTGGGAGTATCTGAGTGATAGCGTCAACTCGTTCTTGCAGGGCTACAATGTCTCCATTCTGGCGTATGGCCAATCCGGTGCCGGTAAATCGTACACCATGGGCACATCCGGCCCCGGGGAGCAGAATGATGCTCGAGCTATGGGTTCGCTTTCACCCAACGTGACGTGTCAAGCAGTGCTGATGTGATATTAGGAATCATCCCGCGTGCTGCCCAGCTGCTGTTCGAAAAGCTCGATGGCACAAAACACAACAGAACCCAATCCTCCGGGCTGCGCACCCCCTCGCGATATTCCATGGGCTCTCCGCAGGCCTTCAATAGAGCCGCTTTGGATAAGAATTGGCAGATGAAGGCTACTTATGTTGAGGTGCGTTGATTCGATATCGATTGGAATATATTGAGCTAACCGCTACGCTTATCTAGATATACAACGAACACCTTCGAGATCTTCTCCTACCAGACTCAACACCAGCCAGCGATCGCAGCACTGTCACAATTAGAGAGGACACAAAAGGCAGAATCATCCTGACCGGGCTCCGCCAGGTGGATATCAACTCGTTCGACGATCTGATCGGCGCTTTGAACTTCGGCTCGACCATTCGTCAAACTGATGCGACTGCAATCAACGCCAAATCATCCCGCTCTCATGCTGTTTTCAGTCTCAACTTAATTCAGCGAAAATCCCCTGCGTCCATGATGACTGCCAGGGAGAAGCGAATGTCGGTACCAGTCGAGTCGCTCACGTCGTCAGATGCCGTCGTGACTGTGGACAGTAAACTGCACTTTGTTGATTTGGCTGGAAGTGAACGATTGAAAAACACCGGTGCTTCGGGTGAACGAGCTAAGGAAGGAATTTCCATCAATGCGGGCTTGGCTAGCCTGGGCAAAGTCATCTCGCAACTTTCTTCACGACAATCTGGTGCCCATGTCTCGTATCGCGATTCTAAATTGACCCGCCTCCTCCAGGATTCGTTGGGAGGTACAGCAATTACCTACATGGTTGCTTGCGTTACCCCAGCCGAGTTCCATTTGAGCGAGACCTTAAACACAGTACAATATGCACAGAGAGCCAGGGCCATCCAGAGCAAACCTCGCATTCAGCAAATCACCGATGAGAGCGATAAGCAGGCCGTGATTGAACGGCTCAAAGCAGAAATCGCGTTTCTGCGCCAGCAACTTCGCAACGCCGAAGCTGAAGAGAGAAAGACTGTCGTGCAGCCCGAGCGGGGAGAACGCGGAGAGCGCGCCAGCGACCGTGAGGTGGAGCTACAAAATCATCTGCTTGATGTGCAAGAAAGCTATACATCTCTCAGCCAGCGCCATGCAAAATTGATTTCCGAAATTAGCAAGGCCTCTGACCTCAACACAGAAGACGCTGACGAGCTGGCGGCGGCGATCGAAAATAACTCCATTGAAAGGCTGAAGCGTTCTCATTCGTTTGCTGAATCAGTCGAGCAGGTTGTGCTAGAGTATGAGAAGACTATTCAGAGCCTGGAATCTTCTCTTTCCAACACCAGGGCTTCCTTGTCCAACACTGAAAGCTCTCTTCTCGAGCGAGAAAGCAAGTGCGCCTACATGGAGACGTTGAACACACAGTTACAGTCTCGGGTGCAGAAACTGATGGATCGTGAAAACAACACTGAAAGCTATCTCCACGACCTCGAATCCAAGCTTGATGGCCAATCTAGTGGCGAGGAGAAGAATTCGGCGGTTTTGAACGAGCTTCGTAAAGAGATTGCTCGCGCGCGAGAAAACGAGGCAAACTGCGAGGACTACATTTCCACCTTGGAGGAACGCCTTGCCGAGTCTGATCAGGATATGGAGCTGATGCAACGTGAGATTAACCGACTTGAACATGTTGTGGACCGCCAAAGGAGTCTAGGAAAACTGGACAACCTTCTTTACGAATTGGATCATATCCAACAGAATGGCGGCAAATCTCAAAAGCCCGAGGCAGACCTCGCTAAGGCTCTTCCACTAGCAAAGGAGAGCTGGTCTGCACGAAATCGCGGCAACACTCTTGACATCTTGACTGAAGCCGCGGAAACAGCGATTCCCGAGGATGATGACGAGGATCTGGTTGACCAGGTCCCTGAGGTTGAAGAGACCCCGGACCAAGATGCTGGCGATTCTGGTCTGGCTGCTTTGGACAAAGTATCCAAAGAAAATGAGAAGAGTGACGATTTCGACCACAGCCCGGCCCAATCAAAGTTCGTCGCGGAGAAACTAGACAGTGTCACCCAGGAACTTTTGGACCTCCGTGTACAGCATGAAACAACTCAAACAGAATATGATCTCCTCGCTGCCAAGTACGAGGAAGCTCTGCGCACTATGGCCGAGCTGCAAGACCATATTGATATCACTCCTCACCAAGCCGATGCTTCTTTGCCCAGCGATACCCCGGCAGATGGTTCCCGACCGGCATCTTTTTTAGAGAACGACAAGGTCGAGGAGACGAAAGATGGCGCACAACGCTCATCTTCGCGATCGCTCTCCTCGGAGTTATCCTCGGTCGAGCAATCGGGTCTATCGCAGGACACTTCTGATACTACCGTCGTTTCGACACACGAAGGATCCATGTCTAACAGAAGCTCTCGCCAATCAGAAGAAGAGCTTAAGACCTTGCGTCAGCTTCTTCGGGAGCACGAGGAAGGCATGAACTTGATTGCCCAGAAGTATGCCCAACTTGAGGCTGAACACGAGGATACCGTCATGCTTGTTGAGCAATTGAAGGCAGACATACAGAAATCCAAATCGTCCTCGTCACCAACTTCGCCCGTGACACCCGGTGCTCCAGTTATTCGCAGAATGACTAGTCAAAATCTCATGTCAACTGTGGATCGGGCACATCGATCTCTCGCCTCGCTCCGTAACATCGCAGTCGAAGAGTTTGAACAACGACCTGAAAAAATGCAGAACTTCGACCAGAACCTAAATGCCGCAATGCACGAGCTTCACCACCGCATGGAGCGTATTCAGGCCCTGGAGGCAGAGAATGCCAGTGTAAAGAAGGAGATGGAAATGAAGTCCACCATCATTTCCGGCTTGACGCGAGAACGCTCAAGTTTACAAGGTGCCAAGCCAATGGATATGGCAATGGTTTCTCAAATGCGTGACCAAATCTTCCAGCAAGAGAACCAGATGAAGGAGATGCACGAAGCGCACGAGACCCGAGAACATGAACTGCGTGATGAGATCGACAGTCTGCAGAAGGCCTTGAATGACCGCCCTGTTTCCACACCCGCCGATAGCCAGGAGCTAGAGAACAAGGCTCGTCTTGGTCAACTCGAGGCGGAACTCTCTGAATGGAAGGGTAAACACCAGACTGCAGTTGAATCTCTTCAGACTTCCGAAAAACAACATCAGTCAATCTCTGCCGAGCTCCTCGCTGCGCAATCTTCTATTGATACCATTCAAGCCGAACATGCCAAATATCTCGAGGCTCTAAACAACGACAATGTGGCTTCCTTGAAGCAAGCCCAAGAGGCGAGGGAAAAACAAAATGCTCATGTTGAAGCGTTGCAAACTGAGATTGAGGGGCACAAGTCTACCATCTCAGCCCATTTGGCGACCATTGCGAGTCTGGACGCATCTCATGCTGCCGCTCAAGAGCAGTTAGCTCAACACATTTCTGCCAAAGAGGCGAATGATGCTAATTCCGCAGTCTATCAGTCACGTATTGCCGAGCTTGAGGAACAGATTGGTTCTCACAAGGCTCTCATTGACTCGCATAAGGAAGAGTTGGCCACTTTGCAGGAAAGCCATGGTCGTGAACTGGCCGATCTTCAGATTAAAGCAGATGCAGCTGAAGCTGCAAGGGCTCAGCATGATTCTCTGATTGCAGAACTGAATGCCAAGCACGAAGCAGCCATTGAAGCTTTGAAGGTGGAAATGTCGGGTTCGAAGGACGACGTGGCAAGCTTGATTAAGTCCATTTCTGCGGTACTCAAAACTGAAGTCAGTCCTGTCACGGTCTCTGATCAGTTGGAAGATCTTGTCTCGGAGAAGCAGACCCTGGAGAGCAAATATGCCACTCTCATCGACGCGAATGAAGATCTGACTAAACAGCTTGCAGCCCAGGGAGGAAACTCCGAGCAAGTTAAAGAACTCACTGAGCAGCATGAATCTAGAGTCACTGAACTTGCAACATTGGTGGCTACCCTTGAAGACAAGGTGCGAGAGAAAGAGCAGCTCGTCAAGAAGAAGGAGGCTACGATCGCGGACATCGAGGCCGAGAAACAAAAGAGCGTTCGATTGGTAGAAGAGCTCGAGGAACAGATTACGAGCACGTTCGATCAACATCACAACCGGCTCTCTATCATGCAGAGCGAGCGCCACCAAGCTCTCGAAGAAGCTAATGCAAGGGTTTTCACGCTCGAACGTGATGTTGAAACATATCGTGTCCGTATTGAGCAGCTTGAGGTAAGAATCCGTTCATTCCGTCCACTTAATGTTTTATGCTAATCAATCAATAGCTTCAGCTCAAGAATACCGGACATGATACCGCCGAACGTACTAGTTCTATCACCTCGAATCTTCGCAAGAGCACTTCAAATACATCTCTTCCATCCCCCCCGCCGGCAATCCCCTTGCCACCTTTGCCCTCTATTGCTGCTGCTGCATCTGGAAACCCTGGAAGCATCTCTCCTCCCGGCTCGCGTCATACTAGCAGAGAACTGGTTAGCCCTCAATTAATCGAAGACCAAGAAGCTCGCATCAAGACTATTGAGAAACACCTTTATGCCGAAAAGCAGCTTACTGCTACATTGGAGGAAGCGCTAGGTGACCTAGAAGCCCAAAGCAACAAAATCAAAGCCGATATGGAAGGCTGGAAGAAGAAGGCCTGGCAATACGAAGATGAGCTTCAGACGCTACGCAAGGAGCGAAATTCCACCCGTCTTTCTCTCCAGGCTGTTGAAGAAGAACGCAGCGCTCGACGCGAAGCTGAGGCTGCGCGGGCACAGCTGGAGGAGCGAATGAACGCAATCAACAGGAAAAAGAAGAAGAGCACGCTCAACTGCTTCTAAGACTGCCACCTCCCACCCGATCTTTTTGTACCACTTACCACCCTCAAGTGATCCAACACATGTACATGAAAAGGAGCATTGCACCTACTCCGATATTATTTCGATTCCAGCTTAAAAGGGCAGAGAGACAAGTTTCCGTCATACTGACAGATCCTTTTTCTGCTTCTCATGTTTGCTTCATTTCTTGTCATCTGCCTTTCATTACGACGTTTGCACGATAAGCAGGTTACTTGGAGCCTGATGTACATTGCCTTTTTATCCTTGCCACTGAATTTGTATGTATCGCCTGATATATGTTTTTGTGTTTCATACATACCCCTTCCTCAAATCTCTTTTTTCATGTACCAGACTTATTGCTACGACACAGATTTTTCTTATTCTGTTTCCCTTTTTGTCCTGATATTTTTCATTTCTACTTTGTGATTAACTTTCGATTCTTCGCCATTCTGCACAAATGACGATCATGGACGATATGGCGTGGCCTGTTGAACTATGTTTTTGTTACCGTTGTTTTACTTAGCCTACCATCAGAGCTGATTCTTTACACTCAACTATTCAACTATTCAATTATGTAGTCGGACTGTATCGTATGCCATGCTATTCGTAGCAAATGTAAGACCAATTTCTCCTCTCCTTGCCTCGAGGCCGCAGCGTGGCCTCACCTTAGTAATCACTGACGCGGGAATAGCTTCTTGTCAATGCGGCTTTACATGGTTTGCAACTCTTGGATTCTTTCTCAGCACCACTCCAGTAGCTTAATCTGTAATTGTTTTAGACTAGTCTTTTTGAGTAATTTACGACCTTATGGGACGTAATAGAATCACTATTTTGGTAAATTAGGCATGGTTTTGTTCATATGGAAATTTAGTTGTTATCACATGCTATGTATAAACAAAGAAGCTGTTGTTCGTGATCATAACTATGCAATATAAGCTGAAAGAGCCAGCCTTAATTAGACGAACTCCATTATACTTCATCTCTGCACCTAGGTGATTACACTATTTTACATTCCTATTCTATGCCAGAATCCATGCGCGTGTTGAAAGTTTAAGATAAAATTACTCCTACGACTTAACTCCCATTTTTGTCCAGCTGAATGGTGTAAGAGTATGGCGGTGCCAAATTAATCCACATCTTGTAAGTCTTGGCAGTCCGGCAAGGGCGAGGGTGTTCTGGCAGCTATGATGAGAGGATGATTTCCAAGGAATAATGTAGCAGCTGATCGTCTTCGAGCATAAGGTAGATTGACATGCTCTTCATGGGCCGACTGGGAAGTCACCATAGCTGCTGGAGGCCCAGCTAAACCTTCCTGCAGAGGCTGCGAACATTTTTCCCAGTGAGCGGTGTTTGGTCTAGTAATGTATTATACTCATCCATCCAGTCACTGAGAGCTCGAGAGGATGACATGGAATCCGGGTGACCAGGCCCTAATACTGTGTTGCGCAAGTTAGAGCATTTTTTCATTAGAGTCAAGGCATGCTGTAGTATTCCTTGAGATTTCAAAGTATATGCAAGGTTCGCCATGATGGCTAGAGTGTCAGGATGCTCGTCTCCTAACACCATCTTCATTTTCTCCATTACTTGGACACCTAGCTTCTCAGCTTCAGTCCATCGACCCTGATTCCAAAAGGTTGATACCAGGTTGGCCATACTGCTTAGAGTGTTAGGATGCTCAGCTCCCAGAACTGTCTTCCTTTTCTCTATTATTTGCACCTCTAGTTTCTCAGCTTCATTCTATCGACCCTGATTACAAAAGGTTGATGCCAGGTTCGCCATGCTAGTTAGAGTGTCAGGATGCTCGTCTCCTAACACCATCTTCATTTTCTAATTGGTAGGCAGGCAATGACAATATAGTGGCCGTTTGATTCGCCAAGCTCGTAGGCATTCGGGTCGGTGGAGGGTTTCGGCAGCGGACTGAGGGTTTCATGAAGCATAACGCGGGCAGCTGCTACCTCCAGTGGCAAGGCGCATATCCACGCGATTGTGTAGTCGTTGTGCGTCAAAGAGGTCATCGTGGGCCACAACAGGGAGCTAAAATAGGTCAAGGATAGATGTCCTGATAATGACAAGCTTAACGTGATACTGTTTATGATGGGCAAGAGAATGCAAAGCACTGTTTATCTGGCCGTGAAGGAGGGTAACGGCTACGTGTTGCTGAAAGGCTGCTGAATGAACGCACGGTCCTCTAGCCATGGACATCTACATGATAATCATTTTGACACACATCTTCATTCAGAATTCATAAAGGTAACAAGCGAATCATTATAATTTGTGGCGTGGCGCGAAATAATTTACGATGTGGAAATAACAATTACAATGTAAAACCTCTTTTGTCCCTACTCGATATAGTTCGCCGTACCTGAGAGAGGCTCGGCGATCGGCTTGCTTCGGCTTTCGGCAACCTAATGCAGTAAGTACAACGAACTAGTTAACGACATGAACAACAGGAAGTGCTTACAAATTAAACATGAATTCCAATTCTATTTTTTAAGTACTTAATCTTACTTTTACCCCTCTTCGATCTCACAGTCGAACTTAAATTAATTACTTACTTGAACGTAATCTCAACCAAAGTATGTACTATGGCCATCAGTGAAACCAATTACGGACTGATTCGCAAAGCTGCCGGTGTAGCGGCGTTCGAAGGCATCCCCGTCCCAACTTTACCTGATGACTATCTACTCATTCGCGTTGTTATAGTTGCTGTAAATCCTACTGATTGGACAACACTTGATGCACCAGGTGACGATGGCACGCTGGTAGGATGTGATTGGGCAGGAACAGTAGAAGAAATTGGGCCAAAAGTTGAGAAAGCATTCAAAATAGGTGATAGAGTTGCGGGATTTGCTCATGGAGGTAAGTCGAGTTTCTACTAAAGACAAGACGCTTCGTTTTTGAGGATGTATGAGCGTCTTCTACATCATTGGTTATTGCGAAGAATACTGATATCTATTTAATGGAATAGGTAATGATGCTAGACCACAGACAGGAGCTTTCGCAAAATTCATCATAAACAAAGGCGATACAGTGATATGTGTTCCTGATAACGTACCATGGGAGGCAGCCGCATCTGTACCGTGTGCTATCGGCACAATGGGACTTGGACTGTTCAAATTCCTATCAATACCATTCCCAGGACTCGAATCCATCCAAAGTTCCGAAGCAAGCCAAGACGATAACAAGACTATTTTGATATACGGAGGCTCAACTGCTACTGGAACCATTGCAATTCAGTTTGCGAAACTGTAAGTTTTATATAATATTGGCGCGCACGAATCTTAAAGGCTTATTTAGTCAGAGCTGGGTACACAGTTATTACAACTGCATCGCCAAAACATTTTGACCTTGTCAAAGGTCGTGGCGCCGATTTGGTATTTGACTATGTATGATACTCTTTTCTTTATACCCTCCAATTCTGTCGTAGTATAAGATTGCTAATTCCAGTCTAGAACTCTCCTAATGTGGGAGAAGACATCCGCAAAGCGACCGACGACAAGCTCATAAAAGTTCTGGATACGGTCAGTAAAGAGTCTTCTGCCAAGATTAGTGCCGAAGCACTTAGTAGCAAAGGAGGAACCTACGTGAACTTGCTAGGAGAGTACGACGCGCCTCGTTCTGATGTTGAATCTATCTTCTTTCTCGTCTATGGTATCACTGGCGAGAAATATATTTTTGAGGGCAAGCATTGGGAAGCCCAGCCTACATACTTTGAGTTTGCGAAGAAGTTCTTCCCTGTTGTGGAGAAGCTTTGGGGTGAGGGCAAATGGACGGAACATCCACGTGAAGTCAGACCTGGTGGTCTATTTGGTGTGCTTGATGGCATGAAGGACATGAAGGAGGGCAAGATAAGTGGATATAAGCTTTTGTATCGTGTGGAGGAAACCCAGTGGCCACAGTAGAGCAATGGTTTTTTCTTTTCCATAGATTAGTTCACGTTACCCTTTATTGCAGCATGTTCACGACTACGAGCTTGTTCTACCGGAGTTGGTGGATCGGGGAGCGATTCATCTCCTTCGAGAAATTGGCGGATGATGTCTAACCTCGAGTTCGGAAGGGGTTGCTGGGAAACTGTTTGTTCGCACAACCCTTGCCTGAAATAGTAATTTTAAAAAGTTTATAGAACAAGTTGGTATGAAGGAATTTGGAATAGAGTTCTTCTTGAGAAATTTTGAAGTATCGTACACGGAGACAGAAGGGGGATGCTCCTGGCTTTAGGTCCCACCAAAGACATCACGGGCCTGAACGGAAAATGCAGAGGCTCCCGATGGGCTGTACAAGGCTGCCAGGTTGGAAATATTCATACAAGAGCAGGTTCCTTTCAGCTGCAGAGGGTCCACCATGAGGTGGGCCGCCGTCTCCAAGCAGGTCAACTGCTCGGTGGCGGAGCGTGTCGCCCAGTGCTTTCCATGGCGTTCTTACCCTTGGTCATCTAAGAGACTATTGAAAGAATAGCTGGCTAGGCCCCGGGATCACATTCTGTCGATTCGTTCGGCGATGTATCATCCCTCAATTAGGCCTTTCTAGAGGGCGAATCTGCCTGGCTACTTTTCTAACTGACTTGGGGAAGAGACTATTAACCGTTCGTCCTCATCGAACTAATAATCACCGGCCCAACCGCCTCAGCTCTAGAACTATTATATTGGCTGCTATTACTTCATTACGCCCGTGTGAAAGTGCCTTGTACCAGCACTTACGTTGGACTCGATGCTCTGTGTCAAGACAATAGGCCTGTATCATATTAGATGTGGCGGAGCAGTCTTCGCTTTACTCAATATTGAGGCCATGATATACAAGTAGGTTTATAAGACGGCAATGGTCACTATATGAATCCAGTAATTCCGAATTACATGTTTTTCACCGTCCTAGAGCCTCCTAGAGATCTTCCTGTCAAGCTAAATTATATTAGAACGCATTGTCCATTCTTCAGCGTGCCTTCTGTTTTTCAAAGTCTTGAGGCTGCAATCCCCTTGCCACCCTATACCGAGCAGCAATTCATCAGCCGCGACAATGTCCACCACGACCGCCATATGCGTATCGCAGGTCTCATTCGACTAACAGACATCATTTGTGGCATGATAGTGCTCGGGGTAATAATTTCCATTGCTGGAGCAATTGGGTACTTGATATATATAAAATACAGAGAATGACGTTCTCTACAATCAGGTAAGTGTAATGATCTAAGGCATGTGTGTATTCTGATTATATATGGAAAATTGTTCTAACAGTATATGAGAGGGGCCTAGGGCTCTAATATATAGCCAAAGGTATACAAAGACCATCTATCTATAGCCTGAATGGTTCCACCATGGTGAAAGCCCTTTGATTGTGATAGTAGCACGGGACAATGGATGAGACTAGTATAAATGATATGACCAAAAGGTAATATTGTCAAAGCCTCTGTTAATATAGATCGACATGAAGCTTTCGCAAATATAAAGTTTATTATAACGAAATTAGTTCTAAAGATTATCTTTCCCAGAATCATCCCATGTGGCGATATTCACTAGGGATATCGGTCAGTTGTATAGAATTTCAACAAATATTTAATCCTGAGATACTTAACTTATCAGCAATCTCTCTTTGCCGCAATAGGAAATGGTGGCCTCAACCATCTTGCCTAGAATTTAACTTCACATTTCGTACAAGCATTAGTTGCATCGAGATTGTCATCGGCATAGCTGGCTATACAATATCAGCGATTGAAGTACTTATCAACTCACGTTCGACACTTTTACCTATTCTGGTATTTTACCTTCTTCTGGCATTGGATCATCTGTCAGAAAAGGCATACGGGGTATCCCATGGCTGGGTAAAAGCACTGGGCCTTTTTCAATCACACATGGGAAATTGGTGTCTTTTATCATAGGCCGACAACTCTTTTCAGATGCTTATTCCCAGGTATTGTACACAGTTGATTATTGGTTCCGGTTTTGTTAATCTTTAATCTTAATACCAATGCAATGTGCTAAACCCACATAGACTGCAGTTTTCTAAGGGTGGTAAGAAACCCCACGATTTCGATCCCCCCGGTGACGGTTCCTTGTAATTTGCGTGGATGAGCCTTCGAGCAGCCGTCAAGGACGCTCGACCACCGAGACACTGGAAATGATGTAGTGGTATCATTTGTATCTCAAATGTCCTGTTTAACTACCAATTGCGTTGAGTCATATAGTTACGATGTGTGAATCCCTGTCAAAACTTGATATCGGGAAAGTGTATGGTTGTGGCCGAAAAGAACCCGGCGCGGATCCGCTTTATAGATTGCGATGCTGCTACCGAGCGCTAAAAATCACAAAATCTTGCAGGTGTATGCAGTTGGGCTGGCAATTGGACAGGGATGCTGATAAAAGTGTGATTGCATGCATGTATTAGATAGTATTGGTAAAGCCATGCCGTTCGAGCCGAGGTTTAGCCGCACGATCTCTTAATCCCTGTCATAGGAACAGTAAGACCACTAAGCGTCTCATCCAAACTAACAAGGGTCATCTCAGTGTATCGTGACCATGGGGGTTATACTAGTGTCGGAATGATGATATCCGACACTAGGCTGCGGCTGAGACTAATCTCGCCATTCATCATTTGTGCGTTGATAGGATAATACGGGTGGAGATGCAGGAAATATGTGGCGGCCGCTTTTATTTCATTCCACTTCCCAAAGCGCCGCCCATTCAGTACAGCCCATGGGCAATAGGTATTTGATGAATTGGTTGTATAAGACCGGCGGATCGCCAGGTATTTTCGGACCGTATACGGTTCTCACGTCATTGGAAAGAGATTACTAGTTTATTTGTTTGTTTTATCGAACATCAGATATGTTTGAGTGGTTACAATTCTTGAGTACTCAAAAATCTAGATCCGTTGGAAGATAAAACCATCGTACTAATCCTATCAAACCGACTTTCCTTCTGGGTACTTCATCTCAAATTCTCCATCTAGACAATAAATTCTCTCTCCCTCCTTCGTCATTGCATCAAATTTCACAGTGAAGTTTCCCTATATCGTTAACGTCAATGTTGATTTATATATACATGGAAAAATAGATAGTTAACGTACTTCACCTACAAACCAAGGTATATAATAATGAAGACTTATTAAGGCGAATCCTTTCTCAGGTGGACATTCCTTCTCTCGATTTACATCTGGCTGCTCGATGGTTTCCATTATACCGCAGAACGGAACTGTGCCACTCCGCCCTGGGTTGTCAGTTGAGTTCTCGCGTGCATACCAATTCCAAACTGGATGATCTGAGATGTCTGAAAGAAAGGTTCCTAAGGCAGTTAGTAGATTTCATTAATACGCTTTCCGTAGAACTTACCATAAATGTAGATGTCAAGATTTTCTTCGCTAAAATGGCAGTGTCAGGCCGAATCTAGTGATTTAAAATGTAGGAGTCTTACACGAGCGGAGGCGTTGGATTAACTATGAGTTGTTCGATTTGGAACAGATCTGTATCGCGAGATTCAGGGCAGAACTTTAGATTCGACCCCCGGGAATTACTCCTGGGATTGACAATGAGGTAGCTGTACTTGTAGAGCGCTGAGATGAGGACTGAAACCAAGCAAGCCAAACAAGAGAATTCACAGCAAGAAAGCGTATCTGCTCCATTCTTTAGAAGTGTAAGAGTAGATTTATTGGTTAAGTAAAACAAACGATCCTGAAGTGGAATGAATTTGGGGTCTAGAAATATGAGGAGAGGGGAGCTCACTTTTATTCGAAAAATGTTCTCAAACGGTAGCACCTGGCAGCAGCGCCGCAATCTAATAATGCAGACTGCTACAGTGGGATGAATTATGTTTGAGAGTACTAAAAATTTGTACTTGTATTGCCCCATAATAATGCAGCACTAGTCTGAAATTATACAGTATAAAAAGAGAATTGGTCTGTTTTAGGTTTAGTTATATATTTAGTGCTTATTTTTATTACCACATTTTTAGTGTTATCCTCAAACATAATTCATCCTACTGTACGGACTACCTAACGTTATCATTGATCTAGGCTCCAACTTAAATGCTACGCCATTAGTGGTACCAACAGTTTGCGAATCCTAAGCCCTGCCGGTTGCATGTACGGTTTGTGTCCTCCTAGTTTACCTTTTGTAAAATTATATTGTTTCGCATAAGGACTGGAGTGTCAAGCAAGCTATCTAACCCTTTATCGCGAACGAGATTTTCGGCTTAACTTCAGCCCCGGTAGTCAACGGTCCGAGTAGCTACCGGCGAAGCCTTTATGGATTTCTAGAACAATTGATGAGATGTAATACTGTATGGCATTCCTTTATGACTTCTAGAACTGGATAGTCATGAACTATTGTAGAGGGTAGAGTTGTGATAGACGTAGAGTTTTTAAGTAAACTAGGCGCGACATGTGCTCCCAAAGTTCAGCGCATCAAAGCAATCTTAAATCGGTCGAATAAAGTTAAACGCACAATTAATTTACTAACACTGATAAAAAAGTTAATCTGACTCGTGGCAAAAATGAATGAAAATCATATAACTTGATATACTTATTCAGAAAAGATGCTATAGTCTGTGAAAGTATGCTGTATAATTAATACAACTGAGCAGGCAACACGCTGAACAAGATCAAAAACATATTTTAGACCACGAATCTGTGCTCATAACCGGGCTAATTGAAATATAATGTGTGTATCCATCTTGGCCCCGTTTAAGACCAGATAAAGCGCTGTTTCTGTTCAGCTTGTTTATACATATTTTCTGCCTCCTTTAGCTTACCCTGATTAGCGTAGAGATTCCTAAGATTGTTGACAGTATCAAGGGTGGATATGTGGTGAGGAACTAGTGCCTTCTCGCAGCCTACTAGTGCTCGCTCGTACATCTTCTCCGCCTCCATCAGCTTGCCCTGATCATCGTAGAGATTCCCTAAACCATCAAATGCACCTCAGACGGCGATGTCATGAGTCTGTCGGTTGTTATTCCACCTCTGACGTGCGTAATCTGCATGAGCTAGCAACCGCCGTTGGAGCTCCCAATAATTTTGCCCACTGGTCCTAGGTACCATATACCCAACAAATACTAGTGCTAGTTCATCTAATTGAATTGCTTTCACACCAGGTTCTTTTTCAGTGATGTGGGGACACCAGTCTTGTACAACAGGATGCATCGCATAGCTTCCATCTTATTGATTGGTCTCAATTAGGGAGAATCCGATAAGAGCCCTCATACTTATTTTAAAAGCAAGAGGCTTGGATATAGCCTTATCAAACCAGGGCGGGGTATGTTGTCTATGAGAACCGGATTTCGCTAATTCATACCAGATATCTCGATGATCAAAGCAAGCAAGTAGCAATAACAGCTCTGCTACATTCGGGTCTCGCTTCTGGATCTCACGATATAAAATCATCCATCTTTATAGCATATTATCTTGCTGGAGTTCTTTGTTATGCCTCCCCCTCTACTCTATCATGATGAACATTCGTATCGCCCCTATCATACAAACCGTGGTGATTACCTGTCCTGCCAAAGGACTATTGATGATACCTCTTGCAAAAACTGTCTGAGTACTGCGTGTGTATAGTTCTAATAACTTGACTAGATTTCGCTCAGATTTCTCTCCAGTGCTTTTTGATGTGTCAAAAGGTAAGCTGATTTGTTTTTCTATTCTTGACGCATGATGATCCCATATATTTCCATACTAAGTATGAAGACTCGTCTAATGCTTACACCATGTATCTGCTTTTCATCTTTCGGCTGATGTCACATAATTTTATATTGTTACTCGTTTACTGTGGGAATTCAAATAATGCGTGAACAGGTCTACTCTTGAAACGCGCCGAGGTCCTTGTCGTTCCATCTGCCTGTCGTTAGATATTTTATAGGTTCATAATGAAACCAGCTTACGTGATAAACCGTCCACTCAACGTATGAGGCGCGTCGAGCACCAGCTTCGCCATGACATGGCCCGGCTGCTCCGGCTTGCGCAATTTCCCGTCGCGGTGCGCCTCGATAAACATTGATATGGCCTCGTATGGCATGTTGTCGACATGGTCCTGCCGGATCTCGCGCTGCATGTCCGTGTCGACCATGCCCGGCCGCACCGCGATGGCAGTGACATCGGGCTCCTCTTTGGCCAGCGACAGCGTAAAATGGTTCATGGCCGCCTTGGTTGCGCCATACAGAGAAAAGCCGCCGATGGCCGAGATGGCTACGCCAGAGGATGTAAAGATGATTTTTCCTTTTGATTCGCGTAGAGCAGGGAGCGCGGCTGTTGTCTGCATTATGATTTGTAAACATAGCCTTGACTCTCCGTACACTTTGTAGACGGGTAGACTTACAAACGACACCAGACTGAAAAAATTCACCTCAAAGCCTGCCTTCCACTGCTCGACCTCGGCCTTGGCCACCGTCGACACCTGGCCCAGCACCCCGTGGTTCAGCACCAGCCCATCCAAACGACCAAAGCGAGACTTGGCCAGCGCAACCGCTTTCTCGCCGAGCGAGTGGTCGGCTAGGTCGCCGGCGATGTACTCGACGTTGTCCGGGAACTGGGCCTTGAGGGCTTGCAGCGATTCAGCAGAGCGCGCAAGGATGACTAGGTTGTTTGCGGGCGTGGTTGTGAGGAGGTATTTTGAGATGGTCAGGCCGAGGCCTTGAACCTGTTAGTTTCAATGTTTTTGATCATGTTGGGATGGTTTTGGTCGAGGGTTGAAGAGGTCTCGTACCGCGAGAGGCGCCGGTGACGATGATGGTTTTGGGTGCCATGTCTAGCTACAAGGATTGTTAGTGACGATGCAACAGAATAGATGTGATATACTCGGGTTGTATATAGAAATCAACGCTGTATATTTCTTCGTGACGAGAAAATCAATTGATGGGAGTTGTCGAGAGGGAGGAGAGCGAGCAGTAATTATGATGACAGTACAGAATTAGAAACTAGGTACCCCTTAGTTAATTATTATTTTTCGAGCTACTACGTAGACCCTGCAAGGAAGGGGCCAATCAAGTGAGCGAGCCATTAGGAGGTATAGTAATTTTAGAAATTGTAATAAAGGTTAGCCATAATAGGTGATAATAAGAATTTGCCAAGAATCCTCACGGACTGACACCAACCGCACAAGCCCCCAATGGACCACTTTCATTTGAGATCTATTTTCTCTTACGCCGACGCAAATAGCCCACCGTATAAGCTATGCATGAGATTCACCGGTGATGTGCATTTACTTTCTCGGGCTCAAAGTATCTCCAAGTCCGCCCCCAACATAATATCTGTCGCCCACTCCTTTATCCTGTCAAAGTTCCTACACTTCCTTAATGGACTGAAGTCCGCCCTAATCCCGATTGGTGATTTTGGATCGTCCATGACCACTTGCGGCGTTACATCACCATGACACGTCAAGACTATTCGTAAGGTCTCGATACAGTGGTCAACGTGCATACGGGCACCGAAATCAGTGTCGCGCATGTCGTCTGGCATCCGAACGATTTCTGGGTGGCGATTGTAATAGTCCCTCCTGGTGTATTGGCAAATTAGATTCTTCGCCTAGGTGTAAGAAAATGCTTGATTCTGGAAAAGTCGCAAGGTATCAAGGTATGCTGATGAACTTACGAGGTAATGAAGCTGGTGGAAGACCTCGAGTAAGCTGTGGTAGCCGCCTTCTGTGTCGTTGACAGGTCGGAGGAATCGACCTTCACCTAGGTCGGTGGTTCTGTTTAGTGCTGGTAGTTTGTCTCCGGGGATTCGCACACCTCCGTCTGCGAAACCATGATCAGTACAATGACTTGAGCAAAGAAATGTGATGTTGATTAACACGCCCATAAACTTCTCCAGGCTCTCTCTAGCTTGGGTGTTGGGGGCCACGGTAAATTGTTTCGTGAGCGAAAGGATTTGGGATCTCCATTTCCTTATACTCCATGGCCTCGAGAGCCGGTGCTGATCATTTTGTGAGAAGGGTCTCCAACTATGGTAATCTTTATCTCCTTAATAAGGAACTTGCAATATATGCTCAATTGAATTGCACAAGCCTGATCTGATGGACGGTACATGAGGGCTAGAATACCCAGAATTGCAGAGGAGATAATGAAGAGACATAGTATACTACACAGGTAGATGACGAGTCGACAGAGTGTAGATTTCTGTGTAGGTTTCTCCTGAAAAGACCCATCATCTTGCTCGGTAGCTGAGAGCAAAGACTGTGAGTCGATTTGAACATATGTTTTTCAAACTCCGACAAAAACCCTCTTTCTAGTCAAGATAGCGCCGCATTCTTTATACTTTATATGAAACTATCTCTTACTTTTAATGTTTTTATAATATTCTAATCAGATATATCAAATATAGTGCTTGCTTGAACTACTGCCATTTTAAGATAAGATTGGCTAGCTGTTATAATCTAAGGCATGTGTGCATTCTGGTTATATGTAGAAGATTGTTCTATCAATACATGAGAGGGACCTAGGGCTCTAATATATAGCCAAAGGTATACAAAGAACATCTATTTATAGCCTGAAAGGTTTCACTATGGTGAAAGCGCTTTGATCGCGACCGCTCTAATATATAGTCGAAGCTATACAAAGAACATTGATGAAGAGCATCTATCTATAGCGAAAGCCCTTAGTCCTCTTCGCAATCGAAGAGCACCCCCATTCGGTTAGGTGGGCAACTCTGGTGTGGATTACTATGATTGACCCCGGTGATTTTGTTAGTACGATGGGCCTCACAACTTTGCCATAATAGTTAATATGCGGCTTTCACTGATCTGTAAGGTCAAGTCTCCCCATTATAAAGCAAACCAGACACTAAAGATTGGCCAAACATCAAGACGCAAATTTACATAATCCCCACATAGCATAAGATTAAAAAAATGTTGGCCGATTATAGTGCAAGGAATTTTAGTGCAGTATTAGTGTGTTCTAATATTGCAAGGGGGAAGAAGCCTGAATTTTGAATAACTGGAAACTAGACCTAATTTATACCCAATTTACTAGTGGAGTTGATCGCTAATAATTACCCAAATAATGACAAATTCTCGGAAATTGCAGAGAAAAATAACGCGTCAAAACCATGGTTTTGACATACCGTTCCATGGCGCGTTATTATCGCACTAGCTGGCTGACAAAAAAGCACTAACAAAATCAATGGGGTCAACCATAGTACGTACGAATTTGATATAGCACTATGATTAAATTTACACATATAAGAGATGCGTATTATTCTTATAATTCAAATACACCTAAAACAAGAGTATTTCTTGCACAGTAATATCCATTAACTCTATGTTTCTAAGACTGGTCTGTGCGCTGGACCCTAGACTTTTCTATTTAAGTGGCCGTGATTTAAATTAACTAGGCAACATTTATAATTCTTATTCATTGTTTTCTTATTCCCGACATCTGCCGGCTTCTTCCAATCGCAAAATCTCTTCCTCTTAGACGGAGAGAACTAGGACGTACACTATGTCAGCACAAGTTGGTGAAAAATTACTAACATCAAAATATCAATACTATCATGAATTTCATGAGGACTCTTACAGCGTTGGAGTTGTCGATGATGACGGTGCAGTCCTCTATGAAGGTCCTTATGGCGGCCTTCTAAATGATATTGTGCGATACAATGACGTGGCTAAATTAGCCCAATACCTGGATATCAACGCTCGTGCTACTCTGGGCCAGGTTGAGGTACACCATTGGGACCCATTTTATGTTGCTGCAGAGTCTGGGAGTACTGAAGCGCTTGACCTGCTTCTCAAGCATTATAATGCTCATTTAAACGACACTGACATGATACCATTTGAAAAACGACAATTTCGCCTGCTTAATGTGGCCTGCTTAAACGCTCGGGTCGAGACTGCGCTGTTTCTTTTGGATACCCAATCTGCACTGGCAAGCCTCCATGCCAGAGATAATTCTATGTACCGTAAGGACGGTGACACCCCACTGCTCTCAGCTGCAGATTCCTTCACCCATTTGCCGCGCGGCCTTGAACAAGATGATGACCTTGCAGTCCATGCCCATCAGGCTCGTGCTGAAGAGCTTATGAGTCAACTCCTTAACAGAGGAGCTTCCGCTCAAGATGTAATGATGTGTATTGTCAATAAACAACAGATTTCAGATACAGTCCTCAGTCGGGCCATTTCGAGGGCCAGCTATGGATTAATAAAACGACTCATTACCGAAGGAGCGGACCCACATGTCAAGATTGTACAGCCGGCCGATTTTGGTCAAGACGAGCAAGTGCATGGCGTAACTCCTCTTCATCTTGGAAGTCTGCATGCGAATATTGATGGTGTTCAGGCCCTGTTTGATCATCGTGGGGACAAGGCTACTGTTATGGAAATGGTCTTATCCAGTGATAGCGGCGGTCGCCTTCCCCTTCACTGGGCTGCAAGAGGGGCTCATAGTCCAGAGTACTGCTATATGCTTCCTCGTAACGATATTGTTACACATGCAGTCAATACCATCAATCTACTCTTATCTATCAATCAAGACACAATCAATGCTCAAGACCATGAAGGATACAATGCCTTATGGTATGCAGTCTATAGCTTCAGAGGACGTATTAACCAGCATTTAGACATTCTAAAGACCTTATTCAGGTATGGAGCAGATGGAAATATACGTGACCAAGATGGTAAAAATATGTTGCATTTGTTAGGTTTTACAGCAATTGGTGAAGCCATGGACCCAGTGATAATAGAATGCCTGGTGGCTCATGGTGCCAATATCGATGATGTTGATATACGTGGAAATACTCCACTCAACCAAATGGCGATAAACTTGCGTCAAGTCGAGGCTGTGCGGGCTCTACTTGGCTGTGGCGCCAGCATGAAGGTAAAGAATTTGAGAGGGGATACGCCGCTTCATCAAGCAGCACAGGGAAAGGTATTTCCCTACACATATGGACCGTACATTGAATTGAATGGCATTCTGCTGGATGATAAGATCAGAGCACAAGACAAGATGATAAAAGTTTTAGAAGAAGCCAGTGATGGGCTCAACTTAATGAACGAAAAGAATGTAGATGGCAAGACACCACAACAGCTGCTGGAGGAAATGCGAAACAAGTGGCACAAGGAAGAGCAGGAACGGTTGAGTCATATTGTTAACTAATTGCCGATGATATTCATTACCAACTGTATCAGTGAGAGCTCGAAAGCTGGAAATTCTCTATCCTGATGTCTTTAGATATTTGAGCTCTAGGTTGAATTAAGAACTAGATGTCATGATCAAAGGGCTTTCACCATAGTGAAACCCTTTAGGCTATAGATAGATGTTCTTTGTATACTTTTGGCTATATATATGAGCCCTAGGTCCCTCTCATGTACGATAGAACAATCTTCCACATATAACCAGAATGCACACATGCCTTAGATTATAACACTAGAGTTATGATACGAGTACTTCCAAGCCATGAGATGAGAACTAAAGAAACTATATAATTGATCGCTGCGATCAATGTTTCCCAGGACGATACCTTTATTGCGACATACAAATCTAGACATGCCACAAGCTACCAACTAATGGCGCGGCGGAACTCACACCTGACACTATTCCGTAGATAGTCGATGCGGCGACGATTTACGTCAAGCTATATTAACTATATACAATATGGATGGTCATCCAGTATTAGAATACATAGTGAGAATTTAAGCACAAAACATCCACGGGTATCGCGACGAGCAGCCACACTAGTTGCTCGGTCTCTTCCCACCGCAACCCCTCTAACCCTTAAATCTAACCTTATACTGGGCATCCATCGCCGTCGTCAGGGTGGCAATGGTCTTTGATCAGAGTAGCGGTGTCAAGGATAGTATTATTGGCGCTACCAATGAACTGAGTGGTCAAGTGGGAGCAGTTGTGGACGGTGAACAAGCTCCAGCCGTACGCTACTATGACATCGCGAGAAGTGCTGACATAGGGGGCGCTGGGGGTGTCGAGACCGTCATAGTGTCCACCAGCACCATTGACCACATACCAGGGAGCTGTGGGGTTGTTGGTAATCTCCTGAGTGACGTTGTTGGCAACGGCGGCGTGGCGCTCGTAAAAGTGTTTGTGGCCGTGGAGCACTAGGTCGACGCCGTACTCGATCAGGATGGGCTCGAAAGCGGCCTGGCACTCAGTGCAAACCGTCGTGCTAACGTACCAGGGACGGTGACCAGCGGCAACAACCCAGGGAGTCTTCTTGCGGTCGACGGCGGCGAGGTCCTTCTTTAGCCAGGCGAGCTGGGCTCCGGTCGGTGCAAAGGGGCCAGCATTCTCGGCGCCCTCGCCGCCAGGCTCATCCGGAGCGTTGGGGAAGTCAGTCTCAGTATTAAACATGACGAAGTGCACCATGCCATGGTCGAAGGAGTACCAGAAGTTCTCGAGGCCACCAGATTCAGCAGAAGGCATGCTGGATGGAAGGTCAGTCTCGAATACACGTCTCGTGTCTAGCAAGAGATACGTACTTCCAGTGCTGGCGGTAGCCAGTGAAGTTGAGCTGGCCAGGTACACAGACGCTCAGGTCACTGCCGTTGTCGCAGTTGGCCTCGTGGTTTCCGGGACCGACCATGTAGGGCTTACCACTAGAGAGCTCCTCGATCTCGTCGTAGAAGTCATTGAGGATGCGGTCGTACTCGGCACCGTTGTCGGTGAGGTTGTACGGGGAGACATAGCCGCCCTTCTCCTCCTTGATCCAGGCGTCGGCGTAAGCAAGATCACCAACTGGGAAGCACGTTAGCTAGTGAACGCATCACAGATGACACTAGCGTGCATACCGTGCCAGACGAAGTCGTAGCTACCCTGGCGAGCGGCCAGCGACTGCACCGTCGTCAAATCGCCTGGTTTGAGCGGGTTGGCAGCGCCTTTCCCGACGGTGGTGCTGAGACCATCGGGGCCAAAGGTGCCCATGTCGCCGACCATGGCGAAGCTGAACTCGGTCTTCTGGCCAGGGCGGCGCGCGGTTGTGAAGGTGTAGGTCACATTGCCGCAGTTGGGCTTATAGAAGTATGCGGTGTTGGGCTCAAGGCCAGTGAGGACGACATGGTTGTTGTACGTGGACGAGCTGGGATAAGTGGTCGACACATCCGACTGGGCGACGCGGTTGAGGCGCTGATCCTTGCCGAAGTATACTGTCGGGTGGGTGAGCTGCAGCTTGGTGTTCCAGCTGACTGCCATGCCGTGGTCGCCGGCATAGGCGAGACGAATCTGGGTGGGAAAAATGCCGCCAGTGCATTGACCGAGGTTCTCGGGGGCAGCCTGCGCGGCTGTGGCGAAGGCCAAGGCCGTGGCAGCGCTGAGCTGGAACAACATGGGGGATGGGAATCAGAAAAGAGCGACTAGAGTGGGATAGGAATTCATTCACGCCTGGAGGGCCGGACAGGGCGGCGCGACGAAGATAGATATACAACTACTAATTACATGTTACAGGATAGTCGACATGTACCTGAGGGCTCAGACGCCTTCCAGAAGCAGCGGCTCACTGCAGAGTGGCTTAGTTTGACCAACCATGGTGCCACCCTCCGGCACGTGCCGGCCAGGGCTAGGAAGCTTTCGGCTGCTTCTGGAAATCCTCAAGATCTCGGTTCTATCAGTCAGACGTAACTTTAATTGACCATTAATTCACTGCATGACTCGGTATCTTTCAAATTCACAGTAGTTTCCCCCATCCCCACAAGAGCCAATCCCCTCACACGTAGGCCCGTGGCCACGTGCTACATCTCGTCGGCTGCAATCTCCCCTGAACTCGTATCCAAAAGCCCTTGCGCCGTCTCTAATATCTTATTATAGTAGTAGCTTTCATTTGCCTGTCTCAGCTAGCTTGCATACTGTCGCCGCTCTGTAGGGTTGTGCCCTAATCCGCAGGGCATGGAGCACAGCGACGGGAAGGTAAAGTACGCTAACTAGTGCAAACCATGCAAATAATATGAACAAGCAAATCAAAACAACACAAAAATCGGCCGCGCTCATAACGTCACCTCTCTCGCTCCCGATTGCGCGCCGGACACGCCCAGTCGTGCAATTCTCATGTTATCCGAACTCGGCACGGCCTGCCCAGCTCAGGCCTACGCGCTCGACTTTTCAGTCTCGGGAGGCGTTATTCCCTCACCCGGGGCCATTGCTTTGCTCAAATCGCACAAATTTGAGCTCATTACTCAGAGTTAATTTGTGTTGAACTGATTATTAGCCGAATCCGGTCGTATTTGGGCGTGGAATTTCAAGAATTCGATTCCGCGAGAAAAATTTTGATCCGCAGGTGCTGCATACGTAGCTATTGGAAGGACATTGAGGGTGGATATACCCGAAACTTTGGCATTTTACGCACATCTTACACCGTCCTTGGAGAAGATTATGGTGTCTTGGCTCTACGCTTCCCAAATAGTGCCCTGCCGGATCGCCTCGTTCGCAGCGAGAGGGCTTGTAAATTCAATGACCAATGATCCCTCGCGCTTTCCTTCGGATGGCCGGGTCAGCCAACTTACATGAACAACGCTGGCTGTTGACCCCCAGGTATGCTGATGCTGAGCCACAAGCCTGGTAATGATATCTCCCATGGTCTCTCTAGTTAGGGATAGCGACTTGGTATTGACTCCGCCGGCCACAACCTCCAGGTGGGCGTCCTAATGTACGCATCGCCCCCGAACGCTTTCACCCATACGTTGGCATGCTTTCTCAGCACCTCAGCCCCGGCGGCATGGCCCGCCCGCAGGCTGAGGTCCCCAGAGGGTAGCTGGCGTGCGGCAATAAAGCAGTGGCCAGCGAGAGTGAGGATTTGTATTTTTTTCGCTGCCTGCACTCTCGCTCGTTCGGCTTTTTTCACAATATCAATTGGCTTACTTTGACGGAGTTCCTTGCGTATCGCTGCATCCCGTATCTTTACCACAATTTCACAATCAGACCCTAGTTCTGCCTGGGTCAGTCACCCCAGGGGTCGACGAGCCTGCACTTTGGGACAAAGGTGAGGCCGCGCTGCGTAGGCCCGTCTGCCACTCTCGTGCTCGGAGGCTTTTCCAAAAGAAGGCGGAATCGGGCTGCGAGATCCCAGTGGTGTTGCTATTGGATTTGCTCAATTCCTCACGGATTTGAGTGGTTTCTTGGCGGATATCGTGAAGAGCCTTTTTCAGATCCGCTAACGCGCTCGCGTTGTTGTCGCCCCCACGGGCCTTTTCCGCGTAACTCTTAACGGCCTGGATGAATGACTGTGTGTCATTATCAAGGCGGTATGAGTTATTGCTATCTTCAGCGCGGAGAAGGATTTTCTGAGCTGCCTTAGCTAATTCCTCCATGCTGGCGAAACTTGCAAAACGGTAACTTGATCCGTTCAGCGCGCCTCGCGGGAGCGAATTTTCAGCGGCTTGAGGCCTCAACCTCGCGCCTTGGGCTTTTGCCGCAATTTGACCCAGTGCCATTAGTATCAAATTGTAGCTCTTAGAGTTAATTATAATCGAACAAATTCTGAGCCGAATCCGGCTTGATTTGGGCGGGCATTTTCAAAAATTCGACCCGCGCAGAAACATTTGTTTTTCTTTATCCGCTTGCGGGTGGCCGTGCTCTCGCTGCGCGACGGGGCAGTTCAAGTCTGTGGAATTGGTGCGCTTCGGATGGGAGCTCTAGGGCTGCGCTCTATGACCTCAGAGACCATAGCCGCTTCGGCTGGGGTGATATCGGCAGCCGGATTGACTGCGCCTGGTGAGGCCATGCCTGGTCTCGCGACTGGCGCGTGGAATTGGGGCCCGTGGGCGCGGCGCTGGTGCACCTCGTAGAGGCAGGATGCCCGAATTGGGCACTCCCTCGCGAAGGCGTAGTGGCGTTCGTCTTGCTTCTTGGCTGGGTCCTTGATATGGGTGTTTTCTTCGACGCAGTTAGCGCACTTGGCATACTGCTTGTCGTGGGGTGTGGAGCAGTCCCCAGTATCATGGTGGCCAGCGCAGTAAGCGCAGCAGGCCTGACGTCGGCAATGTTTGGCGATATGCTTATACATTTGGCAATTGAAGCATTGTTGCAGGTTGACACTCTTATCATAGATCGTGCATTGGTGCTGTTTCCCCTTGATAATTAGACCTCGAGAGATGGCAAAGTTGGCGACACGTTCGTCATCGAAAATGACGACCAATTGTGACTGGGGGGGGCTTTGTTCTTTAAGTTTGCGCTTACCTAGCAACCACCCGGTTTGTTAAAGGCGTCACAACAGCTTTATGTCCAGCATGTTCGTCACGTTTTGTATCCTTGAAGTTCATATTGTCGTACGTAATCACTGATTGGGGGTTTGTACTTTGTTTACGGGTCGTCTCCTATTTTAATAAGAAGTTAGCAATCGATATCAACACTATATGATGAGAAATAGATATTTACGTTTTGACCTTCACCTTTTCATTGCGGGCTAACTCTGGAATTAATCTTTGTACTGTTTTGTAGCTAGAACATATCCCCATGCCATTTAAGGTGTCAAGACTTCGAGTTTTTGTCCCAGTACTGTAAAGATAAATAGCGAGTGATTTGGCGAGAAAATTAGAAAGAAGTGGTGCTCGAGAGAAACATATTATAGAGGTAATAGAGATAAGAGCTTTCCGTTCGGCAGAATTCTGACTTCTGGGCCCCACAAGTAAAGTAGATAATACTTGATTCCATAGTGGTGCTGATACTTGTATTGTATGAAGCATATCTTGAAAATTGACGTTTTCAAGATCGGTTGATTCATCGTATTTGCCAAAGTGTGATTGCTGAATCAACTCATTGAATTCGCTGTGCAGTTGCAAGAGAAATAGATCTAAAAAGAAAGGTTGATGTAGAATTTTCTGCATCTCTTTATGTCGAAGAAATGGAGTCTTGTAACGTCGAGAACGAAGGTCACCCTTCTCAGCTATAAATAATCGTATAAACGTAGCTGGGCTCCAACCATTTTTAGACATCACTTTAAGAACCTCATTCAATTTCCGAGTTCTTCGAGCATCTTGTTGTTGTGACCGTATCTGAGGTAGAGGTGTAGACGACGATTGAGTAGGGAACTCCGATTCCTCGATATTATCCCAGTATTGATCGTCGCTTGTAGGATAATCTGACAACGAGGAATTATCTGGAGATGTGATGACATTGTCCATCACTTCTGGTAACAATTGGTGCGGTATTTGCGACAAATCGGATGGATTCATTGAAGCCCTGTAGTGATATATCGATTGTCGACTTGTGTAGGAGGATTTGTGGATGTCCAGATAAAAATTGTGCACAAGTAAATAGATAGAGTTATGATTCAGGAATCGATTGAGGCTATATTGAAGATGAAAAAATGTGGATTCGGGGGTGAAATATAACCTTGAAAATCTGACTGATGAAGTTTGTATGGGAGATGAAGGACTTGCTCACGAATCAATATTGACACGAGGTGTCCTCAGACCCTCTGACGAGGAACTGAGCCGCGCGTTCTCATTGGCCGACAAGACTGGACAAGACGCTAGAAGACTTAGCGTGGGCGGCGCAAAGGCGGTGAAAGCGTTCCTCGTCTTGGGTCTGAGCTCCTGAGATAACTCATTACTACTTCATCCACGTGTTCACTATGTCAAACCCCTCGACAAGAAAACCCCCTACCGGCAAGCTATACGCCATTGCTGATATTCACGTGGCCTTTTCCTACAACCAAGAAGCCTGGTTTGAGTTGGCGCCGCATCCCGGCGATGGCCTGATCTTATGTGGAGACATTGGAGAGACAGTTGAGCACTTGCGGCAGGCGTTTTCGATAGCCACAAAATGCTTCGACACTGTATGGTGGTGCCCTGGCAATCACGAGCTGTATACTTTCCCGACGGGATCTAGTACTGATTTTCGGGGAGAGCAAAAGTATCAGCAATGCGTTGAGGTGGCGCGATCCTTTGATATTCTTACGCCAGAGGATGATTTTGTAGTGTGGGAGGGAGAGGGCGGTGCAACTGTGATTGCACCGATTTTTACTTTGTACGACTATTCATTTAAGCCATACGATGTGACGATAGAGAGTACGTTAAACCCCACTTCACCTGTCCAGATGCTCCGAGGGACATGGCACTTCACGGAATCCAGACATTATCTCTGACGAGTCGTCCGCTGAGAACACGTGTCTATTTTTCTCCCAAGCCTACAATCTGCCGATAACCTATGCTGATGGCTACACAGATGCTGTTTCATGGGCAAGAGAAGAGAATATTGAAGCCACGGATGAGTTTCTGCTTCATCCAGATCCTTTCCCTAGTCGACAAGAGTGGTGCAGTCATCTTGTTAAAAAGTTTGAAGCAAAGTTAGAGGCGGCACAGGCACAGTTCCCATCTCTGCCTTTTGTTATAGCAAACCACTGGCCGCTGCGAAAGGACCTCGCTAGTCTAAAGTACATCCCACGATTCGTAATATGGTGCGGCACAACTTTAACCGAAGATTGGCATCAAAGGTTCAACGCAAGGGCAGTCATTAGCGGTCACCTTCATATACGAAGGACCGATTGGAAAAATGGCTGCCGGTTCGAGGAAGTCAGCCTTGGCTATCCAAGACAGTGGAAGCATTGCGCTCAAATGGGCCTAGGTGTCAATGATCTCTTAAGGGAGGTTTTACCGGGACCAGAACCTCCTGAAAACGGAGAGGCGCCAGTACAATGGAGAAGATATGGGTAAAGTAGGATGGATATGTCTGCAAGAATTACGCATGCAAGAATATATCCTAGTAGTAGTAGTAGTAGTAGTAGTAGTAGTAGATTTCATTGACGGGGCAGTCGACGCCTAGGGGGTAGGTGCGAGACTTGAAATATTGCGCCATCTGAATGGCAAATTGGGTATCTATAAAGGCAATGCCGTTCGCTCCAGTGTCTACTAATGCTCGGATAACAATTGAGTATGAATTCTTAGCTAACTGAATAGGTACAGTAAAGCTATCTTTTTCACGTCCTAATAGTTGGCGGAGGTCCAATCCGAACAGTTCAACAGTGCGGGCTAGGATGGAGACTTCTCCTAGGCATCCTCTTTTCCCGGGGTGACTGGCGCAGTGTCTTCATTGGCTGCTTGTTCAAGTGCTTTGAGCTGGGTTCTTGCAGGGGTAGCAGCCCTGGCCTTCTTCGTGGGGCATTCGCGACTGATGTGGCCTGTCAGCTTGCAGTAGAAACACTTGCCTTCTTTGAGCAGCTGCTCACGCAGCGCAGGATCCATGCCCGGGGTTGACGCGCGTGGGGCGGGTGCGGGTTCCGGTTTGATGGCTGGGCTCGCCGCGGCAGCATTGGGTGGGTTTCCAGTGCCTCGCGTGGCACGGGCTCGACGTTTATTGATATTGTCAAGGTTCGTGGCAGTCTTGCTGCAGTAGTCGGTAAACTCGCGGAAGGTTCGATCATCGTCATTGTACGCGGGCATGACTAGCTCCTGCATGCGAAAGGTAAGCTTATTGTAAAGATCATCCTTCCAGTCTGCATTGTTCACACCTGCCTCTGCAGCAAGGTAGAGGAACTCCGACAGAAGCTCATGGAAGGGGTCAGTGGGTTTCATCAATAGTGCCTGATACTGGGCTTTGGCAACACGCTCACGGTTTGGGTCCCCATAAACATTCTCCAAGTGGGTAAACATATCCTCTGCATCTCCATATGGGTTCACGGCGTTGTCTCGCAGACGGGGAGTGATGTGTTTGCGGGCCTGCTCCTCGCAGCGACTGGCGATGTATGCGATGCGCATCGTGGTCGTAGGAAAGTGGTCAGCGTTGGCACGCAGCTTCTGCTTGATGGCGAGCAGCCAGTCTTCGAAACGGGGACTCTTGCCATCGCTGAGCAATGGGGGATCGGGGATCTTGGCGGTTTTGTGATCTGCACTACCCTCCTGCATAGTTGAGGCTGGGGAGGCGCGGTTGCGTGCGAGCTGCAAGGCGAACTGGTCTCGTTCTTGGGCTGCTTCCTGGGCGTCATGTCGAGCAGTGTCGCGTTCTTGGGTCAACTGCCGTTGCTCCGCCTGTGCAGTGTCACGCTGGTCTAGCAACTCACGATGGTCTAACTCTAAGCGAATCTTGGCAGCCTCAGCCTTCTGCTGTTGAATCTGCGCGAGGGAGACCTCTTCTCGGAGGTTCTGTTTTTCGTCTTCATGTCGTTCGTGCAAAGTGCAGAGCAGATCATACACGCGCTCTGGGTCATTGGTGCCGTGTCGAATAAACTCTTCTTGACGAATAATCACTTCTCTATTGGTAGTCAAATGTTCAATTTGCTCAAATAGACTGGTTAGGCGGCGTCCTTCATCGCCATTCTCATCTGGGACTGTATTTGACTCTCTGTCGTCAGAGCGTTCTTCGTTATCAGGCTCACTGGTAGCTTCGCGGTCGTTGGCTCGTGCCATTATGGCGGTTGGTTCGTGGGTTTGTGGGTTTGTGGGATCAACTCGCTGAGCTTCCACGCTGTGGAGAGTGGGTAAGCTGTACAAGCGGTTGATCAAGAGAAAGTAGAAGAAATGACACTTAGAATTATGTTACGATCGGCATAAATAGGGATTTATGGTATCATTGAACGAGAATTCTAAGTGTAAGGAAAGAATTATGTACAGCCGCGCGCGCTGCGGATATACGGACTTTTTACGCGTTAGAACAAATTTAGTTTAGTGGCAAATTCGATTGGATTAAGATACAAGCCTGAGTTGCAAAGAACTCATCTATCTAGACGTATTTATATGCGAATTTACACTAATATTTGTCATCATGGGTAAGGTATTGAAAATTGAGCAATGTCGATTTTCGGCATGGCGTTTTGGCACTATTGATCGTAATTTTGGGTGTTTCTAATCCTTTCCCAATGTGCTTAGTGCCAAATATTCCGATAGCGAGCCCTCATGGGTTCAAGGATGGAACGGAAAGCTCCCATCACAGTTCTCGAGCGTCCTGAGCAACTCGCTCAGCACAGGCAGCTCCCCATTGACCCCCTTTCCTGCCCAGGAGGACCTGGAGGTCTTCCTTGAGCACACGGACACCGACCTCATCAACCCTCTACGTCGACACCCCTATCAAATCGTCAACAAGGCCAATCAGGCCGTTCAATCAACCCGGGACGCCACGATTGCCCACCGCCGATTCGCCGCTGTGCGAGTCCTTGCGAGTGGCGATCTAGCGCTTCTAGCCACTGCATCAAGAAACGCAGCTGGGGTGTCATAGTTCGCGGAGTACCCTGTAATATCGACACTAAAGACCCTAAATTTAAGATCCGGCTCAAGTCTGAGAACGCCCCCATCTTTAAAAGCCTGCCAGCGCCCATGAATATCACCCATGTCGGGTGGCTGCCTCATGAACGCAAAATCAGAGAACAGGGCCCAGAGACCTCATTTCTTGTGGTGATGTTTGACGACGAGCGGGTCGCCAATTTCGCTATCAACCGGGGCCTCATTACTAAGGGCAAGCAACACGCGTGCCAGATTTACGATAAGACGGTCAACCTACAGCAATGTTTCAAATGTCAAATGTACAAACATATAGCCAAATTCTGCAGACGTCAGCTCCGATGCGCATACTGCGCGGGCGAGCACGGTTCCGGAGATTGCCCGGTCAAAAATGACCGGGACCACGCTAAGTGCGTGAACTGCACAGAAGAGAACCTACATATCAAAGACCCGGCGAAAAAGCTTGACACTAAACACTTTGCATATGCACGAGACTGCCTAATCCGGGCCCACTGCTTGACGCAAGTGCACCAACACCGAACCTTTGGCCCTCAATTCCATGCCCCCTGTGGCGAGACCAGGAATGGACTCCCCCGGAGCAGTCAAAGTCAATGACGATCCTACACCAGCCGAAGCAGCTGGCCGCAGTCCTCAGGCTCCCACCCGAGAGACACCCGCTGCACGCACAGCCAAATCACGCAGCAAAAGTACCGCAGCACGCAAAAGGGTAGCCGAACCAGATGTAACGGCCGGATTGGCACCTTGGTTGCCTCAGGCGGTTAAGGCGGCTAGGGCTGGGGCTAGCGGGACACGTGGCACGTGGCACGTGCCCCACACCGGTTGTCGGAATATTTGGCACTAAGCATATTGGGAATAGGTTCAAAAATGCCCAAAATTACGATCAACAACGCTAAAACGCCATGCCGAAAATCGACATTGCTCAATTTTCAATACCTTACCCATGATGACAAATATTAGTGTAAATTCGCATATAAATACGTCTAGATAGATGAGTTCTTTGCAACTCAGGCTTGTATCTTAATCCAATCGAATTTGCCACTAAACTAAATTTGTTCTAACGCGTAAAAAGTCCGACACCAACAGAGATTTTCGATTGGCGAGCTCCTGAGGGTGAAGGCGTGCAGAGTGCCTCCAGTAAGCGGTTAGTATTGGACTTGGTGTTCAGAACCTCGCGGGAGGTCTGAGACACTTCCTTTGAGTCTTTTCCATATAAGATTCCATTCGTATCAGGTGCTGCGCGAGGGTTTCCGGGTTTGGGGCCTTCTGCACGCGGCGTGAGAAATCTAGGAGCGTGTCAACCAATACTTCAGAGATCTCCCGGGGCATGCTGCTCTTGGATTTCTTGTGATGCTGCTTCAATGTCTCGAGATCTTTTATGATTGAGGCGGTATATGCGCGTATATCGGTGTCTTCCCTAGCCTGCAGGACAGGCCACGGGGCCCTCTTTCTCGCTTTTCCGCCTCCCATGGCACAACCACGAGGAATTGGAAGCGGAAAATTGGGAAATGAGGTTTTTGAGAGGTCTATTATAATTGAGAATCTGTTATAATCTAAGGCATGTGTGCATTCTGAGTATATGTGGAAGATTGTTCTATCGTACATGAGAGGGATCTAGGGCTCATATATATAGCCAAAAGTATACAAAGAACATCTATCTATAGCCTAAAGGGTTTCACTATGGTGAAAGCCCTTTGATCATGACAGAATCATTCCCGCAGTACTTTTTACCTGTGGGGTGCGTTTTCATAGGTGCGCGAGTTTTCAGACCTTTTCAACAGTTTATTTTCTCCTGCTCTTCTCATTATTTAATTGGTCGATGCTCAAATGGCGATTAGAGTGCTACGGCTGCTGGCTGCATAGACACAGCCAATGACCATGGACGCAGTTTTAAAGTTAAAATCGAAGAATCCTGTCGTCCAACTCGAGGTTCCAAGTGTTAAGACGGAGTCGGACTATGCCGAGGCCTAACCCTAAACTCCAGGTTCCAACTCCGATGGGGTTTCTCGTGACTGTGGCACTCGAAGTTAAATTAACCTGGTTTGATTGGCCCATCCTCTACTAGTGTGAAAATGTATGAAACATTGCAGGCCTTCCCCACACCTCTTCCCCGCACTTTTCCATTCTCTGGGGTGCAGGTATCAAAGCCATAGACCCCCCTGTTAGCTCTTTAAACCCTGATTTTTTTTTCTGAGGCAACCATCTATCTTGAAGGGAGTGTTTTTGGACTACTGCAATTCTTGCTCCTCTTTAGGCACCTTACAATGAGAACGCCTTCCTCCGAAGTAATCGTCTCATGGTCAAAGCCAAACCATACAAATCCAAGCTACCAAGGCCCTCAACTGCTTATTATTGGTGTTATCCTTATAATCAGCAGCTCTGCCATACTGAGTCTACGACTATGGGTTCGTATTCGAATGAAGAGATGCGCTGGGTGGGATGACTGGATTATGGTTGCTGTTATTGTAAGATACTTTACCTTTTTATTCTCTATCATTGTGCCCTTCTGCGCTTTTATACAGTGTCAATATGCCAATTATGTGCTGATCGATCTATCGCTAGCCCTTCATCATCTGCTCTACCGTGACTACAAATTTAGGAACTAAGTATGGATTGGGTAGGCCCTACCCTTACTACGCGCAAATAAAGTGCACATAGTTAACTGTTTAATCTAAATGACCAGGTTACCATATCTGGGACAATAAACCAGAATGGTTGAAACCTTCACTGATGGTACATGCGAATCTTCCTTCTTTCTATATACCTCGTCCGAGCAAAGGCAAAAGGGCTAATGAGCATATGAACTCTATACTATGAACAGACAAGTTATTTTAATCAACTTCTTATTGTGATTATCATGACACTTGTTAAAGTTTCTCTTCTTATCTCATATCTCCGATTCCTGACAGTGTCCACATTCAGGCACCTAAGCTGGGCAATTATTGCGTTGATACTTGTCTGGGGCCTATGTATGTTTCTATCCCGGTTCCTACAAAATGTGATCTCTATTAATAAGCTAACTTATTCTTTAGCATTCCTTATTACAATTCTCGTAGCTTGCAGACCTCTTCACGCATACTGGGACACCACACTTGACTCAAGTGCGGAATGTTCTAACGAACAAGCTCGCACTCTCGCCTTTACAATAACAAACCTCATTTTTGATATCATTGTCTTAATCCTCCCAGTGCCAACACTCTGGAAGCTTCAACTCCCAATCAGAGAAAGGCTGGTGTTGATTGGCCTAATGAGTCTGGGCATAGTGTATGGAAACCAACCTCTACATCCCTTCTTTGGATTTATACTTAATTTGACAAGGGCATGCGCTGCCTCGGCAGTTCGCTTATACTACGCTAACCGAATATACAATATCTCCTTTGATGTAACATGTAAGTTTTCACTTACTTTTGACAAGGGATGATCCTGACACTGATTACATCACCCATTTACAGGGGATGGTTACCAACTCTGGCTCTGGGTTCTTGTTGAGATCAATCTCGCCGTGATATGCGCCTCCATCCCAACCATCCGCCCTCTTGTGCGTAGGTACCTACCCCAACTAGGCTTCAAAGGATCTAGTTACGCTCAGCACTTCAACATGGATGATACAAAATAATACACATGGGGGGGCAGGGATATTGACGGGAGAACAAATCTGTCATGATCTAAGGGCTTTCACCATAGTGAAACCATCAGGCTATAGATAAATAGTCTTTGTATACCTTCGGCTATATATATGAGCCCTAGGTTCCTCTCATGCACCATTAGAACTATCTTCCACATATAACCAGAATGCACACATGCCTTAGATTATAACATTTAGAGTAAAGTGACTTGATATGTATGCTGCTCATATTCACTTTGTCATATTGAGTTGTTGGAATGCGGCTCTCTTCAGGCTCCGGCATTTTTCTCAGATGGATGTTCGACTTTAGAGAAGGCTTAATGAAAACTTTGCTTTGTTGAAGCTCGTTTCGTCGTTTCCTGAAATTCTCCTATTGTACTTATCGAATAATCAAGATAGGGAGAGGCAAAAAACAGAAGAACAGAGATGGAGATTGATGTTTGTAAAAGGAATCCAAGGTCGCCGGATATGATGATAGCCGGTCACGAAGTATTGATCAAGTGAACGCCGCTCGGTACAAATTCAGATAATGAGTAGATAGCAAGGCGTCCTGTAATGTAAATATTAGGCTAGTGTATATATATTTCCTTTATCAATTTGAAATCAAATTGTCATGATAACTGACCGGAAATTTCACCGCCTTTTCTCACTTAGGACCGAGGTATTTTTCAGGATTCTAAGAAGGCACCTGCGATGGCTGCGAAAGTAAGTATAGAAAGCGGTTGGGACTAAAGTAGCCATGGCAGAGAAATTATACCCCATACCGATCAGCTCCAGGTAAAACCTCTCGCATCTCCCGTATGGTCTTGATATTTCACATAGCCCCCAATTAATGTTAGAAGAGTCTACCAATGAGAACTTCTGCTTAGCTGTTACCATTACCTGATGCTAGTAAGCCCTAAGATGAATATCTAACCACCTTTAAAATACCAGGGGCCTCCACCGCATGGGATTATTCCCTACCTGGAAATAGTTGCGATAGCTCCAATCACATATGCTATTCTAGACATACAAGACAAAGACCTCCGAGCACATTAAAGCATCTTCTGAGATCTAAAATAAAGCCTAGGCCCATCCCTTAGTCTAGATTCTTGAAAGTACATTCTGGACGCATGCTCAGTGAAACACCTGCGCTTGACTCTGAAACGCTTCACCCGCCGTTATGGATACGGAGCAATGTTCTGATTCTGGCTATATGAGGATTATTAAAGATCGTAGTGTGGGTAGTGTAGTATGTCAAAAGATGAGTCTAGTAAACCACTATAAAAGAATTGCGGCGTTTCAAATCCGGATAGGACCAATTTTAATGACTATACAGCAATAGTTCTCCACATGTATCCAGCATCCCAGAATTCTAAATATGAAGGTGCAGGCCTTACTTCGGTTATGCATCTTAGTAGCCTGTAGCGAGCTAGAGCAACAACTTGAAGAGGTTATGGCGTTATCAATGATTGGTTGTTTCGCACTCCTATCTAGGAACAGCCTAGCGCTGGCAGCCTTCCGCCTAGAAATTTTCTTTTTACCTCGGCTGTTTCTCCGTATACAGTAACTAGTTTTGGGCTTAGAGGCTAACAGTGTAATTTAAGCCTTACAGAATAGATTCAAGAAATTCATGAGCTTGGACCTTTTTCACGAGCAGCATATAAGATTAGCATGGGGCAAATCATCACCATGGCAGATCTCCAGTCCTCGCGCGGTGACGTGACGCTTCGCTCAATCTAGTATTAAAAGTATATCAAGAAGATCTATATAATATATTTCTTTTAGAGACAAGTATAAAAGTATCAAGTCATTTTACAAACTGTAAAAATGTAGGAGCAATATCAAAAAATATTGAAGCAATATATGTCTGTCTAAAGTGATGAAAAGTCCACGGTAAAAATATTGAGGTGGGCCGAAGAAACGAAGGCAATTGGCCAAGAAACGAGTTCCGCCGATAACCCCTAGAAATTGACAAAAGAGATGGATTAGACCATATACAGGGATGAAAAATACAGATTATATATGCCGGAGCCCTATATTATCTGGGGAGGTGTGTCAGCGAATAACGGCTAATTAATCATCCTCACTGGTGAGGGGGACCATGTGTGTCTTACTTAAATGTTAGACAAAGCGGTAGACACAATGCTTTGCTGTGTGGCAATATGTGAAACTGCAGGGGTACTTACCAAGCATAATAAAGGGCCAGTCCCTTGTTACTCCTGACAAGGAAGTTCAGAAAGGCAAGATATGCTTCACTAGTGTCACAAGTGTTTACCAAAGAGGAAAAACCGTTACACACGAAGGTAAGCACATATCACATAGCCAAGTTACTACATTCTTATGCGGGGTAGCTAGCACATCGTTGAAAGGGCCTTATGTAATTGTGTGTAGAGAGAATATGTAATTCATTTAACTAGAAACACATACATGCATGCACTTCCCCAGAGTTCATATAAGGATCTCAAAGACCGTTTTCTTCCTATATCCCTTACCAGACACTCTATCATCCACTGATCCATCTATCCCTTGGTTTTACTTCAGCATTATTATTACTTATTTGACTTTACTGCTTCTTGCTAAAACCATGAACAACGCTATTCCATCTGATATCTGGGAAACTAAGCGCATATTAATTACAAAGTTATACAAAGATGAAGAATGGCCTCTCAAGCATGTCATCAAGCTTATTCGGACATCCGAATTTTGCCCTAGGTATGGCTTGCACCAGCTGTAGTTGCTAGGTGTAGTACTAACTATATACATTCAGTGAGACCCAGCTTCGGAGCAGATTAAAGAAGTGGCATATCACCAAGCCGTCCCGCAAGAAGTACGGCAGTCACAAGACTCGGTCTGAGAAGAGAACCTCACCTGAAGGTTCCCAATCATCGCCATTTCTATCATGCAGTTCAGGCGATATGAAACAAAAGCTGCCCATTGTTCACCTAGAACCATTCCAGTATGATAGAAATAGCAGAAAGCATGACTCTATTCCTCCTGAGAAAGAGGAACGGTCCATACCTAAACTATCAAGTGCGGAGCAGCACATGTTGGAGACCCAAAGTGGCCAGTATCTGACGTCCCTTGATACATCTGTCAGACAGTTTCCCTGTACCCCAGGTACGGTACAAGATTTCTTGGATAGAATCCTGTTAACTTCAACACCCCCGAAGCCCTCATCGCATTGCACCCATGAATGCACAGAAAATACAGCGCTATCAGAGGATAAAGCAATAGACTCCATATTTCAGTGGCAAACGGATTCAATCAATGCTAATATGGATAACCTAAACTCCAGCGGCGTAAAAGATCAAACGGATCACGATATGGAAATGGGTACACAGCTAGACCCGATAACATCAATGGACCCTTCAATAGCTGACTATTCATCGTTCAGCGTCGGTTGCAGTCATGGTACGCATCCACTTCAATATACAGCTCTCCTCCCGTGGTGCATGGGTGGAATTTTACCGTGCAAAAACGCAAATAACTTGCTTCACTCCCCGAAAACTCCTGCTGGATCCGCATGTATTAAGAAAGAGAAAAGGTCTGGAAAGTGTTGTGAAGGGGCGTCAAATTTGAGACCCGACCTTTTAGATACCATTATCGAGGAGTCTCACTTCCCAGCATATCCGTTATCTAATTACAAAGTTCCTTCTCCTCACCATATATGCCCGCATTCAAGGTCAAAGGCCTGTTACCTACAATCTCCTTACCCACAGTGTTGATTTTAGATACAAAGCTACTCTCACTTTTTCTAAGTTACGCTCTAGTAACAACTAGCCATTTGGTCCATTAGAAATAGTCGCCTGTGATAACTATCGTTAAATGACATACTTGTATTACTACTGCATATTAGCTTTCCAGCTGACATATCAAATTGCTACACATAGATGGTAGGTGGCAACTGCAGTGTTGTCGTAACTCAATCATGTAAATTAGTATGTGAAAATGATATAAAATATTTGCCAGGAACCCACCACAAAGACTGTCTCCGTGAGCTAGTCGCTCCTAGATTCATTTCACATGCACTAGGAAAATAAAAATTACTCTGGAAAGACTCTAATGAGGATAGTCAGAGGAGTAGTCTACGCCGATGGCTTACTAGCTATACATGCAGCCAGCGGTCAATAGAGTGAGTAATTTCCGCATAGGGCAATACCTCCTTCCTTATCCTTAATATAGGGCATTATGCCTTTAGTGCATTAAAGGATCAGTGTCGACTTGTCGTTATCAGCTAACTGTGGAGGGGCAATGTGTCTGATAACCATCAGAGGCCAGGTTAGACGTCCTACCATGTGATCAGCCAGTTCAAATCCATAGTTATACGGAGCTCACTTGCCAAGTTCATCATCAAGAGCCATTCGGGGTTATAGTTATTCCTTGGAAACTATTCCCTCAGAAACTTGAACATCTTCAACAAATGATGCCCTGCTTCTATAATTTATTCTAATATCAACATGTAGATGACGGTGTGCATGTACTCAATATCTCTATGGGCAAATTTACTTTGACCCTCCATAACTTTTCACCAGTGAAAATGTGTTTAACAATTGAAAACAAAATATCTTGCTTCCTAGATATGAGTCATAGGCCACTTAGATCACGTGGATTACATAGTCTACAGCATCCCCCGAAAAATGGAACAAAAACTCTTCGTTTCCATAGCCTGGCACTTAGGTCTGTTGTAGTGGCCATTTAGAGGCTGAACTTAAAGTGAATTAGGTGGCTGAATAAGATGGTCACAGTAACTAGATACGTAACATACTATCATCCAGTGCCAAGTATTATATTCTTATACACAACCTCTTTTTTTCTACGAAATTTCTAGCTAAAAACATGAACAAGGCTCAAGCGCAAGTTATGAGAAACTAGTACTGTACAGAAAAATTATAGCAGGTTGGTTGTATTAAAGAGTCGATTGCCAGTATCAGTGACGCCTTTACCAGTGAAATTGTTTTGTGAAAGTCGAAGGGTGACTGACTAATGACTTCACATCAACATATATCAGACCAGCCCAAACCACCTCAACGTCTCCTGCACTTGTGTCGGCACAACATGTCCCACTCCTTCTGCCAAATACGACTCAAACTGGGTTCCATTTCCATAAATATACCGTGTATACCCATCCAACGGATCATTCTTCTGTTTCTCAGCTAACTGAACCCCAAAAACAGTCATCCACTGCTTGATCTCCTCCTGCAAGTTCTGCGGATTAAGAACATGATCCGCAGTGCCATGCCAAACCTGCACAGGCGGATAACTCCCATTATATCCCGGCCATGCACTTCTGACTTCAGCAGCCCACTCAGCACCACTCTTCCTAACCTCCCCTTTCGAGCACGCCGGATCAGACGTAAACGGCGAAGACCCGGGGCTTCCTCGTAAACACCCATAAGGAAGTCCACTATATGCCGAAACAGCGGAAAATACATCCGGGTAAGCGGCCGCCAAAACCTGAGACATCATCGCTCCAGACGAGGAACCTGTTGCAAACACTTTTGACGGATCGGCGTTATAGTTGGAAATTGCATATTTCACCATATTCACGATAGACAACGAGTCACTCCCATTGTTATGCGTGAGTGATTTATCCGTTGAGACGTCCCAGCAGTGGAAGTCATTCTGGGAATCAGGGTATATGACGATAAAGCCATGTTTGTCGGATGCTGGGGGGAGATCTTTGACTTCAAGATAGTATGCTACGGCGGGCTCGAGGCAGCCGTGGAGCTATCATATGTCTATCTTAGCTTTTTCTGCCCATTAAGTATCTAAATAGGGACAGGAAAGGGGAATGGAAAGTACAGCAACGATAATAGCTGGATTCGGTGCCAGCCGGTCAGGAACATATATCAGCATTTGGTTGTTTCCAGGGTTGTCGCCGAAGTCCAGGACCCGGCGGAGGGTGGCGGCAGAGACTGCTGCTATTTTGAAAGCCATATAGGCCAGGAGGAGGGTTGAGAAGTTCATTATCAATTCTCCTTGTCGGTTTTCTTGAGTGAGCGTATGGTGTGGAAAAATATAGGATGGATGTGCCGGTATGTATAGAGTCTGTCTTGGTGTTTTAAGATCTGCGACAACTCCCAAACCGAGGAGGTATTCACGTACTGGTCACGATTTTCAGGGGTGATTGTATTACCTAAATAAAGACGGTTGTACTGGCCTCCATATTTGCCGTTGTGTATGATACTAACTGTGGTGATCCCCGCTTCCCCGCTTCTTCAGGGGTAGCATGATAAAGTTGGCAGAGATAGTTAAAATTGTATCCTGCGTTGCGGTCTACGCAAAATCTACGACGAGGGGTAATTCGAAAAGCGCATGGGTCTAATGAGTCAAGGGTGATGATTTGAGAAGAGCAAGTCAAGCGGAAGTAAAGGGTGCCGTGAGCGGTATACCGAGGCCATTGCGACTATTTCTTAGTTTAGATTAGTTGGTTCGTCCCTGTTTTGCATATATTAGGTTATGTCGATGCTTGGTTGTGACCTTCGCGAGAAATTTCGTACCTCTGTGTTATTCGCCGCTCGGTAGTTGATCTATTACGAAAAACCCGGACAAAGTTCGTCCCTCGGTGTTCGTCGCCTGGTAGCTGATCTATTATGAGGAACCTCGTATATCGCTCAGTGTAATCTCACCGATATTCGACTTGTTGAGATCTGGTATTGGGTACTGCATCGCTCTCACGGGAAGGTAACAAAATCGGCATTCAGGTTATCCAACTACCGATTCCCGGTACTAAATACTGTAGCTAGCGCATTCACATCGAGTATTTATTTGATAACGGCTAGTGTATCATCAATGATCCCCACCCACTGAAAAATTGCAGGAAGCCCAATTTTTGAGACCATATACAACTTCAGTGTTTCACTAATTTACGGGGATGAAAAATAACAAATCTGATAACAGTGACTATTGAGAGAGGGACTTTCGGCTGAATGGATTGCCATTCAGATATAAAACATGCCAACAGTCTCCCCTGCCGTTCTCAGGAAATCAATGTCTTTGGCAAGAATTCTCCATTTTTATGCTACTCGTACTTGAATCGATGATGGCGTTGCTGACAGTCACTTACCCGTTTTGGTCCTATTTCGACAAGTGGTTCGACTCAGTTTTGAGGTATCCTGCAACTGAGTTCCAAGTCACCCCCGGGGTCACGCCAATGACCACGCTGGGGGTCACCATTTCTGTGATTGTCACTTACTACTGTGTAGTTCTTGGCGGACAGAAGCTAATGAAAGGGCTCCCTGCGATGAAACTACAGACAGCATTTATTCTTCACAATCTCAGCCTAACCGTAATTAGTACTATTCTACTTATCCTATTCATCGAGCAGCTACTACCAACGCTCTGGAAGAAAGGACTATTCACTGCCATTTGCGAGGCTGAAGGTGGATGGACCAGGGAACTGGTGGTGTTATACTATGTAAGCCTCCCTCTCCCTTGTTCTTTTCACGACCTTGGTGAGTGCTAACTAAACCTACCGCGGCTCAGTTAAACTACCTTACCAAGTATATCGAGCTGCTTGATACTGTGTTCTTGGTTCTTAAAAAGAAGCCACTGACATTTCTTCATACTTACCATCATGGGGCAACCGTTCTCTTATGCTACACAGAACTCGTCGGCCAGACATCAGTATCATGGGTTCCTATAACCTTGAATCTCACCGTACATGTGCTCATGTATTGGTACTATTTTCAGAGCGCTTGTGGAATCCGCGTCTGGTGGAAGCAGTGGATTACAGTGCTTCAAATTATACAGTTTATCATCGACATCGGTAGGGTTATGTCTCTAATCATGCACTTTAGCTTTTTTTTCTTAGCTGACAGAATATCAGGGTTCATATACTTTGCTTCATATACATACTTCGCGTCTACATACTTCCCATGGGCGCCGAATGCAGGTAGCTGCATGGGAGAGGAGTATGCAGCGGGTTTCGGGGTTTTTATTATCACCTCTTATCTTCTGTTGTTCATCTCATTCTATTTGACGACATATAAATCTAAGGCTCCACAACTACGACGAAGTTTCAACGCTATGGTAGAGGGAAAGAGGATATTCTGATCGTATCCTGGGAGGCGACTTTGCTGAGCTGTTGGTCAATGTCTCGATATACCTTAGACGGCGAAAGGAACGTGGAAAGTTAACTAACAACGGAATATTCTCTTTGATGGCAAAAATAAGACATTTCAGGGCACTTTTCTTGCCTGATACATCCCCCACGCGAAGGGAAAGTAGCTCTCCTATAGAAATTCACCCCTGGCTGAAATAATTGGGTTGATTATACCTTCCGGGCCATAGATATGGTAGTTAGCAGTCACTGCTAGTGCCCGTCAAACTCATAGACGAATTCTTTGCTTACATTATGATTACCAGTTGTGTTGGAAATGGGAGCAAAACATCTGTCCCCATTTGGCTTTTTTATTCTCTAAATCTCGACATGTGAAATTGATCACCTGTACATTCGGCCAAACAGAGCTACGCAAGCTCCCGTATAGTTTTGCATGAAAGGGAAATTTAAATTTGACTATATCCTAAGAGCACAAATACCCCAAGCACACTTTTTGGTCCTTTTCGTCGAAGCCCATAGATTTCAATTATAAAAACATTTCTTCTTGCCTTCCTCCGGCATGATTCCACACGGAACGTTGTATTCGATTTAATCTAATTGATTGGGCCATACAATGCAGTGATTATGGCATTCTGCGTTCCCAAGTTGGCATTAGTCAGGATTGTCGTAGAGAGGATGTCAACAAGACTAGGAATGGGCAGGCAGCCATCAACATGTGTTTTGTTGATAGCCCAATTGTACGCAGCCTGTTCATTAACATATCTATTCAGCCCAAAAGGTTAGACATGGCAGCCATCATACTTAGCAGTGATAGCAAGGAGTTGGGGACGATAAAAAGTGTAACGGCCGGGTTGGCACCTTGGCCGCCTCAGGCGGTTAAGGCGGCTAGGGCTGGGGCTAGTGCGGCACATGCCACGTGGCACGTGCCCCACACCGGTTGTCGGAATATTTGGCACTAAGCACATTGGGAAAGGATTAGAAACACCCAAAATTACGATCAATAGCGCCAAAACACCATGCCAAAAATCGACATTACTTAATTTTCAATACCTTACCCCTGATGACAAATATTAGTGTAAATTCGCATATAAATACGTCTAGATAGATGAGTTCTTTGCAACTCAGTAGGCTGTCATTTGGTTCGGTCCGAACCGAACCAAAACCGATCTGAAACCCGAATGGTCCGGTTCTGGTCCTATATACAGTGAACCGATGTGGTTCGGTTCACCAAGTCCAGGACCATATGGTTTTTTGGGGCCCATTTGGGTCTGGTTCGGTTTGGGTTTTCGGTTCGGTTTTATCTGAATATCTGAATACTAGTGGATTTCCATTAATAATACTAAAACATTTAGGGTTAACCCTAATTCTTTATAATTATTATTGATTATATAATCATTTCCGAAACAGCTTTTCATGAATTGAATTCTTATTTTTTGAATTAGGATTTTATTTTAGATATTTTTATAAATATTATAATAAATTCTTAATATTTAGATTATAATCTAAGAATTATCCGGATGGCGATAATATCTTTTCTATTTTTTATTTATATTTTTTAGATTATGTTGTACGGCCAATCTATCTATTAGAGAAAAAATATATATATTTCTGTACCCGTTCTATGGTATAATTGGTATTCATCATTACCTATCTATTTTTTGAGTATATTTCAATAATTAGATAGAAAATTATAATTTAAATAATTAATTCTAATTTTTATATTATTTATCTATTAAATTCACTAAAATTTAGAAAGATTTTAATATATTTTTAAGGATAAAATCTAACTATAGTTAAAAATTCTTTGATACGGTTCGGTTATCTGAATGAAAACCGGACTAGACTCGAACCGATCTAACCATAATTAGTAATTCTTTTTTAGCGTGGTTCGGTTTCGGTTTGGAGAGCCAGAACCGTTCGGTTTTCGGTTCTGGTTCCAATATTAAAGACCAAACCGAACCGACCCACTTTTGGGTTTGGTCCAGAAACTCAGGACCAGAACCGAACCAAATGACAGCCTACAACTCAGGCTTGTATCTCAATCCAATCGAATTTTGGCACTAAACTCAATTTGTTCTAACGCGTAAAAAGTCCGACACCAGCAGAGATGTAGTAGTAGTAGTAGTAGTTCTCATTGACCTGTTTTAGCTAGCTTCCATACTATCGCTGCTATGCAGGGTTAGGCCCTAGCCTGCAGGGCCTCAGAGACCAAGTGCGGCGCCTGCGCCGCGCTGTGGCGTAGCCCAGAGGGCGCGCCATAGGAAGAGAAATAAGCCAGTCTATAAGTGGCTAGCGTATACTAAAAGTCAACAGCGCGACCCTCAACCCTCTGCCACTCTCTATCTTTATTATTATTATTATTATTATTATTCATTCATACACGCATGTAAACCAGCTAAGGCGGTCGGCGGAAGGGTCTAACGGGCAGTGGGCTGATTCTGCCATACAAAAAGAAGTAAAGCGCGGCTCCCAGCGCTTGGCACTACGGGCGGCGAAGCACGCATGCTGCGCACGGCTGAGAACTCTGCAGGGGCCTCAGGCTACGCGTACACAACAACACAATAAAATGACAAAATAAACGGACGCCTAACGCTAACAAAGGAAATATGCAACCTACCAGATGCCCAGTCAGGAAGGAATGGAACGCCGGAAGCTATAGTACGCTAGGAAATAATATACAGTGAGAGGGTGATGCGCGCAGAGTAAGAAGGGAGAGTAGGAAGGGAAGTCGGAAAATTGGGGGCCCAGGGTCGTTGTGCTTGGTGCAAGTGGCCAGACCGCCCAAGGGCAGGCTGGCATGGAAATCTCTATGGTTCAAAGGCCTGTCTGCAGGCGTTATTCAGAGATTGAAGGGGGTGCCATGTGCTGGAACTGCGATAGCAGTCCAGTGCGCAGCATAAAATGTACTGTCTTCTTGACCCAAGTTGGCTCGCTGAGGAGTCTCCTATAGTCAATCTCGCGGTAGTCTTTCCATAGGGTCTGCGCTCGCAGTTGGGAAAAGTCTGGGCATTGAGTGAGAATATGCTCACTGTTCTGGTTACCAAGGCCGCAGGGGCAGAGAGGTGAGTCGACGATGTTAACGCTAGCGAGGAAGCTGAGTAG